CTACAGCAAAACATCAGACAACACAAAACCAGCCTTATGCCCCATAAGTCTGAACAAAAGGGCGAATAATAAATATATCTCCGGGGATCAAAAAAGGGGGTGGGTTGTATATTGATGTCATATTGCAAACATACCACCTGCGCTTCCTGTTCTTGCTCCAACTCCTGATGTATTTCGCCAAGAGATGGTGCTCTTTGGTGGTGTGGATCACCAGTGGCAATTATTGGGTTTCCCGCGATGCTGGTTGGGCTTTGGGTTCTGTAGACACTTCCAATAGATGAACGGTGATCACTACTGGATAGTTCACCGGGGCCGGGTAAAGTCGGATCATTCAAATTGAGATTCACTGGCACAATGGACCTGCGGCGCTCGTGCACCCTGTTTGCCTGCGGAGAACGGTTCATACTCGTTGAAGATCGTCTTGAACGGTCCGTTGCGTTCATGGTAGCAGCAGCAGCGAGAGACACAGAGGGGGAACGGGGAGAGGTCGATTGGCCAGGGGATAAGTCTGACGAATTCACATTGGTGAGGACCTGTATAGGAGAGCGAAATACTGAGCGTGGAGGGGGGAGGGAGTTTATATCGGGAGGCATGACAAGCGTGTCCGCAGAACGTGCGCAGATAGCACGACTTAGCAAACTGTCAATTTGAAGATGGTGCGTAAATTCGCTAAGTGCGGTATCGATGGAGTCAGTTAGATTCAGACTCTGAAGAAATATCACAATATTCAGCGAAGCAAATGTTGAAGTTCAGGTTGAATTCGATGGAAATTGATTGAAGAGGTGAACAACAAACCAACGTTTGAGTGGAGAGATATCACGTGCAAATTAGGGTTTCGAACTGTGAAAAACACGTGATTCCACTGAATTGCAAATGACGTCGTTGGATCAACCTGATGACGTAAGGATGCCCGGCTCAATATCAAGTCTTCAATGGAAAAAGGGGGTTCATCAGCCAAAGGGAGTTTACATATGCTGAAGATATTAGATCATATTGCAGCAGCGCTGGGTTTCCTTGCATATATAAAAAATGACAGCCATAAGAATCATGGAAATTCAGGAAAGGTTATGATAAGCAAATAATAACCCCAGAAACAATGGACCCAAATCAAAATCCTGATTACTCCTTGTTAATCTGGAGTAGCAAAGAGCGATCTCTCATCAAAGAGATCCACTGAATCTCCTCAGCAATAAACGTCCAGTCCGACGAGTTGATGTCCGCAGTCCGTAAGATGCACAATATGGCACTTTGGAAGATAAACTGAAGTTACTCTTCCTTCAGTTCCCTGTCAATCTCATGTCAAGGATCCAGCACCGGTCGAAAAGCTCTCCTTTGCTCTTCTGTCCCATTGCAAAACTATACTCCTTTTGCATACAACTGTTCATAACCCTTTGCAGTATTACACCGAATAACACTACTAGGACGCTTGCCCATTGTCACTGCCAGTTGTTCAAACTGCTTCTTCTCACCCAGTGCTTCACACACATAAACGAATGAATCAGCCTCAGTCCGTAAAACTGGCATTCCCCAGAGCTATCTCTGCATCTCTAGCTCGCCACTGGCCGCGAGATAATCTAAGAGTCCGCTCTCAAGCCCGTGACCAGGGTGACCTTGAGATCCCCAACAAGAGCAGACGATATTCGGGTCCGGGATCTTGAAGAAAAACTGACACTGACGCTCTAGTAGAGCCTTTTGCCAGGACCATTCTAGCAACGTCATTCGGGCGGATATGCAAGAACTTACATGCAACGATGGCGTAGTAGGTGTGCGCAACAAGAATGAAGGGACTGATAAGCCAGCCACTTCCAGTGCGACGCTTAGTTCGCCCTTTGCCGATTACTGTCGTTGAGCGGATGCAGCCATTCTCACGGCGACCAGCCCTGAGTGGTCATTCTGGAGGATACGGGCGAATGGGGAGACGAGCCGTTCAAGTGTGGGGTAGAACCTTGTAGTTTCCCGGGCGCCGGCGACGACCACTGGATCGTCGGCTTGGCGGGGTGGGTCGGAGATGAAGAGGAAAAGCCTATGTGTTTCCTATGGTATGAGGTAGGTGATGGTCTCTCCGTTCCAGTCTTGGGTGGTGTTGGTGTTGTCAGAGAAAGGCTCTGGTTGGCAGCGTCATGAGAGATATCCCAACCTAACAAACAAACAAAACAATTAACTGGGGTATGTGTTTTTTCTTTTGGTAAGTTAACTAGTTATTTCGGGCTCTTCCCTGCCATTTCAAACTTCGCTGAAAGACAGAATTAAATACCAAAAAAAAAAACTTACACCAACATTCCATTCATAACGATTGATCTTCTCACTTGCTCATTGCTAAATTCACTTATAACGAAGTCAAAAATATCATCGTAAAGATGTCTTCATTTTGAAAAGCAGCTTAACAAACGAGTTATGGCTAGATCCGGGTCCTTGAGGACTGGAGGGAATATTTTGCGAAGACCAGCAAAAGGATTGAGGACGGCATGAGAGATACGCATGATGTTTACGCCTTTATTTCTATCTCAAGATTAACCAAATGGTTTTCCTCTGTGTGTGAGCATAAGTGTTGATATTTCACCTTCCTGCCGGTGTAGAATGACTGAAGTTAATCCTCTCTCTGCAGGTACAGGCAAATACACCCCCAGTGAGCATCTCATCTCCTGAATTTGGGAGGGCGTCTCCTGATTCTAGATGCGCAACTGAATAACTTCACATTTTGGGCATGTCTCACCAGACGCGGAGAAAGCGCTTGGGTTGCTTGTCTTCTGCAAATTGCCCATGATTCCACCTTCAAGCGGCGGAAGGTCATTGTTCCTCTCTGCGAAGCGGATGTCAAAAATAATAGGATTGGAAATTTTCCTATAAACACTAAAAATGAAACAAAGAAGACGAGAAGAGACAAACACTGGAGAATGAGAGAAATGTGTAAGAGCTTAGGGGAACGCTTCTCCTAGCGAGTTAGGGCTCACCGCTGGAGTTAGTTAACCTTGGAAGGAATAAGTAGTGCAGGGTTAATATGCAAACTCCTGTCAAGAAGTGTACACGGTTTGAAATTTCAGCTGCCATTCATTCCCCTTAGTGTCTATTGAGCCCAGCTCATGTCGGTTTCCTAGATGAAGCCTTAGCAAGTTTCCCTAAGAAGATTTGATGTTCTTGCTGATTTTCTGAAGTTCTTAGAACCTTGACACTTTGCTGCACGGACAACTCATGCTCAATTGAATTCCGACCAAGAAATTCGGGGTATCAAAATTTGTCAAAGTATATATATGGGTAGTAGTTTACGATGGGCGCAAAAAGGCCGTTTCACGTCCATTAGGATAGCGCAGAGCTGAATAGGGCGTGCAACCTTTTGCCACAACCCCGATGGCAGAAGTGAAGTGATGCGACCTTTCTTAGATCAAGGGAGTAGGATGCAAATTCTTCTCTGCCCGGAGGGGTCGTTGAGTATATAAAGCTCTCTATCCCCGCTTCTTCGGAGGATTTCCCTCAATGGAACAACTCCAAAGAAAATTTCAGGCCTCCCTTTTGAGATTTGTTGTTTTTCTCTCTGGTTTTTTTTTCGTTGCTTCCAGTCACTCCTTTAGCAACATTTTAGAAAGTTCCATGAAGTTTTTAGTTTCTTGGACAGGAGAAATGAGTGTATGGTAATACCTACGTTGGTATAGTTATTCAATTGGAAAATTTGGATTTAACCATGCATCGCACATGGATGCAGATTTTGGCTTTAATCTTTGCCGCGGTTGGCCCTATCGGCTAAAGTCGACTCCGACTTGCCGCAGAAAGTATGCCAGAAAAAACAGCTACACTTTGGCCATTCCATAAGACGAGTGCCGTACAGTAGAACTTCTGCACATTACCCCAGTTAACATGTGGTTCAATACCCTAGAGAATACCGAGACGAAACTCACCTGTTACAACCTTTAGTGATGAAAAACCATGCATCTTCCTCACCGCCATCAACCACAGCAACAAATACAAGGGCAGGAACCTCAAAACCCACGGCTTTCCTCCCGATGAAGTTGCCACATTCAACACCCCCAATGGCAACCTGTTCAAGCTGAACTTCTACATATTCCTATACCTCGGCACGGGAGCCACGGAAATGGGACAGCAATACTTGCATACGTTCATTTTATGACATTATTTACGGACGTAAAGCTTTGAAGGGGTATGATTTGGCACATTTCAAGTTTGGAGCAGCCCAATACAACGTCTAAGTTGATGTGGAGTCCGGGTATCAAGTGTGATAATGCGAGCTGCCCTCGTCGTGCGCGGGGGAGATTTGGGAGGAGAACTTGCTTGAGCTTTTAGACATTTGGGGGGACGGCTTTTGGCTTCAATTTAGCATTTTTCCGGACTGAGGGATGTCGGAATCCTGATATCAAAACCACAAACTTCCCAGTTTTTCTTGGCTGCCCTGCTTCACCGCCAGCACACATTTTATTCATTCCCTCTTCATATTTCCATTTCACGTATCTGGGTAGGTTTAGATAATCTGGAATCGTTTTTGATCATTAGGATTGTTGAGCATCTGGAAGTTGTGCTTGTGCTATGTGCCACCCATTCATGGTGTTCGGAAGCTATGATTAGAGGGGAAATATGCAGCAGAGCAGGTGCAAATAGAGGCGGACTTTTTTGTTTTGATTTGAAACGTCCCCTGAACCGGGTAACGCATTGACACTAATGTAATCTGCGAATCGCATTGTTCTACCCCTGGGCCTCACACCTAAGGCTCAGCTAAGGGGAACGCTCGTTCAACCGTAGATATTTCGCAGGCGAATCCATTCCGCGACTTCAACGGCAAAATAGTCGTCTCAGTTCCCAATCTGTCTTTCAGGACAAAACACCCCATCGCAGTTAGACATTCCACTTGTAAATCACCATATTCTATTGCCGTGAGGTCATCAGTAGTGTGGGCTTGCTTGCAACAAACCTGGCGCGGGGAACAGCCAACGGAATCCCACTGACCTCTGGAACTTTTTTTATATTGAAAAATTGCCCTCCACTGGAGCGTAGCAGCTTCAAAGGACACTTCTCCTGCTCCTATGAGGAATTGATAAAGGAATCCTCAAGGAGTCCTCTAATCTCCTATGTTCACCTGAGCTAACCACGCGATCCTTAACTATACGGACTGTAGTCCACTAAGATCCTAAACAACTCAATTAGCAGGGGTCAACAAGGAGTTGGGGATTGAAACAAGTAGGGGATTGAAACAAGCAAGGGAAGAAAAGAAAAATCATTTTATCCATCGGCTAAGAGCCCTCTTCAACCTCAGTTCCCAATCTTAAACTGGCATTTTTAGATTGACTTGTAAACCAGAAGGCTGTCAGTAGCATCCGTATTTTGCACCCTCCTCAAACAACCCTTCTCGAAATCCTTGAATTTGAAGGAATAAATATTTATCACGATTTGAGTTCAATGATACAGCAGAATTATGACCACTATTTGCTAATAATCTAGAAAAACGAATAATTGGCTTAGTTCTTCCCAGAATCTGAAGTCTGATTTGATCCTACATAGGATCAAATCCTACTACTAATATAAACGAATTCGGGTGAGAAGTTTACCGTACAAGCGAGTAAAAAGAAGACAAAAAAGACTCTCAAGTTCTCTGTAATAGATTGCCCATACGTGGTCAGTAAGCCTGTGAGGCCCACTTAATCTGACGATATTTCAAGACAGGGGTATATTCATCATAATAATGGACATACCATTTTATTCTTTTATTCATGCATGATCTTCACATGAGATGTTTATGTGTGCAGACATAGGACAATGTTTTGTTTCCGGCGGTAGAGGAGAGAAGAGTCAAACAGAAACAAATGTCTCTTGAAGTTGATAGGGACAATTGGTTATTAGGGTCATGAAGAAACACATGATGATATATCTCTGGTTGTTGTGTCTCATGATATTGAATCGCAATAATATATACATCTGCATGTAACCTTCATCTGGTGTAACCACAATATATAATCTGCAGCTGTGTCTGGAGTATATCCACGGACACATCCATTCCACAATTTTGCGAAGGCCCCAAAATTAGAGAATGTGAGGAGTTGATCATTATTCCCTAATTAACTAGTTTGTTCTCTAGTTAACTAGCAAGATCTGTCACAACTTAGCAAGGAGAATTGGAGCTTGGCAGGAAAATGATTTAAGATGCCGATCGCCAGCCTGGTTAAGCCCTATCGCTGATCAAGTATCAAAGGATGTACTGCCAAAGCAGTCAAATAGATAGCACTAAAAACCACCTTCTCTCATCTTGACTCAATCTCAGGCTACAATCTGCTATTTATAGAAAAGCCATTTCATTGAAAGAAATATGACATGTTCACCGAGAGTTCCAGATACAGTCAAGCCTGAGTGTCCCTAGAGACCCACGCCTATCCATACCGGGAGGAGAGAAAGGGGACCCTCGCATTATTCCAATTCGGGTTCATTAGTTAGTGCAATAGTTAACGAGTCGAAAATTTTGATCGCAACTCAAGGCTGATTTCGCCAAGCACTCACCCAGGTCCTGCTAATGCTTTAGGCACCAGCATCCTGGATTGACTGGGATTTGATACCGCCGCTCTAGGACCTGGGTCGAGATTTTGGGGAGTGTCCGGAGGCTAGTAACCGCCACACCGAAATGCTCCTTCAAGCAAATACCATCATCGGGGGGTCAAGGACAGTATGAGCTTTCACTGTTCTAGCCCCGAGTTTCAATCAGCGGCCTTCCCGTCCAACTTCTCCACCAATCTAGTAATTTTACGTTCAAATTACACAATTACTAGAAGTTACAGGCAAACATAATTGCATTGTAAACTATTCTCTCCACTGAGAGCATGTATGATGAGCAGAGCAGGATGCCCACGGGTTCCAACATACACTGTACAAGGTTGTATATCAGATTGCTCAATTCCTGCTCTTTTTTCTCCTTTATTGAATCTCCATACGTGATTCATCTCTTCTTGAACAGTCAAACCCACCCACTAACTTATATATAGACAACTTCCTTGACACTTTCTCTTTTGTTTTTCTACTGACAGCTTTTTAATTCTTGTTTTTCTTTGTCAGGAGAGTCATTCTATGCATGGTTATCTGACCCTTCTTAACTAGCTTATTTAGAGCTTAGATTGATTGAACTGAGTGAGCTTCATAATACAGTGGTTGAGATATTACTTAGCTTTCTTGTTTTACAGCTTTAATTGTTATATATTATAAGATATAACTGATTCAAAAGCTTGAGGATTATAAAATATTTTAAAATATTAAAATATATATTTAAATATTAAAATAAAAGAGAATCTACTTTAAATATAAAAAAATAACTTTTTAAATATTTAAATATTTTAAATATTATTTATAAAATTTTTAAATTTAATTATAATTATAATTAATATTTTAATATATAAAATAATATAATTTTTATATAATTTTATATAAAAATTTATATTAATTATTTAATAATTATTTAATTTAATTAATTGATAATTTATTTTTATTTTTATTAAAATATAATAAATAATTTTTTATATTAATAAGTTAAATATTAAATATAAAATATTAATATATTTAATTAATTATAAAAAGTTTTATTAAAATATAAATTTTTAAATTTAATTTAATTTAATTATATAATTATTATAATTATATAATTTTATTTAATTTTATTAATAATATATATATTATATAAATTTTCATATAAAGTTTGTTTATAATTATAAACTCAAAAGACTTGAGTCTTTAACTCAGCATATCATTGAATTGATTAAATTTATAATTCATAGTAAATAAGATAATAAAGTTAACTTGACTAATAAAAAGAAGTTTAACTATTGTTTCAGAGCTCAAGAAAACTGATCTTATTCAGTTTTGAATAGTATCCAATGAACAAAGACTGATAAATCTCTTTTTGCTCTACAATCATATAGTTGATCAAACTAAAAGATTGAGCAAGAGATATCATGCATCTGAGCAGCAGCTCAAACACTTTTGAAATTTGACCTTTTTCGAAAGCTTTAATAGCTAATGAGGATTCGACCTCCCTGATAGGAACTGACTGCCTATTGTTGTTGACATATTGACAACTCGGTTGAAGAACGCGTCGCGTGGTGAAGTGGACGGGAGGTGTATGTGTATGTATGTATGTATGTGTGTGTGTGTGTGTGTGTGTGTGTGTGTGTGTGTGGGATGGGAGGTGTGGATTACAACTAGTGTCATTGCTTTTCGCTTTGCGTTTTGAATACCTGGTAACTTATTGTTGTGATCTGACATCTCAGTTGCAGGAGATGTTTGAGATTGTTCAGCTTGGAAAAAGTATGTAAAGTTTTAACGTGTTTGTGTGTCTTTGCCATTCGTGCGTTCTGAGCCTCGTGTTTTGTTACCCTGCCATACCCAACCTCCTACACAACTATCCGGGCGAGGAAGGATAATACAGGTAGGTAGCTCATAGTTGCTGTGATGTCAAAGAAGTCGAACTTTATTGACACAGGGGTTACTCCAAATATTTTAACTCTGCATGTTCCGTCCAGATTGTGAGGGCAACCCAAACTCTCCTTGACCGAAGAAGCAAGTTTATGCAGGAACACTGCGTTTGTCCTCTCCAGCAGCTTGCGCGGCTCCCCATACTCGTTTCTGCCCCTCAATCGGCTTGGTTCAATGGCTATCAAAAGCGGACTCCGCTCTTGTGGCTGAATTTAAACATATTTAAACGAGAGCATAACAGGCAAAAAAGATACGGTACGGTATTTCTGGGACCGTTGCTTCGTTGCCCCAAGATCATATTATTATCCTATAATTATTATATGGGGGTGGCAGGGCGCGCGCCATTCATGTTTTCATGAAAATGAAGTTCTAACGGCTAACGGTAACATCTCTCTTTCGGAAACTTCCCAAGGTTGTCAGCAACCATCACCTTACCATCATTCGCCCAATTGTTTCCCCCCCCCCCCCCCCCACCCTTTCTCCCACTTTCTCCCCTCCTCCATTCTATCTACATCGTACGGAGTAAGGTAGAGTGCATTCCACTTTTCTTGAATATCTACGCCCGCTGCTAGACCAAGATTGAGGTTCCTAGAAAGCCTACGTCTCCCGCATGGAACCTTTGGGGCTTTAAAATCGGAGTTTAAGTTAGTGAATCCCAGAAATTATCCCTGCAGTCCATCGAATTTCGCCGGGGATATTCATACTCGATGTATTTCCTATTCGCATATCTCAGCCCTTCGATTTCACCCTGAATTCCAGCTCGTTCGGGATCGCTATTCCGGCCCAAAGTTTTGTCTGCTATTACAAACCCCGTTGCTAACAGCCACGCAAAAGATCCCCGTTGTTGAACACCGCCGAACACTTTCCCCAATATCTACACGGTATTTCCTTAATAGCAATAGTTTCGAAGCCTCTATGGAATTTTTTGTTATCAGGATTGCTGCAGATATTTTCACGACTTTTGTCCGCTTTTCCCAAGTCCTGCGAATCATCACTACAATCTCGAAAAACCGATCCTTGCGACCATTACACACCACGAACCGAGTCTTATTCTTTCGACGACTGCGGTTCATGAACGAGCAGAACACCCTTCGATATTTTGCGCATTATTTTAATTTGTCAATCTTTCACACGAGATGTTTAGCATTGTTGGGATATAATACGAGCTTAGACCTGTTTTGAATTCCCAACCCTCACTGTGGCTAACCATAGAGATGGATTCGTCGCGTGAACACTCTGTGCTCGGTTCGAGAAGGGGTTTATCAATTCGTCCAATTTATACGCATATTGGCAGCTCTAATGTCCGACCAAAGCGGCCCCCTCGACCGGATGACGAACCAGATCGAGAGACTCCGGGTGATAAATCTCTTCTCAAGTCGGAAAGCTCAAAGACCTCTTTGAAGAGCTTGTTCTCACGCAACAAGACAAATCGTCATGCTAACCATGAACAAACCCTCCCTGCTATCGCAGAATCTCAGAGGATTATGGATGCGAGCATAATACCAGATTATATTTCTTCCACAAGCCCATCAACCATCCTACACACACCTAAATCGTCGGCTCCGTTATCGTCACCTTCCCTAGGAAAACCAGGTCCTAACAAAGCTCAAAAATCTTCCAAATTCTTAAAGGAAAAAAACCAAAAAATCTCTAAAACAACTACATCTTGGGATCCTCCTCCGCTGTTCCAAGCTTATCCACAGGCAATCAAACAGGGCATTCTTTCTGCTCCTACGGTTTCCGCGGAATCTATTTTACGGATTACTAGCCACCGGAGAAATAATCCTATAAAGGATGGCTTTTCAGATATTGATGCTGATGACGAAAGAATCGCGTCGACTAGTTCCAAGAAGCGGAAAGACGAGAAGGGCAAGAAGCATTCACGCGGATCAGGATCCAACAACAAATTTGAATGGACACAGAAGATTTTCATTCTTGTCACAAGTGGTTATCTTTTGCAATATCCAGGCGAAGGGAACTTCGATCGCCTACCTGATAAAATGATGGAGCTTGGTAAAAATTCTGTGGCCTTTGCTAGTGACGCTATCCCTGGGAAACACTGGGTGCTACAGATTTCACAAACGCTCGACGAGGACGGATCAGTGACTTTGGATACCAAAAAGACTTTCCTCTCTCGCTTCGGTTTTACCGATTCTCGAAGACAGACAAAGTCTCTACTTTTGGTTTGCGATAGCCCGGAGGAGATGACATCCTGGCTTGCAGCTGTGAGACGAGAGATCGAAGCCCTAGGGGGAAAGGAATATGTGCCCGAAACACCACTAGAACCTCCAAATGGGAGTTTTCAGCATCCCCAAACTCATCGACAATCTGTGATGCCTGACAAAATCCCATCGGTCCCCATTCCCATGGCAAGTAGGGAATTTACTAAGTCCTCTCCTACCATTTCGGCACCGATTATACCAGAAGAACCCAAGGAGGAAAATAAGCTTCTTGACAACAAAGCAGCTGATGAAACTTCCAAAAGGTCAACAAACCGGCTATCTACATGTCGACAGTCGATTGAAGCGCCTTCATCTTCAACTACGGGAACGATTACCGATCTAGATCGGCTACGAGAAGGGTCGAGGTTATCCTACGTTTCCAATGGGACAAGGACGATACCAAGCTCGAGAGCTTCTTCCCCGGGACGGTCTCCTGCCAGACCCACCGGTGTTGTGCCTAATCCGGGATTTGCCGAATCCCCAAGTAGCATTAGGAGCACCCTTACGGACTCGGGTAGCAAACTCCTGTCTGCTCATGCGTATCCTGCAATCCAGTCAGACGGTAGTGGTTCTGACAACAATGGGTCTCGCTTCCCTTCGATTGTTGGACCACTGAATACCGCAACTTCATCTCCTCCCAATTTCAGCGTACCGGTTTTCAAAAGATTCTCAGCATCCTCCCATTCTGCAGCCCATCTATCGTCTCGAAAATTTCAACATCAAGTCTCCCCTCCCCCTTCTCCTCGTCTAATTAGACCTAACTCCCGAAACCACCTTTCTTGCTTGGACGACATTGTAGCAGCTCCGCAGTTGATGAATGGGCATGCAGAATCAAATAAATCATGTAAGGAAACCGACATTTCCCAACATCCCGTTCCGTTTATATTTGATCCAAACGTCCCTTCGCGTACTGCTCCATCTCAAAAGTCCAGAGAAATCAGATCAAGGCGGTATTCATCCTTCGAGTCGTCGTTCCGCAGCACCTATAGCTTAGCCTCAGATTATCGCCCAAAACTTTCACCAGTAACCAACGAAAGCAGCGAAGACGGACACAAGAGCGACGCCTTATCACAACACAGTGGCGCACAAGCATTAAACAAGAATTTCAACCACATATCTGCAGCTGCAAATACCGAGACCAAACAATTACGCCGGCCGACCAGCATGCAAATCGGATCCGAAGCCCGTCGCCGATCATCATCTGTCAATGCTCCTCAAACTGGTACGCAGAAGGAATTCTCGTCCCCGGAGATAAGATTCTTCTCCTCTTCCTTCAACTCTTCCTCCTATCGACAGGGCAGAGCGCAACTAGCACACCCAGAGGTTATATTGGATACTTCCCCACCAGCTAACCACAACCACAACCACAACCACATCCCGACCTCCTGTCTCCGAAATTCGTTGCATAAAAGCACGTCCCACCTCTCCCTAGGCCCACCCGTCGCTCCTCCACCAGACTGCCCCTTGCCAAAAGTGCCACCCAAAGTCCCATCTCAGTTCAGTCACGCATGGAAGCATGATCAATCCCCGCTATTGGCACCAGGTCGTAGTGAAGCTGTCGGGCACAGAGACAGATCCAGGTCTAAATCCAGGTCTGGAACTAGAACTGGCCCAGATGAGAGCAAGGAGGCCCAAACAACGCCAATTTTACCGGTTGATTTGCGGGATGCGGAGACTTCTTCGCATCTGAGTGGGATGACGCCGAAAGAATATAGTATGGTCAATGCGTTTTAAACTGCTAATGGCTTTCAGTCTCGCGATGAATCATACCGCATAACGGATTTTGCCCTATTAGATGGGGCTTATTTCCTCACCACTGACAGCGTGGAATTCCTTCCATTTCATTCCCCTCCTTTTTTTTTGGCTTTCTGACCATTCCTTGGATATATTGCACACTGGACACTATTTTGTTCTTTTTTTTTTTCTTTTTGTTCTTTTTTTTTTTTTTTTTTTTTTTTTTTTTTTGAATATGCACTAAAAGCTATATATTTATCTGTAATGCATATGCCCATATGGTCATCTCTCCCCTGCTCCTCTTTAATACTTCCTTTCCTTTTGTCTTCTGGTTTCCTTTAAATATTCCGGCCATTTTATGAAGTTCAATGTTACGCATGCAAACATACCCCCACCAACTTTTATATATATATCCACATATTATTTTCTATGTGTTCTTCTCTTTTAAGGCTTTTGGTCTAAGATATCAATGTGACTCTTTTGATGTCAATGTTTTCACTGTCATTTTCTTAATTCTTTTCATCTACACAATCTTACTCATTGTATCTGATCACTGATGTTAAGGGAGAGTGATATACCTGTATGCCTCTGCACTTATGTACTTCATTAAATGGCTTCCACCAGCACCACTTGTCATATATCGTGTTACAAAGTCTTTGTTTATAAATAGTGGTATCTCCTTCTGTCATGATAAAATAAAAAGAAACATCTTGATATGTTTTGTCCGTGAATTGTACTACATTCTTGATGGCAGCTCAGGTCCGCAATTTAGTTATGTTGCCTTTGCAAAACCCAGCATCAGTGATATACTCACAATTTGGAGGTGCAAGCTGAAATAAAGAATGAAATCCGCGAATCGAAGTGGTCCTTTCGTGGTCCTTTCGTGGTTCTTGATGAGAGACTAGGTATGATGGATAGCGACACACTCCCCTGTGTGCCACTCCACACTTCACCCCAATGAAGGAGATAAAGAGGTGAGCTGAGAGAAATGTAAAATTTAAAACAGGAATACCCCAGTTGTTCAGAAAATGGATCCGGATGATATATGAAGACGAAGCGAATTTTGCTTCTCAGATTTATGTGTTTGATAACTTTCAATGAGTAGTCCGTAAATCCATGTCCGGAGTATGATCGTTGATTTTGGCTGGCCAACTAACCACCCCCCTGAATATGCAGGAACAGAGTTTATGCAAGTCATTATGCAATCGCCTATCAACAAGCCGTTGCCACACACTCTCTCTCTTACAATAGCGATAGCTAAGGGTGGATTATCTGAGGGCCTGTGGCTTCTTGGCTATGAAGATTGTGATGATATGAATAATAGTACACACCATGGAAAACAAATCAGGACCTGAAAAGATGAAATGGATGGACCACAGGTTTTGCGCGGGAATCATATATACCTTCCTTTTCGCGTTACGTAGCGATATTGAATGAAGTAAGATAAACCACCGGCTTGGAAATAGAGCGCTCACGATAATTCTAATACAGAAGGAGAAATTCCAATAAACGCATCCCATATTATTGTTATATACTTCAAAAACGCCATTCAGAGAGCAGACCTATAAGGAATCGTAATTGCTGCTGGTCGAAGATAAATAATAGGACTCAAACCCATTTTCCTGGACATATGAAATAAGATAGAGAAGAAGCTAGCTAAAATGCAAAAGGGTCTCTGTTAAAACAACAGAGGGTTAAACAATTGCTGTCGGAGTTTTGATGGGAAAGCAGAACAAGGGAATATGAGTAACCAAGGTTAAGTAACAAGAAAAGGCTTATTACAGTCATTCTTCGTTCGCTTCTTCTACCTTGGGGGTAAGATCTCGTCTTACGGTCCCAACAACAGCTGCAGCTGAACCTGACGCTTCCCCGGTCGATACATTCGTCCCGGATGTAGCTGTTTGCTTATTTTTAGCTGGTTTGGCAGGGGAAGAAGATGCAGTGTCCTTGTCACCCTTTTTGGATTTCTTCGATTTCTTTTTCTTGGTCTGGATAAAGTTGGGTTAGGAAATCATCTTCCATGGAGAATGTGATTGAATTGGTCAGGACATTGTCCATCCCAGAAGAAATAGGTAACAATACAAAATTAAGAACGTACCTCTTGCCAACCCCACATTGGTCTGAAACTGTCAAAAAATCCCACGTCCTCGAACAGATTGGGGTACAACCAGAGACCAGGTGGAATTGCAAAGAAGGTAATGCAAAACAGGATCAGCCGGAATATCGACATGGCAAAAAATAGACCTAGCAAGCCCATGATGCCAACACTCAGGTACCAAACCCCTAGTCTGAGCATAACAGGCCATAGCGGGAACATAACAACTGCCATAATTGCGACTAGGACACCCGCAGCCATTGCCTTTTGTTTCCACTGAGGACCTTCGTATAACCAGACGTAATGCATCATTGGGTCTGTCTCTTGATGCTGCTCCACCTGGACTGTCCACAGCCCCTTTACGTGGCCTTTTGGTTTCCCATGGTTGTGTCCGGCATGAGGGTCGACTTTGGAAACTCGAAGCGCGAGAAGAGATAGGGGTAGGAGTTTGAATGCATTTTCGGCGGAAGCCTGATCTGTCACTGGAGGAAGAAGAGAATTGGGCTTTGATTGAGCTTTGGAGTATGCAGGGGACTGTAAAGCTCGTACAGCACGTTTGACTGATTTCCGCATTTTAATTAGCTTTCGACATCATCCAAGATCCAGGCCAATGGAAATATGGGAAGTAACAGCAACCTTTAAATAGCTCTTTCCTTTGGCCATCCAAAATACAGGTTCTGGGCTTTAAATCTTGGGATTTGAGAAATTGAGCCACTGCGACAGCGCTGGGATCTGGTGGTGCATTAGAGTTCATGGGTACATGTTGCTCTGTTTGCTGTCCTTGCGCCTGCGCCTGCGCCTGCGCCTGTTTGGCCTGCTGTTGCTTTTGATGCTGTTGCAAAGCTTGAGCTTTGAGCTGATTTATATATTGCTCTGGAGTCAGGCCATGTTTCGCCGCCTCTGCAGCAAGCTGTTGTCGTTGCATGTTGCTGAATTCCTCTGGGGTCATTCCGCGCTTCGCCGCTTCAGTTGCGAGCTGTTGTTGCATAGCAGCAATTTGCTGCTGAGTTGGTTGGCCGGGAGCGGCCATTTGCTAACCAGAGAAGAAAATTAACAAATTAAATTAATTGCGGAAAGACCAAGAAAGGGCAGAAAATTCACCACACCTGTTGCGTTGCTGTTGTAATTGTATTATGTTTGATGAACTTGTCAAAAGTTAATAATACTTTTGTTGAACATTCAGAAGTCGAAGTGGCCAGATCAGTCGCCATATCATGTGATACAAGCGACGATTCGCGTCTGGCGCTTAAACCAACCAGTACATTAGTTAGTTAATTAAGCGCTGTTATGTCATAAAAGGCGATGCGCAAATTACAATACGTATATAAAAAGGAGGTAACATAAATACATTCCCAACTTGAACTAGGCACCACCAGGCCATTCGATTTCTTAACATGCCGGTAGTGTCCATATCAGCTAATTATACGCCGGACGCCAGTGCTACTCTTGTATCTCTATGGAAGATTGTGCAGCTGGTAATATCTTTATTCATATATACATTTCAATAGAGAATTTCGTCCTCCTAACATATATATCATAGTCACAAAGGGATGTTTCGGCACAAATACCAATCAATCACGTCGCCCATCCAGGCGTTTCTCTGACATCTGCCTGCTTCAGCAATAAAGTGTATGAAGAGCAGGCCCTGGTGAGATGCATGTCGAACCTTTTGGCCGTTGATAATCGTCGATTTCATGTCGACCTATACTGGTCCGAAGCGCAACAACGCTGGATATTCTGTCCAGCTACAGTTGATTCCAATGCACCAACCAGGCAAGGGTCCCCGAATACCCCTCTGATCGGATCTGTGCCACAAGGAAATTCTTCGATTCGGAGGATGGACAGAGGTGACTTAATGCAAGCACGCGAAGCCAAGACCCCTTCCAGCAACTCATTGCCGTCAATGGCCAACCATGCTGCTCGTGTAACAGAATCAACTACTCCGGAAAAGCCTTCTACTTCCGCCCCAGTACTATATAGTGTTGGATCGTACTCATGCTCCAAGTCTCTTGATCTCTCTACATTTCTCAGTTTTCTAGAGAGTTATTTTTGGCTGACGAATGATACCCTCAATGCCCATATGCTATATATCTTGATCAACCTACATTCAGCTGCAGCAGCAGATTCACCTGACAAGTCTAGCAATGCTCCATCACCTGGAAAACACCCTTCAGGCGCAAATCTTCTTGGATCACTGTTTGAAGAAGCATTGCAAGAGTTCATGTACACCCCGAAGAAGCTTGAAGAAGAGAGAAGCAACCTGAACCGTTCATGGTATTCTGTTCCTTCATTTTCTCATCCTATTTCAGAATATTATACGACTCACAAAAACTCCAAAGGCCTCCATAGCACTCCCGACGGCTGGCCATGCGAGAGTTATGTGGAAAGGACTCGTTTGCACCGATTTTTGGTTGGTTGGGGCACAGTTGACCCTCAAATGGCGTCCTACAATTTCAATGGCGACAATGATCTTATTTTCCCCGAAGGCTCGCTTTCAACATTTAGAGAAATTAAAACTTCTAATGCCAATAATGAACCTGCAATCGAATTTGGTTGTTTATTCGACCCAGAAGCCACAGACGCCTCCAACCCGAATGCGTCATGGGCTGAATCAACCGCTGTTCAACAATACCCTTATGACCCCACTCATGTATTGAGCAGTGAGCTAATGGCATGTGGCATATCACCCACAATAAATTCCAGCCTCTCCAATATGACCGCTGATGTGGATTTCAAACCCTATCAAAACGCTTCTCGAGCTTCACAGTGGGCCTGGGTACCGGGTGAACCGATGTCACCAGACTTACGACCAGAGCCATCAACTAATCTCAGATGTGCCCGGGCTGATGTATCTTTCAAAGGACGATGGGTCCCCGCAAAATGCTCCAGCGAGTTCTATGGGGCGTGTCGCATCGGAAACCAGCCGTTCCGCTGGGCCCTAACGCCCCATCGTGTCCCATATGACAAGGTGTCACATAAATGTCCGAAGAACTCTACATTTTCCACTCCTCGAACAAGCCTAGAAAACACCTATCTCTACCACCATCTCATGTCTATGCCCCAAAGTGTAATCAATGCATCCTCCGCTAATGTCCATGAACGCAGCGTCTGGATAGATCTCAATTCTCTTGACGTGGCCAATTGCTGGGTCTCTGGTGGTCCCCAGACGCAATGCCCGTACGAGGTGGATTATGCTGCTGTTCAACTGCGGGCAGTGCTTGTACCCACAATAGCGGCTATCATTGTGTTGGTCATCGCGGCCTTGACCATATTTGTCAAGTGTAATTCCAATCGCAGGAATTCGAGACGGACAAGGATCATTGAGGGATGGGAATATGAGGGTGTTCCATCCTAGTATATTTACTCCTCTCTAGAGTGAGACACCAGGATTTGGAAGAGTTGATGATGTCTGCCAATTTTGCCTTACATTTTTTGAACATATTTCTCCGTATATTTTTATCATTTTTTTTCTATGTAATATATTTGAATCAGGTATATAAAATAATTATCGAGCCGGATATTGATATCTGAAGAGGAAAAGCCTCGGAAGGACCTGCGACTGAGATCCAAGCTATCTATCTTATGTCACGTTATATAGTCTGAGTGACAACAAAATCTATATTGTACATTTTGGAAAACTATTATACAACCCCTAGCTTTGCACAAGATATTACAAACCTATACCGCCCCTCTCCAACAAGTACTCATGCTCCAATCCGTCAATATGTCACGACAAGACCTCCAACATATCTTCCACCCGTCCAAACTTCTCCCTCACTTTACCTGCAGCCTTTCCCCTCTCCACCTCCGCCCGGTCAATCTTTTCCCAATCCTCCCAACTCGTCGGGTGAAGGCCAAGCTGCTTTGCTTCCGGACGCACACCCTCCCAACCAACACCCGTACTCCCGCCTTCAGATGAGTTGAGAAACGCATGTCCGTGGCTACCAGCAATATGCGACGCCCAATCTGCCGCAATCGCGTCAGCGGTAGCAAACGCGTCCGTCATCGTCGACGCAATGACACCAGTTGGGCCTCTCTTAACCCATCCTGCGCAGTAAATACCAGGTACTTGAGTCGGTTCGGACTCAGTAGATAATTGCGTGGTTCCATTTTCAGATGGAGAAGAACTGGTAATGACGCGCCCTTGACCATCATTGGGGATAATGCCACGGGAATAGTTGAATTGGATATTGAGGTCCTCGAATCCTGGGAGCGGGAGGGACTGGTATCCGATGCTGCGGAAGCAGGTGCTGGCGGCGATATCTACATGAGCGACATGCCCATCGTCTTGTAAAATAGGGGTTACTTTGGAGGTTGGGGAGAAAGGGTCCGCTGGGTCGAGTTGGTTTCGGGAAAATTTCATGTATGAGAGGATGTCTGGATTTGAAGGAGAACTGTGAAAGGAATGTGGAGAGAGAAGGAAGTCGAGAGACCAAGACTTAGAGGCCTCTTGTGGATCCGTGGTCGAGCCTTTTGCAAGGAGCTGGGTTATGCGTTTCTGGACCCTAGGGAGTGATTTTATAGTTGATTCTGGGGGGAAGAGATATTTGGGAATAGGCTCGAAGGAGACTGAAGGGAGTTGGAGGATTTCTCGTACTTCTTTGATTGTAAACGCGGCCTAGGAAATTATAAGGTCAATTGTACGTGTTGTTGAGAATCAATATAGCCTGAGAGAGACAGAAAGCCTTACCTGCATTGGACCTCTCCGTCCAACCACTCTCACCCTTTTGATCTTACTCCTTGCCAAGTTCTCCAACGCATATTCCACCATATCCGTCTTTCTCAAGACATCTATGTCTGTTAACAACACTCTCGCCACATCCATAGCCACGTTTCCCTGTCCTATTATAACCGCGTCCTCTCCCAAAGTCAGCGCTGGCGCCAGGTCCCTATATTCTGGAAGCCCGTTGTACCAGCCAACGAATGCTCTAGCCGAATATATACCACGTATAGATTTTTCACCAGGAATCCCAAGATCTTTATCCTTCGATGCCCCATACGCAAACAGTATAGCATCGTAATGGGGTTTGAGAGTCCGCAGCGGAATATCTACGCCCAAGTCGATGTTTCCGATAAATTTGAATCGTGGTGACGTTGCGACTTCTGTAAATTTCTCCTGGCAGTTCTGTTGCAATTGAGAAAAACTTAGTCTATTTACTCTATAATTATACAGCCTATCTTTATTTCAGCAATAACTATTTGCTGGAGCTCATACCTTCACCTCCGGATGGTCCGGGGCAACACCAAATCGGACCAGCCCAAATGGAACAGGGAGTTGCTCGTACATATCCACGCAAGCATCTTCAACCTTAGACATCAGTCTATACGCAGCGTAGAAACCAGCAGGGCCTGAGCCAACAATTGCAACCCGCAATGGATGACTCTGGGCCGCATTGCTGCTATATCGCTTTCGCTGCGAAAGCCATGGCGAGCTTGGTATGCTTATTTGCGAGGCGGCAAGTAGCCGATTGGCCTGGATGAGGCATCTAGCGCATATGCTGGGAGCGCGTGACAAACTCATTGCCAACAAAATGAGTGGCATGGTCGTCAATCCACCCTCTGATGATGCGAAACATATTGTTGTCGTCTTACATAAGACTTAATTCGCCGCAGAACGCCACTTGATGCGGCTGCTTAGCGTTGATCGACGGGTGTTGCCCCACCAACAATCGGCTAATGTTTACCCCAATACATATACAACGCCACAATATGCGCGACTTCACATTGCGACAGCAGCGCTTGTCAGGCAGAGAGCTCCATCCATATCCTCATTATTTCTCATAACCTGGTTTACATTCGATCTTTTGACCTTTCAATCCGTTGCTGAAATTCTCTCCTTAATTCCCGCATTTCAGATCCACTGGTTTGTTCTCCCATCGCGGACATGGGACGAACGGAGCCGCCGTTTCTCTATGACGGACCAACCCATAACCGTTTCTCTGGCATATCAGACAACTTTGATCCAAAGGCTGTGACGCAAACAAGCTGTACACCGCGTGAGCCTCGAATGGAAAGAAAGGGACCCTTTGTGAACTTCAATCGGCATCCGGATTCTGTATGGAACCTCTAGGGATATGAAATAACTATAAATATATGGAATTACAATTTGCTAATATTGTACGCAGTACGCTGTGATTCCAAATGGAAATGATAACAAGAAAACGATGAGCCCGAAGACCATTGACAGGATAAAATACACAAGGATCTTTCAATTGATATTGAGGATTTTGGCTCTTGTTGGAGCGCTGGGTTTGCTGTTCTGTGTGATATGCATTAAAGATACGAAGGGAGAAGTGTCGTGGATGATCCGTGTTGCAGTATGTATTTGATCACTATCATCGCGTGGATTACGTTTATGACTCAATGTTCTAGCCCGCCGTTGCAATTCTTCATACCGTATACGGAGTCTACCATCTGTGTGGTTCCTTGACGGCTCGCAGTCCTGCCTCATCTGCTAGCTATATGTTGTTTGCGTGTGTTTTAGACGCTGGGCTAATTCCGCTCTATCTCTTTATCGGCATCATAGCTAGAGTCGAGCACGATAGCAAGACATACGGCTGGGGTACCCTTTTCGATAAGGAAATGACAACATCCAAAATCATCTATGCAATCTTTGTTGGTTGTTGTGTTGTTGGAGCACTGCACCTTGTATCATTGGTTATATCTTTTTATTTGGCAGTTATTTTCCGCAAAATCTCTAAACTTCCGCCGGATATGAATCCATTGGAAAACCACCTTACCACGCGTCCTCACAAACGCAGCAAATCCGAGATTGCAGATATCGGAGAGAAACACCTAAACACCACCACAGCTGACTCCCCTAACTCCAATCGCATGTCTCTTACTCAAGAACCACTGATTAATCCCCCTCGCGCTGTTCCTTTTCTTCACATCCGTTCTGGCTCCGTTGAAACTGGTGTCAACGATCCGATGGAATCCGCCTATTCAGCCCAATTTCATCGACATTCGCGTTCGGATCTTCCCAGCCAACAGATGCGTCAGTATGGGCAATTCCAGCATACCCCGGTGGCCGCCGCACGCACTCCTGTGAGGGACCATGTTGGCATCTCATCTCGACCCCAGTTTGCCGTTATCAACACTCCTCCCAAATCTGAGAACTCGCGCCCTGAATCCCCTAAAATCACCACCCATGATCCTAGTGGTATGCCATCTTTAGCGAATGATAACCGGTTCGTCCATCCCTCGTCGCCGTGTCCTCCATTGCATGTCGATCGAGTTTCTCCGCTGCCCGGCCGCCTCGGATCTCCCGACATACATGGCAGTGAGTTTGGCGTGAAAAATTGGGAGACTATGGAAGACACATATGACTTTAACCGGAGCGGCACAGTTGTGCGGCATCGTAGTAAGGACAGCTATAGTCTTTCGAGTAGCTTCTATAGTGTCAATGAAAACGTATATGGCAAGGAGCATACAGAGAATCTGTACGTGGATGATCAAGATGTGGACGATAACCTTCGGACCAACAATAACTATCAAGTCTCGGAAGGTCAGACAGATGTACCATCACCTGTCCTTCATCCACTGGAAATGAACCCCCCCACACCACAACCTGACGAACAACAACAACTCAATTCGTATAGTCAGTCAAGAAGCATCCGCCGCGTTGCGTTGACTGACATGCCAAACTCATCGCTCAACGTTCCAGGATATTCGACCCCGGTGAAATCTCGAGCATTGGGGGGCAGCGAGTCTAAATACGGACAACACTTTAACGACCTCAATGGGTCTGCCAACGGCGCAACCCAAAATAGCACGGGGAAAAACTCCACCCCAGGCAAAAATCGGTGGACACTTAGGAGTGGTAAGCCCTCCGCATACAAATCCCTACATGGCGATGACGATAGCGATGACGGCAAAGAAACCAATCCAGCTCCCCGCGATCGCGATCGCAAGGGCCGCGTGGTCAGCAATTCTGGCATTGACTTGGGGTCGAATTTTGGGCATGGCTCACCTGGCTACGGCAGTTACATTGCTGGTCTAGGTGTTGGGAGGAGAAGGGATGTTAGCGGGAAGGTCGCGGAAGAAGGACGGAATTGCGCTGGAGCTGTTGAAGAGAAAGAGAATGCGACGAAGCAGAAGGGATGGCTCCTTTCGAATTCTGGCGGTGGAGATATCAAGGCAGCTGGATGGGCTCGTTTTAAGGGGTTGTAAATGCGTTGTCACATTATTTTCCGACCTCCATATTCAACCAATTGGCAGATATCGTCCTTGAATAATATTTCGATGATTGGGGCAAATCGAACGAGTGGCACACGAAGTTTGTATCTGTTTCTTCCTTTTTTTGTCATTTCAATTTAATAGTCAGTTTCTTACTCCACCGCCCTTTTCCTTTCGTTACTGGACAACCAGAGGCGCTGCACAATATTCGCCAGCTGTATACGAGACTTATTCTGATTTTTGATATCCCCTATTTCCCATTTGCTTGATAATGCTGGATTTTTGTTTTTTTTTTTTTTTTTGAATATTTTTCTGTCTTCTTGGCTATTTTGGATGGGATTAATGATATTGATGTGCGTAATGTGATAATGTATCCATAAAACAGAATGGAAATAGCTATTGTGTCCGAGTGAGATTTGCCGTTGTGTCCACTCTTAATTAGGACTCGATACCCCGCGGGATCGGTGAACGAACTTTTCTTCTCTTCGGTTCGTCGCTTGGATGTTCCAAGTTTACTTCACTCAGCTAATTTAGCTGCTGCTGCCACTTCACCGTCGAAGAAACGATAGCTATGTCCAACCTCCAGTCTCCAGATTTTCGGAAATCTCTCTTTGCTTCTTCCGCTTATTTGCCTCCAGACATAAAAGAGAGGGAATAAAATCCTACCCCTTCCTTCACTGGTTAACTTTTGCCAATGTAGGGGCAGGCCAAAATGGCTCGCCAGCGTGTTAATGGATTGATGCCCTTCACCACAACCATTCATTGATCGGGAGCCTAAATGGAGTATTTGGCTTAGTTTAGAGCGTTTGCGATACTTGGTATCCAAGTGATCGGGTTCAGCAAAAATTCAATGCACCTTGATGTTGTTTGTATCGCATTCTCACACCAAGTGCTGTCTGCATGCAAGATAGCTTGAGTTTCACTTCCTTGCCTTACGCTCTTGTATATTTTCGTTCTCGAAGATATTACACAGAAATACTTTCTCTTGCCCTTGCTTTATTTCTGTTGCTGCTGAATATCCTTTCTCTCTCTCTGTTTCACTCTAAACTGCCTCTGAAAATCCTTCGCAGTCTCCTATCCGCAGATATTGATCGATAATTTCCGTTGGATTCCAACTAGCTCTTAAGGATTTCCTTCTGTTGTCTTATAAATATTTTTGGCATTCCAGTATTCAAGCGAAAATGCCTCTCACTAGCATCCGAAAAAAGGCGATAACCTGCTACTACTGGAACGAGAGGACATGTAAATATAGTGACAATGTCTGCACGTACGCGCACCGTCATACTGGCCAGATTGCGAAAAAGCCACAGTTTGCTAGATCCACTGGTGTGTGTCTACATGTTTTCTTGCTAATTTTTTGACCATGATGTTGTTTACTTATTGATATCACAGCATCGAAATCAAGCCAACGAGATACACAAGATCTAATCTCAATCATGGGGGATGATGGAATAGATAATACTGTTACCACCCGGGCGGAAAGCTCTGAATGTCGAACCTTGGCCGAAGCAGTTATCAAGGCTCTACAGACTAAGAGTGACTACCATGGAATTAAAACCATGCTCAGTTCTAATACCTCTGAGTGTGTTCAAGAGGCGCTCAATCAGGGTATCGATGGATATTCTGTCATTTTCGAAGCCGTTAAGCGGAACGATGCTGATATTATCCAGCTGCTCGTTGATAACGGAGCAAATCCCAATGCAACCGAGTATAATTCTGGTATCCCTCTCATCGCATTTGCCATTTTGCAGAATGCGGAAACCGTAGTGGTCCAAACTCTTCTGAGTCTTGGTGCGAATCCGCATTCTATTCCTCAAGACTTTTGGGATTCTACCGCGACTAAATTATCTATGAAGGGTGAGGATTTACGAGCGGGTAACAGGAACGCATCTCCCCAGACCCTCTGGTGCAGCAGTTTTCACCTCGTTTCGCTCCTTCAGCGGCTGGACTTCGGTCTCAGTTATCACCTTCAAGTTGCCAGTGGACCAGATGTCCCCGCAAAAGAAGAACGACAAATTTTTGCAGCACTAGGAATGAAATCTCTCCTCCAGGCACCATACTTTTTGATCGGACAGAGTTTCGCAGTTAAGCGCGTAACGGAGTATGTCAAGTCGCATCTTGTGCTTCCCAGCCGTGGTGCACTAATGTTAGCATTTGTTGGAACCCCTTGCCATGGCCAGGCTGAACTAGCTGCAAAGTAATATCAGCCAACTTCATTGTTGCTCGGGTCGAAAAGACAAACAAACTATTTACTAGCAGGGGAGTATCATCTGACGATCTGTCGATGAACCACTTGAACGAAGTGAAGGTGGTATACTTCGACGACCTGGACAAAACTGGCGGCTCGAACCTTACTACACTGCTGGATGGCCGCGCCCAAGGTGAGTTTATCTCGATAAAAGCCTACCCAATGCGATGCAATCGAACTCATCGTACCGGAGATATATCGAAACTGACACTTTTTTTCTTTCACTCCCTTCCAAGGCACCAAGCAAGACACAGGTAATCCTAGCGTACTCACCAATGCGAAGACCATATGTATTCTCTCCGTAACGGATTGTGAGAAAACAATTCTCGATTTCTATAAAAACTACCTACGATCCAATTTCAAGAACAACTGGCGCTCTGCTCGTTGGGGCCTTCTGGACAAAGCGCTGAGAAAAGACTTAATTAGAACTTATGGTGTATGTAAACTCTCCCCCACTTCATTGACCAGTGAAGACACTCACCTCCTGACGAAAAACACCTCCTGAAGAAAAATTCCAGGCCTCACTAACCAGCGACATCGATGCCATAATCCAATTTCTCCCTTACTCTAAGCTTGAAACAGCAGCTCTCGCACATAGACATGTTAATGACCTGCGTTCTCGCCTGGCTTCTATCCATAAAACTCTTGGCGGCGCCCTCACAAGCAAAACCAGCTCCATATTCACACGCGCTGTCCGTCTCAAGCTCGAAGGCGATGAGGAAGCGATCTACACGCATCTAGCGGAGAAGAGCTATGACATGAATCTTGGCGCACGGTCTACTCAGCAAGGCATTGTTAACAAAATCCAGTTACCGATTATTGAACTGTGGACTAAGAAATGTGCGCATGATCGTGAAGGGGCGGAGGAGGGCAAAAGGAAGGGTTGTCAGATGCGTTGGGTTTGGTGGATGGGTTTGGTGACATTCCTGTCTCCACTTCTTCGGCCTCTGTTGCTGGCAAGGCTGTAGGGGGCGAGGAGGATAGGGGGACTATGTCTGCTGTTGTCAAGTTGGTGAGTGGTGAGGGGTGTGGGTCTAATTCTATTGACATTTCTTTGGAATAGGCAGGGGATGATTGAAGGAGGGAAACGGGTGCGATGGCTCTCCCTTTTGAAAGCAAGGTGCATTACATTGAGCACTTGATACCCAGTAATGAGGTCGTTGGTTGCTTACAGATTCTACTATTTTGATTTTTATCTACGAGTTATGGGCGAGGGATACTCTTTCAAAATGATACCACATAGGTTTGAAGGAGAATTACGCAGTAATGGAAAAATTTTTTAGAAGTATGGCTATCTGCTTTGTCCTTTCTCTTACCTAGTAAACAGGAGTGGGCTAACGGCTCGGGGATAGAGCTTGAGAAGGGTACTCTAGCAAGGTTAAAGGGGCTGTTTGCTACCTTTAAGAAGCACTCCCCACAAATTTCCAACCATTTCATTCTCACGGGAATATCTGCCAGTGTCCGTTGATGTACAAAGTAAATCCTCTCTTGCATTGAATTAACTGCTCATATGTATCCATAATAGCGTCTTCCAGAGAAGAAGTGAGACTAGAAACACAACCTCACACATCATTTGAACCGGATAGCTAAAAAGAATCCGTATAACAAAACTAAAGTTCCTGTTCATTATTTTCCCTTTGAAATCCCCAAATCACAAAAGTTCAACGTCTAAAGCTATTAGTCGGGCAGTGGTAAACTGTCCTTCATGACGGAAGAGGCCACACCTCGCGTTTTGGGTTGGTCCAGATATGTACCTTTATGAAGCTCTCGAACTACGGACTTCTTTTAGAAATCTCCGCAATCGGTTGAGATAATAGAACAAAGGCGTAAAAATGCGAAGGGTTGCCTCAGATATAAATAAGGAGGGATCAGTGGAGAAAGAGGTATGGGTGGCGGAAGACAGAAACTGTCCGCGGGATAAAAACGTTTTGACGAAATGACAAGTGTTACCAAAAAAAAAAAAAGAAAAAAGAAAAAAGAAAAAAAGGAAAAAGAAAAAGAGCAGGACAAAAATTACAAAACGTCAATGACATTTCATGAGAAATCCTCCCCAGGTTCCTCGATATTGTTCTTGACGCGAAGTAATATCGCCGTCTTCCACTTATCCAGCTTGCTTAACTGATCATATTGAAATAGCTTATCGCCAAACGCTTCTGCGTCACCCTGCTCAACAGCTTGCGCCAGATCGACAAGGAGCATATGTTCGCGTGTCGTTGCGAAGGAGTTATCTAGCTCTCTATAGGTCTGTAGAGCGCGGTTGGTGGCGACAAGGTCCTGGGGGAAAGTGTGTCTTGTTAGCAGTCGTTCTTTTATTTTGAGAGATGAAGGAGGGAAATGGACGCTCTTTGTCGTATTTACCTTTGAGGCAAGGTGGCAGATGCCAGCTTTCAGGAAGTAATCTTTTACCGAATACTTCATCAGGCTATTGTTAATGGATGATCTGGCCACACGCTCGAAGTTCTCGACGGCTTTGTAGTAGTCTCCTTTGAGGGCGGCGAGGTCTGCGACTTTGAGAAAATACTTGTTGGCTAGTCTGTGTCCGACCAAACATTTAGCATTCCGTTTCCTCTTCTTTCATTTCTCCTCTCATTTAAACCCCCACCCACCAAGAGGCACAAAAGGAGTTTGGGAAGAGGTAGCGGGAAAGTGACTTACGCTTCCGCGTTGTCTCCCTCGAACCACTCCGCAGCCTTTTCATATGCTTCCAACGCCTTTGATTCATCCCCAATTTCCACCTCGTAGATTTCAGCCAAGTTCTGTTGATGGGTCGCAGCCCGTCTGAAGTTCCCCTTGGAAATATAGTGTTGGATTGCAACCTGGAGCACTCTAGCGGCATCTTCAGGGTCTGTCTTGCGGTATACTTTGAATGCCTCCGTCAAGACATTGGCCGCATCATCTGGCTCGTTAAGATTCTTGGTGAAAACTGCTGCTGCTTTTTCAAACGCCATGCCCGCCTCCTTGTCTGTATTCCGCATGTGTTAAACTACGTATCATGACGGCTATCGGGAACGATTCGAGGTGGGAAAAGAGTCTGGGTGAGACCAACTCATCTTCTGTGCCCGGAACGCATTTGCGGCTTGTGAGTACAGGTCTGCGGCATTTTCATATTTCTCTGCCCGTCCGCCAAACAGACTGAATCCGCCTGAAGCACTTTGGAGCGCTTTGTCGGCCTGTCATAATTACCATCGGTTAGATACGTCAATCAGATTGCGGGGAGTCGATACCAGTGCACACCTTCTGTAGAAGGACTCGTGGATCCTGTGCCATGGTCTGGATTATTGCCCTTTGGAAATAAAAGAACTAGGGGGAAAAATTTAGTTCATGGGGTTAGGAGAGTTGTCAGAGAACTGGTATAGATCGCTGCAGTGCTTTAAGTAAATGGTCCATGGATGCGACGGATGATATAATTATGGGTTCCAATGGATTCTCTTGGCAGAGCCGATGATGTCTGATTGGTTATAGCCACGACGCCTGGTTTTATAGCCACGGCGATTGCAGCAATAAAAAAGTTCGCAATGTTCCGTCTTCGCTTGTGGACTACGACAGCAGCATAGATAACTTTCAACTTATTCGAAGTATTGTACCAAAGGCAGTAGTTCCTGGGTGCTGATTGGCCTATATACATCATCCTATCCTGACTCAATGGCACCCTACTCTATTCGGTCTCTGCGACCGTTCCAACGAGGTATTGTCAATATTACCTACCAGAGATCATCCAGACGTACTCGACCCCCGTCGCCATCAGCAGCTGTTCCCATAGTACGTTCCACTTTCATTCTCTCAAAGCCCAGCTGGTCCGTAAAGTCCCTTTTACCGCAAAACACGCCTCTTCCACAGTCAAGTACTGTGTCGTCGAAACAGCTCCACCATCTCCTGAAACTTTCTGCGCTCCCACCACCCTCGAGCGTTGAGGAGGAGGAGGAAATGCTCAAAACTCTTGAATCACAGATTCATTTTGTGAGGGAGGTTCAGCGCATCGACACCTCTGGCATTACCCCGTTGCGGAGTATTCGCGATGAGACCGTCGAGGCCCAAAAAGAGAATACAATCGGAAAAAAGGACCTTGAGGAATCTCTTAAACAAGAGCAATACGTAGGATGGAGCAGAAGGATTCAGCGCACAAAGGCAGAGAAACTAACTCATCCAGACGGGGAGGTTTGGGATGGCGATGCCTTGAAACCCGCGTCGAAGGTGATAGGGAGATATTTCGTGGTTCAGTCAAGCTGAGGAACCGGGGTATTTATGCGTGTTCTCCATACAGCTATCCACCCCCTGGGTAATATATGCACCTCCAACGCGCTCTCCAACGCTTCCTTTCCTAATCGTCAGCCTCGTTCTCATACCGCAATGACCCAAAAATGTTCCTGCCCGGGGACCCTTTTCAAGCTGGCGGCTGACTCATCAATCAGAGCTCAATCTCTACCTTCTTCGACTGCTCGATGCTCTTTTGTTTACAACATCTCTCCTCCAGTTCGACTACAGCTTTCATGCTTGCCGTCTTTTTGTATATTTTATTTTATTTTATTTTATTTTATTCTATTTTTTTGCCTCAAGCTTCTGTCCAGACATCCTATGCAAGTGACATAAATCATATGCGCGCAGCTTGGGCGGCATTCTACGGACCGTAAAATGGCATCACCAATACCGGGGACTGAACCATGCAGCGGCTTGGACTTGGGCCACGGCCGGGACCAAGAAGATAAAATGGGAGGCGACATTGCGACGGTTCTCAGCTTAGGCGACCGACAGTCTCTGGCTTTGCTCATGGTCGACATTGTGGATGAGATGCAGCAAACAATATTCACTTATTTTAACACGGTGGATTCGAGAAGGCATCGTAGTGTTCATAACCCAGCTCCAGACGACAGCGATTCTAACCCATCTAGATCTCAAAAGGCCAAACTGGGTCCTTCAACCCGAAAGCCATCTACGCTACTATTAAAAGTTGAGGCGGAGTCACTGAGATATTTTAGTATCTGGAAAGATTCAGTTATCTTCCGTATTGGGGAGATCATAAATACACCAGACGCAGTTGAATCTCTAGCAAACGAACCACCTGAAGGGAGCCAGGAGGTCGAAGACGCAGAAAGCACCGTCGACCCAGACTTTGCAAGGTTGAGACCAAATCCTACAAGCTTTGTGAGCCGCTACCCGCCGGTAGAGACACCCCTGATCCAACTCCCATATGACACGAAATTGGTCCTACTTCATTCGGTTCTCCTTTTACTTCTTAGCCTTAAGCACTACAGTGCTCATTCACGAGTCTTGATGCTCAGAATGGCATCCAGTCTTGGACTGACTGTGGATGACCTGGTTAATGACGAGATCAAAGTAGCCGAAGGCCTATTGCAAACCGCCAAAGCAATGACGGCAGAACAGGAAGCTAAGACAAAAGTTGAGGAGAAAAAAACATCCAGGAAGTGGAAGATTAGGCTAGCATCTGCTGCGGGGGGTGTTCTCATCGGGTTGACTGGAGGATTCGCTGCTCCTGTTGTCGCCGCTGGCATCAGTGCTGTGATGGGAGGCCTTGGCCTGGGGGCCACTGCTGCAGCTGGATACCTTGGTGTAGTTGCCAGCAGTAGCACTATTATTGGTGGAATTTTCGGTGCCTTTGGTGCCAGAATGACCGGAAAGATGATGGAGCGGTATGCAAAGGAGGTTGAGGACTTTGCATTCCTCCCCCTCTATGCGCCCCCGCCTGTAGAGGGGAGTCCTATAACTACGGTTCCAACGGATCAACGTCTTAGGGTTACTATCGCAATCAGTGGTTGGCTTTCTGAGGAAGAAGACATCATTAACCCCTGGCGAGTTCTAGGACGCGATTCCGAAGTATTCGCGCTGCGATGGGAGTTTAAGGCCTTGATGAGACTTGGCAATGCAATGACGACGGTAGTCAGACATACTGCATGGGCCGTCGCAACAAGGCAGGCCATCACGGGGACTGTTTTCGCACCCATTCTTGGCTCTATAATGTGGCCTGTTGCCCTGCTCAAACTTGCTCACGTAATCGATAATCCTTTCAGTATCGCCAAAGTTCGGGCTGATAAGGCGGGTCATGTTCTTGCTGATGCTTTGATCAACAAAGCTCAAGGTGAACGTCCTGTAACCCTGATCGGCTATTCCTTGGGTGCTCGTGTTATTTTCTGCTGTCTTATAAGCCTCGCAAAAAGGCGTGCATTTGGTTTGGTCGAATCTGCTATTCTCATTGGGTCGCCCACCCCGTCAACTGCAAGCCATTGGCAACTGATGCGCAATGTTGTCAGTGGTCGGCTGGTCAATGTCTACTCCCTGAACGACGCAGTGCTTGGATTTCTATACCGCGCAAATAGTGCTCAATATGGAATTGCTGGTCTTCAGGCTATTACTGGTGTCCCCGGTGTGGAGAACTTTGACATGAGTGATTCAGTCACTGGTCACCTTCGGTACCAATACATGGTTGGGCATATTCTCAGGAGGATCGGATATGACCATCTGGACCAGGAAGAATTGCAGCGGCAAATCGATATGTTGAAGGCTAGAGATGAGGGAGATACGAAGCAGCTCCAGCTTGAAAAGGAGAAGAGACTGGGTCAACCGAGCTCGGAACAGCAGCCACAGCAACCCCTGGCGAATAATACGGTTCCTCAACCTTCTCCTGCTGCGGTTGGGAGGGTAGAAAGAGAGGCAGAAGGGCGGGTGATGGAGGCTATGTATCATATCCGGTTAGGGAGACTTGAGGTGGGGGGTGAGATCACATGAAAAGGTGTATATCATCCATGGAATTGTTGATGGACGACTGCTAATGACCCTTTACTCTTTACTATTGTGTCTGGTTTATTATCGGGATCAACTGTCACATTTCCTTAGCTGTTACGCTTTTATATTATTATTGTCGATTTTTCACTTTCCAGAACGTTTTGCAGTCACACGTCCGTATGGTATTATTGTTTCAGTGTAAATAGATATATTATCTAGCAATGGCAAAATTTTCGGCTGCTAGACGGCTCCTTGTACAAGTTAAATGTTCTATAAACGAATAAACCAATATAGATATGGAGGATAGTTACTAGATGGAATCAAATGTTTTCATATATTATTGTAACGCAATGCCTATGTCCTTTCGTCGTGGTTCATGAAACTATATCCATCATCCCCTGATTCTAAACACGCCACACTTGTCAACAATCTTGGAATTTCCCATTTGTCACACAAAGAGAAACAGAAATTAACGGGGAAGAAAAGGTATTAGCATCATCCTGAATGGGAATGTGTCCCAAAACAACCCTTTCTTTCTGCTATTCCCTGCTTTAGCATACCAATTAATTCGCGGTTTCTTCCCCCCAGGCAATTGCCTTGCGGGGGAAAACACGCTTATACAGACTAATCCCAATAGCATCCTGCGGATTAATTTTAGCATCAAACGTTGCTTTGAAATACCCATGCGTCCCCAGACTCTCCTTGATGTACCCGCTCCGACCCCTCTTCGTCCACAGTTGCAGGGCTTTGAACCAATTCACGTCCTCCGCGTTGAAGAACATGTAGCGCACCGTGACGACCCTCTTGTGAATCTTGTAGGGGTGGCCAGTCAGGATGACCCGCTTGGCAATAACACGCGAATGGTCTGGTGCCATCGTCGTCCCTGTGCCGATTAGTTCCCAGGTATCCAACTCGCTGGCATGGTAGCTGCCATTGCCGCTGGCTGAATGCATTGCCTCAGCGTCTGTGGTGGGTGGCGAGTTTCTGAACACCAAGACTGGCAAAGAGCCCCATGATACGGGGCCGATAAAGGTGGCTACAGCGCTGCGGCCAGGATGCAGGTATCTGTTGAATTTGTGGACGTTGTTGGGTGTGTTTCCGGCGGAGGAGAAGAGGGGTTTGATGACCAGGCGGCGCGGACCACATTGGATGATTAGTTCTTCTTTGGATTTCAGGGGCTTTTCGACGCTGGAGTTTAGGGTTATGTTGATGTTGACGACGGTGTTTTTGTGTTCGTGGCGGAGGAGGGAGAAAAGGGAGATTGGTTGTGAGGGACGAGATTTTAGGCTGAGGTCTACATCACGGAGATGGACATTGACGCGGGTTCCAGGCCTGACGCCACCTGCGAGCGCTTCCCTAACACATTGGTTTTTGGAGCTTTTGTAGTCTGGGACTTGAAGTAGACGGCGCCAGTCCTCAGGCTCATGGGCCCTGTCCTCTTCCATTTCCCAATTGCTGGTTTTCAGATTTTTGAGGCCGCGGTACCTAGCCAATCTTTCTCTTGCGATGGTGTGTGGGTGAAGTTCTATTTCATCGGGAAATTCCAAGTCATCCTTTTCTTCATTCTTGCGGCTCGCGCGATATTCTTCTATTTGTTCAGCCTCATCATCAGGGGATGGATCCAGGAGCATTTCTGATTGTGGGTATTCAGAAGGGCCGCCAGCCTCAGTCATAGCGTCTCTATTGCTATTGTTTACATTGAAAACACCGTCCTCTGGACCGGCTGGGCCGTCCAAGTCCATATCATCATCGACATCATCCATTTCATCAACTAGATCAGAGCCAGAGTCGGAGAAATCGTCAAGATACCATGCTGCCTGGTAATCTGACGTGCCCTTCGGTAATCGCCTTGGTCGTGTGGTTCTCTTCTCATCGTCGTCCGAGAAATAGTGATAGTCGTCGAGAAGCACACCTTTCTTTTCAGCATCACCCATAGAGACTGCATCATCCACCATAACGACTTCATCAGGAGCCACGGTAGCTAAATCATCACAATCAGCACTTGGTTGGTCCAAAACCTGGGGCAGAGCTGTGTAGTCGATATTCATTCGATCATCGCCCTTCTTCTGTTGTTTCGATGAGAGCAATGGCGCAGCAGTGATAGATGAGATCATATAGTCGCCCCAAGAAGGTATGTGAACTAAGCGGTCCGCTTTTAAGCCTTTGCCCCGTACTACACCAGTAACCACAACTTCGCCGCATGCTTTAGATGACAATTCGGGCCATTGTATGGCTTCAATAAGCATCCAGCTTCTGTCATCCCGCCAGCGAATGCCTTTCGGTGTTGCTGTACATATACCCCTTACTATGTTGGAACATTCTTGTCTTGAGTCTAGAGAATGCACCTTTTCTAATATAGGGAAGAAGAGTGTGATGTAAGACTTGAGTGAAGCTGTGATTTGTGGACATCTCTTGGGGGGTGTGATTTTGTCAAGACCCTATGAATAACCGTTAACTACTAGAGAATAACAAAGTCGACGGAGCAAACTTTTCATACCTGTACAACTGCAAGTACATTGGATATACCTTGCCCTTTAATAGCTCGCAACAGCAACTCAGCCCCCTCGTCCAGTGTATCATCTGCGGGAAGTATAAAAATGACGAAATCCGATAGGCGACAATTGTCCAGTGCTGCAATCAAGTCTCGTCTCGTGGGGATATATAGGATATTCTGTTTAAATCTCTCTATGCGCACACGGCACGTACTGCCCTGGACATTTGTTTCAGATATATCGAGGCTTTCGTTCAGTTTTTTGATAGCGGCATGGGGATCGGCGGCATCCGAAAGAGGTATAACGGCAACATGTCTCGCAGCACCGTTTTGGCCGGAGAATATGCTCAATGACTCAGACTTGTTTTGGTGTTTCAATCTTTGCTTCTGGCGTGCTTGGTTTCGGCGATCAAGTTTCGACATAAGTTGCTGGTGGGGGGTTTTGCGGCCACCCCGGTCTTCTAGTTTGCCTACCAGTAGAGTGTGTTAGGCCGTGCGCAAGAGTAGTAATTCAAAAGTAGCCGCATCTTGTTTATTTCAAAACTGAATTACCTTTGGATAAATCTTTAAGAGCGCCTTTGGACATTTGTCTTGACTTAAACGACTTGTGCGTACACTTCGTCGTACTCCGATGGTGGTGCGGAGTAGCCACAGCGGGAGCCATGCTGTGAGAGCTGGACCCTTTGAATCTGTATGGGAGAGAGGCCAGATTGACAGCGATATATAATGAGAGCCAACAGACTATGCAGAAAAGCAATGCGGAATCTTACCTTCTAACGCTGTAATCGTCTCTCCCATTTAGTCTGGATTTTTATTTTCAATATCGGAGTTTATTTTCGTGGTCGTTTAATAAATTTAATGCAAGGCCAGTCACATGACATGTGTTTGTGCCTTTTGCATCATTTCCCATGTCGCAAAGCCACAGAAAATAATCCACCAGACGAGAGATTCTGTGTCGGCGATGCGCTTCCTCTGCGACATTCTGGGGGATTTTGCAGCGCGGGAGCCTTTTGATACGGTGAATGTAATCCCTCGTCTCAGCTATGGAGGTTCAATCGGTCTCCCAAAAAAAGGACGTTGTCCGCCAATCACACAGGAAAAAAGGCACCGAGTCGCGGGAGGACAAGCAGCGACTGGCAGAAGCGCGACAAAAATATGGGCGAGGGAAGCAGATTAATGCGAAGAGTGCCAAGGACAAGAAACTCCGCAGCAACCTGAAAAATCTGGAGGCGAAATATAAAGATGCAGCGCTGAAAGCGAAAGATGCGGAAATTCTTCTGGAAGCCGAAGGTGGTTATTTGGAACCTGAAGGGGAACTCGAGAAAACATACAAAGTGCGACAGAAGGATATTAAGGAAAGTGTGGGCATAGAAACTGCACAGAAAGGCTTTGAACTCAAGCTGGGAAGACTTGGGACCGTATACCGCTGATTATACGAGAAACGGACGGAAACTTTTATTGGGAGGCAGGAAGGGACATGTTGCTACCATGGACTGGCGGGACGGGAAGCTGGGATGTGAATTACAGCTTGGAGAAACTATAAGAGATGCCAAATGGCTGCATAACGACCAGTTCTTTGCCGTGGCGCAGAAAAAATATGTCTACATTTACGATCATGCTGGTGTTGAGATACACTGTTTGCACAAGCATGTTGAGGCCACACACCTGGAATTTCTTCCGTACCATTTCCTTCTTGCTAGTGTTGTGAGTATAAGAAAAATACCCTTACACGCAGACTACGTCCATTGACGTGTTCTCTCTCCTCTAGGCTACCAGCGGATACCTCAAATATACAGACACCTCCACAGGCCAACTGGTAGTAGAACTGGCTACCCGTCAAGGCTCCCCAACATCCCTTTGTCAAAACCCCTATAACGCCATTCTACACGTTGGACACCAAAACGGCACCGTCTCTCTCTGGTCTCCCAACTCTTCAACTGCCCTCGTCAAGGCCCTCACCCACCGTGGACCCGTCCGATCAGTGGCAGTCGACCGACAGGGACGATACATGGTATCAACAGGTCAAGATATGCGCATGGCAATATGGGATATCCGCATGTTCAAGGAGGTACACAACTATTCCGTTCCCCAACCCGGCTCAAGCGTTGCCATTAGTGACCGCGAACTCACTGCGGTCGGCTGGGGTACACAAGTCAGTGTATGGAAAGGACTATTCACGGCTGCAGCTGCAGACCAAGAGAAGGTGCAAAGTCCATACATGGCCTGGGGCGGCGATGGGAAGCGCATCGAGCGCGTCCGCTGGTGTCCATACGACGACATTCTCGGAGTGTCGCACGAGAAGGGATTCTCCAGCTTAATCGTGCCGGGCAGTGGAGAGCCCAACTTCGACGCCTCTGAAGTCAATCCATACGAAACCACCAAGCAGAGACAGGAGGCCGAAGTACGAGGCCTACTTACAAAACTGCAGCCAGAGATGATCTCACTCAATCCGCACTTTGTGGGAAATATTGATATTGTGAGCGATGCTGTGCGCAGGAAGGAGCGCGATCTCGATAGGAAACCCGATGATATTATTGAGAAGTTGAAGAATCGCGGTCGTGGGAGGAATAGTGCGTTGCGCAAGTATTTGCGCAAGAGGGGATATAAGAATGTTATTGATGAGAAGCGGCTTAAGGCTGAGGAGCTCCGGAAAGAACGCTCGTCTAGGGCGAAGGAGAATTTGCAGCGCCAAAAGGCTGGTTTGGGACCTGCCCTTGGGCGCTTTGCGAGAGTGAAATCTTTGTGACCTCGTTTTGACATATTATGGCATATTTTCTTCGGGTCTAGGGCGAAAATAGCGTCTAGGAGCTCTGTCATCGACTCTCCCGAGATTCGTCGCTTCAGATACTCCTTTCCACAGAACACCTGGTTTATTTTTTATTATGCCTATGATGTTACATTAGTGTACATCTTTGATTACAGCATCGCATTGCGCAGGAGTTCTAGGTCGGAATGGATAGGGAACTGTATGGGTGTAGTAGAAAAGGTTTCGAAAAGGCAGGATAGAAATATAATTCGTTTTCGATTTAAAAGGTCGTCACTTAGATATGAACCATCGCTACATGACCAAGTTCCTCACGGTATGGTAGGCCACTATGTATATGATGAGCTCCTATATGATTACCACTTTTAAAAGATACATGCACCTATTAAGAACTATAATCAGACAAAGATGCAACAGCATCAACTGCTGCTCCCCTCATTCAAACCTCCCCAGACCCCCTAACCGCCCCATTTTTCCACCTCTGCAAACTAAGTTCATACGCCCCACTAGCCTTCCACGCACTCAAAACCAGCCCCACAATATGCTCAACTCCTTTGCCATTCTTCACCTCTGCAAACACCGTCGGACCCCCCTCCCTCATTTTCACCGCATCCCTCTCCATAACGCTCAAATCAGCCCCAACCGCATCCGCTAGATCAATCTTGTTCACAACCAGCAAGTCACTACCCGTTATCCCCGGTCCCCCTTTTCTAGGGATCTTGTCTCCGCCCGCCACATCGATGACGTAGATTATGAAATCGGCCAGTTCGCGCGAGTAGTTGGCGGCCAGATTGTCACCCCCGGATTCTATTAATAGGAGATCGGTTTGGAATTGGCGCTGGAGGGATTGGAGGGCGAGTAGGTTAGCGCTTATGTCTTCGCGGACAGCGGCGTGGGGGCAGCCGCCGGTTTCGATGGCGCGGATGCGCTGGGGGGAGAGGGCTTTGTTGCGGGTGAGGAATTCAGCGTCTTCTCTGTTGGTATTTTTGTAAGCTTGGTTGGGAAAGCAGAGAGTGATTGTTTGTGGAGATTATGAGCAATTTACTTACTTTGTGAATATGTCATTTGTTACGGCTGCAATGTTATATTCGTCTCGCAGAGCGAGACACAATGCAAGCATCAAGGCAGTCTTTCCCGAGCCCACTGGACTATATGTAGACAGATGGTCAGCACATATAAGCCCCTATAACGTAGCCAAGCAGCATTTTATTGCTTCTTTGCCTCATCCCCAAATAATTGAAATCAAAATCGGAAATGTAAAATTGTATGCACGGGGGGCCTACCCGCCAATACCAATCGTAAATGCTCTATCATTCCAGTCACGCCCTTCGATCAAGGGCATTTCCCGGTTCAGATATGAGCCAGGGCCATCGAGAATCTCATGCGAATGGCCATGCGCAGCACCATCGTGGGAATGGGTGTGTGTATGATGATGTGGGGCGCCGGTTGACATGTCGAAAATCAGTCGAATATAAAGGGTATTTATGGGTATAGTTATTGGTTCAGCTGCTTGGGTTACCACGCAAGGGAGCGTAATAGCAAAGATATCGATTTCAATGGCCCAGCTCAATCGTTTGTTTTCCGATGTTTGCTGTTCCTTGTTCCTGGTGAGAAAAATAGGGATTAAGAGGGGGGCCGTTGAGATAATAATCGTGCCGCTGTGCAACCCACACCTCGTGTGGGTGTGCCACACCAAAATGATAAAAACACTGAAATGATAAAAATCTTGAATCACATCCTCATTATTGCACTCTATATCAACAACCAGTAGCTAATCTATAATAAAAAAGATTATCTACATCATTCTCAGTCTTATTTGACATTGTGGTGAGTTATTAATTGATGAAGATGATGAAGATGATGAAATTGCAAGATTTTTATCATTTCAGTGTTTTTATCATTTTGGTGTGGCGCACCCACATGAGGTGTTGCGCAGCGGCACGATTAACCGGGCCCTAGAGGCTTCGTAAGCTACCGCTCACCTGCAACCTGCTGGTCGGGCCCTCTTACGAGGGCCCGCCAGCTCAATGTAATCCGCCATCTCAACGTTACTGCCTGCCTATACCCATGACATTCAGCTAATTTTTCAACGAATTGCTCTATATTTTATATATACAAGTAGATTATAGTGTAAATGAATTATCTCTGAGATTTCCTTGTAAATTTGGTGGCATTCACATAAATGCCTTTATCTCTGCAATACCTCTTAAGTTCCTTCATAACCCTCTTCCATTTTGGCCGCAATTTCTCCAATGCCTCCTCCATATCAACCTTCTTATTAATTGCCGTCATTTTGCGGCAGTAGCTTGCGGATATGACACCTCCCTTATTAACCACCCTCCGCGAGCCGCGGAGGCGGCGTTCTCGAGCCAGTGTGGCAGCAGAGGTTTGAGCTAGCTCCTCCTGCAAAAGAGCCACTGTATTGACCATTGCAATACTACCCTTATAAAGCTTTTGTAATCCCATATAAATATAGTCCGTGTCATAGTTGTCATCCTCCTCCAAAGCCTCCAGTTTCCGCTTATATCGATTGAATTGGTGTATGGTGGAAGGAGTATACCAGGTCTCTGAGTCGGTGGAAACAGACCCCTTGGATTCCATAGGAGTTGATTCAAACTCACGTAATTTATTAAGGACAACTGACGGATTGAATGGAACCAGGCCAGTTGCTTTCCATCTTTGCTTGATTGTATGAACCTTGAACGTTGCTTTCCAAATAGAGGTGATAGCATGAAGAAATTCAACCTTTGTGAACTTCTCACAACCACGTCGCGTAGCTTCCTCGACTGCGGCAGAATGATGATGTTTAAAAGCCTGAAAAACACCAACGTCCAGAGGTTGTAAAAGATGACTAGTGTGAGGAATTAAATAGAAAGGTATGATGTTGTGCTTGTCACAAAAAGTCATAAATTCAAGGGTGCAATGAGAATCAAATCCATCTAATAGAAGCAGACGGTGGGTTCCTTTGATGCGGGCTTTGGTGGAGCGATGGAAGTGCTGAATCCATTGAAAAGAGATCTGATCATTATTATAGCCAGTGTCAGACGTAGCTATCATGGCATCCTTCTCTATTTCATCTGTCCACTGCTCTTGTAGCTGCTTTGCAGTGAGAATATATAAAGGAGGGATAGTAAAGCCATCAGTTGCAATCCCTTCAATGATTGTAAGAGTTTCCCTGTTATTTGAACTGCCAACATAGGTTCTCCTCCGAGGATCTCGCGTTATAATCCACTGATCACGGCCGATTCCTATTCTGAACCCCGTTTCATCAAAGTTGTAGACATCACAGTCCTGGATCCCATGCTTCTCTTTTATCTCCTTAAAGCGGTTAAACCAATCAAGAATGAATGAAGGTTAGTGAGCCTGTTTCCGCAGTATATCAATGGTCTTTTGCTTGCGTACATTATACTCTGGATGACGTTGAAGGAATCTTTTGACCCAGTGCTCTCCAAGCCCGGGTGGAGGTGTGGTGAGATCGGTATGACTCTGCGCAAGTAGAAATTTGGCAGCACCAAAGATCATTGAATGATTGAGAGGTAGGCCTAGCTTATCTAGGGATTCTATATAGAAACAGAGTGATTTTTCCTGGCCAGATGATAATAGTCAATTAGCAGGGGTTCATTCAATTTGAGAGACGCGACCATTATAACGATTCAGCAGCCGGGAGTAGGGAACTTCAAATTTTCACGCCAATGCTTTAATATTGGGATTTTCAACATTGGATATTGAAGATAATGCATCTGCGATCTTATTCTCTATTAAAATATATGTAGAAGACATCACGTTGGGTGGTTATTGCATATTAAGAACAGGGATTTGCAAAAATAATCATATTTTGAAAATAATCGCGTTGAGATGGCGGATTACGTTGAGCTGGCGGGCCCTCTTACGACCAGCAGGTTGCAGGTGAGCGGTAGCTTACTAAGCCTCTAGGGCCCGGTTAGTACTTACTGATGATCATTCACACAAATAGTGACATATTGTCAAGATGCTAACCCATATCCGGAGACATACTTACCATATTGGGAAATTATATTACTACATATAGTTTGGCGCATGAAACTTCTTGTCGCCCTCGGCCTCAACACTTCTTGATTGCAGTTACAATCGATGATGCAAGTATCAAGCAACAGAGAACCAAAAGAGGACGCAGAGCTAATAACGAATGCAATATATAACTTGATGTCATCAGGTGTCTTAGCATACATATATGACCCAGCATAAAAACATGACCACTGTGTAGCAAAGACTAGGGAACGGACATAAAATATGAGCGGTTCGTTTTACATTATAATACGCCACCAAATCTTGGTCAGATTTCCCTTCTCCAAATTGCTCATAAAGCTCAAGGTGAGAATGAAGTTTGACGCAAAGAATTGTGGCATCACTAATTTCACATCATCATCAAGTGAAATGCTGCTCGGGTCTGGATGCCGGGAAACCTAAGGCTTGCAGCTAGCAACACACAAAAAGACCGCACACGTACATCAAACGATGTAGGTAGAAATTAAGGTATAATTCTCATTCGATGAGCCAGTGAACAATCTGGGTTTGTTGTCGAATGACCCAAAAGAGAGTGGAAAGTTGGTGGGACTTGTGTGCCGGGAGATTATCTTTGCGAGATTTGGGCTTGGGCACGATAGGATGTAGTTTTATCATGACACCATAGAGAGTAGGGCTTAAAGACCTCCCCATGCTCCACCGCGGAGGAAGAATAATCGGGGGCGAAATGGAAATCACTCGGTACCGCGGTTGGAAGGAGACACATAAACAAGTAACAGAGTGGAAGGATGTAAAAGAAACCGCCAATTATCATGATATTAAGCGCTGGGGATAACAATGGAAAATAACAGAACCGAATATGATCATTTGTCACGGAGAGCTACCTGTGTGCGGGTATGATGATAACCATGCCCCTTCGTCCACAGTGAGCGGTCAAGCAAATCCCTACCAAGAGCCCGCGTCACTTATACAAAATGTAGAAAGCCAAGGTGAGAGTGGTTGAGGTAGAGTATCTTCCCGTTTATTCCGTCAAAACACCGAACAAGTAAAGAGCGGGGGGAAATACTTTGAAATAAAGCAAAGAAACGCAAGCTGCAAGTTCAAGAATGCAGCAAATGTAAAATAGCACAGGGAGATCACGCGCGAAAAAAAAAAAAAAAAAAAAAAAAAAAAAAAAAAAAAAACCTAACAAATACAAAATTAAAAGTGAAAATAAAAACGACAGCAGCAAACACGTAAACTAATCAAGATATCCAGAGTGAAATTCCGAGGTTTATAAACAACAAAAGCGCCACGCCGGAACCGAGAGAGAAAAAATCAAGTAAAAGCAACCCCTGCCAATGGTAGTCCAAAATAAAGTATACTATAACAACAGACGCCCGATTACTTCAAAGCAGGTACACTAACGCCAAGTCCATCTCCAAGGGGGAGTCACGAACACAAAAAACAAGAAGAAATGAAGAAAAGCATGGGAAACGATGAAGGTAATCTCTCAGGGGGACACATTATTTCCTAATTTAAACCCTCAGTAAAGGTGTCCCATCTTAACTTCAGCTTGTGCCCTTTTGCCTTTTGCCACCAACCCTTGGACTGGCCTTCGGTGCTTTTGACGCAATTGGACCGGTGCCATTCACGTCTGGGATTGCACCAGTATCATCCCCTTCGCTCTTGATGGCGCTTCGCCGGCGTTTGTTGCTCACATTGGGACTGGTATTGGCACTCGTTCCCTGACTGCCACTTGTATTCGTACCCTGCTGGCTTTGCTGCGCAACCATTGCAATGGGCCCTACCATGCTGTTCTGCGCCGGACTGGGGGTATGAGTTGGTCCTCCGAGATGGGGAGAGCCTTGGCTTCCTGGTAGGCCTAGATGAGCTGCGGCAGGTGAAGAGAATTGTGTTGGTCCATTAAGGCTAGGTGTTCGTTGTCCAGGGGTCTGTTGAGGCCCCATGTGCCCCTGGTTAAATGCAATCGCTTGAGGATGAGAATTGAAAGAAGCAACTAATTGTCGGAGAGCGTCTGGAGGGGACAGGTGTGGACACTGTATTGAATATTGAAACAACGTTTGCATTTGAGAGATTGTCTCCGCGACCTGGATATGAATTGAAATCGGTTAGAATATTCGATCTTATTAAGAAATAATGGAATCTCGCCCATACCTATAAAAATTTAATTACTGCAGATGGGACACCGTGTTCCGTGACTATGGACTCAGGAAGGGTAACTGATGGTCCGATTGGCTGCTTTTGCTGTGCTCTCTTGGCAAGACCCTTGCCAACTTTCGGGCTTTGCTTCTGCTCTGGAGAAACTGGTTGCAGCGCAGTGCGCGGGATATACTCCGTGTGATTCTTAGTGGTAAGATCGAGAATATCAATTTTTCCATTTATGTCGTAATGCGCTCTTAGTGTGCCATGAGCAACGACCTGCCATAGTCAGTGAAAATCCCGAAAGAGAAACGACAAGTAGTTAGCCACATACTTGACAATCATTAGCTAGAAAGTAGATGAAACATGTCTTGTGACTCTCGACAATTTGACTACCAGTTGGAAGCTCCTTTTCCTGCGCATTTTCGACAATCATCTGTATATGTCTTATGCCACTGGTAAACTGAGTGTAGTAATATCGGGCGAGAGCAGGCGTAGATATCTCGAACTGTTTAGCGCCTTGTTCTGCACACCAAAGTCCTTGTCGTAAGACTCCGCTTGGAGAAAAGAACTGGTCGACAAAGCGGCTCCAATACTCTATACCAGGTTGGGGTGACTGAGCCTGAAAACCAAAATTGGGTCAGTCACGTTATATAAATAAAAAGGTCTAAGGAAAAATCTCAGCGCAACTTACGGAGAATGCGCTCAGGTGTTCCGCGAATGTCAATAATCGGAGAACCGCAGATCTTTTTATGGGGTTGGCCATTCTCTGTGGCATCATCATTGCAGAGCCGGCACCTTGCTGTTGAGCTCGGAGTTGCGCTTCGTGGGCTGTCATCTGATGGGGTTGGGTATGTTGCTGCGGGGGTTGGTTTTGCGAATTTGCTACTTGTTGGAGTTGTGGTTGGTTTTGTGATTGCGACTGAGGCTGTTGTCCTTGCTGAGAAGGTGCTTGAGATGACGGAGTAGGTTGCTGTTGGTTTGTCTGTTGAGATTGTTGTGGAGTATTAACTTGGCTAGGGGGCCCAGGTTGCGGATGAGGAGGGGTGCTCTGGGCATCATGAATAGATTGAGGTTGCGGACCAGCTCGTTGTTGGGCACTTTGTTGGTTCTGTTGATTTTGATGGGCTGCTAGTTGCAGCGCAAGGTATTGCTGCTGTTGATGTTGCATGGTATGTGCTTGTCCTTGATGCCCTTGGGCTTGAAGATGTTGTAAGTGAAGAGGAAAGGGTCGCATGTTGGGATTAGCCTGAATAGCAAGCTGCGCAGCATTTAAGCCTTGGGTTCCATTTGGCAAAGATACGGGAATTCCCTCCATGTTGCTGTTGCTGCTGCTGCGCTTGCTGCTGCTGATTAAGTTGCTGCGCCTGCTGGTGTTGCTGGTTATGCTGCTGCTGCTGATGTTGATGCTGTTGCTGCTGATTATGCTGTTGTTGCTGTTGTTGATTATGCTGTTGTTGCTGCTGCAAAATCATTTGTCGTTGTCTCAGCATTTGTTGATGCTGCAGTAATTGTGGGTTGTTGGGATCTAAAATGATATCCATGAATTAGCAATAAGACATGGATAAATGGAAATACAAATAATACAAAATTCATAAAATATAAAAAAGAAAGTAGGTACAACATCGTTCTCAGATATGCTCACAGAAGTGAAGCAAGTGACATGAGATAGCTGAATGGCTGTTGGACCACCACAAGAAGCAAAGAGGCACAAGGGAGTGGTTTAGAAGGTTGGATTAAACGAAGAAAGGTCTGCAGTAAAACCTACAGTTTTGCCCCATCTGCTGAGGGTGATACATTTGATGTCCGTGGGTAGGGCCAAGATGCGATAATGCGTGAGCGCTGGGCCCAGGTCCGCCTGGACCGGTGGTGCCCGGCGGCATGCCGCCCATCACTGGAGCCCCTTGCGTCGCCTGGGGTCCCCCTGGACCAGAGACACCAGGATGCAGCTGCTGTACAATACCGGCTCCTGGAGCTTGTCCAGCGAGATGTGCCGCGTTTGGGTGTTGGCCCCCAGCCATAGGATGACCAGGAGGCATCACGGGGTGGTGAGCCATGCCAACTTGGTGGGCAGGATATGGCTGCGCCATCATCATCGCCGTGGAACGAAGTCACCGAATTCGGGACTCCAAATGGCAGTTCTGGGGTGTTGGGGAATCGGTTTGGCTTAACTGGTTTCCAATATATCGACCAAATTGAGAGCTGTAGTTGGCTAGGTTCCGACTCAGGACGCGACTGGCACACCGCGGTTGGTCGGTCGAGAAGTCGAGAAGTCGCGCAATTTCGACCATGAGAGAACGTTGGTCACAGCCTCCGCGTCCAGAGCAAGAATCAGATCTGAAAAAGGCGTCAGCAGCGGATAACGATGACGGGTACAGTGAGCAGAGAGGATAGAGAGGTCGGAGGTGGAGGGGCAGGGCAAGTGATCGAAATATGGCCCACCTTGTACAAGTTCCGTCACCAGCATGAGGTGACCACCCAGCGGCACAACGAATCCAACCTAATCGTGTCCACAGAAGGCGTTTGAGACAAACTGGGAGGGCGATGTCCAAAGTGATGGGATGGGCGCATGTTGAGAACTTCAACTTCACCAAGAGGATATGGACGAGCGTCGTTACAGTATACGCTAGTCCCCCTTGGGATAGGCGCATCACGTGGGTACCAATAATGCGGCTCTGTTGTTGTTAGTCAGCTGAAGTCGCTTAATTTCGGGAATTGCAGATTTTACGATCCGGTATTTAAAGCTGCAGCTTCTCGACGCGTTTTTTTGTTTGTCTTTTTCTTTTCTTCTTCACTTCACACAACAGCGGTAAAGGACGCGGGCGTCTCCCTTTGACAGCCAGCAGCAGCAGCATTGCTGTAGGAACTGATTGATGATTGCCATAGGTGTTTTATTTTCTGATGCCTCGTTCATCCTCATATTCTGTTTTGAAACAGCTAATGGAAGGTCAATGAAGATTTTTTTTCCCCCCTCCCTGGAGCATAGTTTTCCAATTCATCTAATCTGCAAGATGACAACCCTTTTCATACTTCTTTCACTTCCTGAGTCGACCTTGAAGAAACGTGTCGGGCCTTCCCTCTCCGGTTGGTCTGCTACTTGCCAGTACTTTTTGTCTGATTACGTTTATTTCTCTGAACCGAGTTTTCTTTATATCAAATGTGTGTTGAATGATACTAACATTGGCACTCAATAGGACTCGAGGCGTTCAATGCTCAATTTCAGTTAACTAATCTCAACATCTGCAACTAAATTGTGCCCCCTTCTTCAGAGAACTACTTAACGTAAGTTTCTCTACTGCTATCTCGTCTTCCTTCTTCCCCTCCTTCTGCTTCCCCTCATCTCATGATGAAATTTTTTCCTACATTCGCAGTTTCCACGCTAGCCGTCGCATGAACCTAATAAGTCGACGTGTCGTTGAGCGGACAAATATTGCCTAACCTTGGATGTCTGATTTTTTGCCTACTTGTTACAATTGATGTATCCCCAGCTATATCTATCCTCAAGGCAAATTGGCTAATCACTTCAATTGTTTTTAGTTATACGTATAGTTTAAACTGCTAGCCCATATTGGCACCCTACTCTGCCTCGTTTAAAAGGACTTACCAGATATGTATTTGATGGGTATTTAGTTCTCCCATCGTAAAGAATGTTTCGTAGATAGTATTTACTATCCTTTCCGGTACTCGAGCAGCCATATAAAGTATCATGCTTGCATATCCTACTTAATATTTGGATAATTCCTTAATCTTTTGCTCTTGCTTTTAAATTATCAGAATCATGCTCTCTTGTATAAATTCACGTACCCACAGAGTATTCATAGCATCTCAAAATTCAAAATAATAAAATGAACAGGGGTTCGTTCGATCTACTTTTTATATAAGCTAGCCGGTCTATATTTCGACCAGACCCCTTTTTCGACCACTCCATCCAAAGTAACCACTCTTTCTATTTGGGTAAATATTTAACTACAAATTCAATCTAATTGTCATTCAAACATGCAGGCTTCCAGACCTGCTGCTAAAGCTGCTGCTGCTGCTTTTTTAGCCTCAATTTCTGGCTTCTGTAGTTGTTTTCTAGCCTCTAGAGCAGCAGCTTCCTCTTGAGCCTTCTTAATCCTTTCTATATTGATAAACTAGGTATTTGGATCAACTTCCACCTTCTTTTTGGTTTTTGACTGCTGTAAGGTCTCTACTTGATTAGAGAGTTTAAAAATTGTAGACTGACTGGCAGCTTGTAGAGCATTTAACTTGTCAATCATCTTGCTAGCTTTGCAAAGAAAAACTCACTACTTTCTTGTAAGAATTCTCTCCTTATTCAACTACTGCAGAGCCTTATATATATGCCTAGGATCTTGGGGGGTTGTAAGCAAGAGATCTTGCAGTTCAGAAGATAGAGAGGTTGTAAGTGTCACTGGCCTAGAGTTAGATTGACCCTGATCTCAAACCTGAGAGGAATCTAATTCCTTGGAAGGATTAAATGGCACTAGACCAGCTGCTTTCCACCCTCCATGTATATCATAAGATTCTAAGGCCTTTGAACATGCTTGTTCATAGGCTTGTATGAATCTTCTTTTCTTCACAAGAGCTGCATCATTCAGATAGCTTAAGACAATGATCTCAGCTCTATAGTAGCTCTTCATGAGTGAAAACACTTCAAGATCCAATGGCTGAAGAACATGAGATGTATGAGCAGGTAGAAACACTAAATGAACCAAATTTATATGACATTTTTGTAGAAATTTGATAATGACATGACTGCTGTGATCATCCAGCACTAATAATCTATGCTGATCTTCCTTAAACATTTGAGGTAGAAAAATCATACATAATCAGTTGAGACATATATTATTCAATGTCCATCTATTATCTGATGTTATATAGATTCAATTGAGTATATTCACATCCTCAAACCAGCTAGATTGTGCATTTTGACCTTGAAAAATGACTAGAGAGTCTATATAGTGCTCATCAGCACTAATAGCTTCAAGAATTGAAACTCACTCACAATTAGAGGGAGATTTAACATAGATTTTGTCTTTTCTTTGCTCAGCAAGCACTCTGGTGTTTGTACATACTTCTAAAGCAATGCCATGCTCATCCATGTTCTATATATTTTCAGTGACTATCTCATAAGCCTGTTGTGTCTCAGAAAAGTAGTTATAGAACTGCTGAAGTGTTTTCTGCTGAGTATTCTCTATTCTTTGAGACTCAATCCTTTGGCCAACCACAGATCTTATCATAGAATTTTGTTTTAGAAACTTTCTTATTCAATTCTTACCCAGCTGAGCAGGATCTCAATTTATTCATAGAATTTGAATCGTCATTTCTTGTACACATACATGAGAGGATGGAAATCCTTGTGAATCTTGCTCTTTTATCCATTGAACTAGAAAGATCTCTTGCTCTGGAGTCAACTTTTATTGATGTTGATGAGCAATTGCTTGTTGAATGGAATCATTCATTCTACTCTTCAATGTGCTTTGTGGGATGTTATATGCTTTAGCAGCAGCTCATTCAGATTGAAAAACACCATCTTTTAAATTCTCTATAGCAGCAGCTATAGCAGCTTCATTATTAGGCTTCATTTTAATAATGTGGTTGAGAAAACACATGGTAAAGGTGGTGAGTTAGGTTTGAATAGAGTGGTTGAAAAAGGGTCTGGTCGAAATATAGACCGGCTAGCTTAGTTTGATGTTAAGATGAATGAGAATTTGCTGCTGTGCTTCGGTTATCGATAATCCGAAAACGCCGAAGTCGCTCTGTGTAGTTATTAGTCATCCAATCTTCCAAGCGGCGTGAAAACCGTTGCAACGAAACGCGCAAACCAACCCAGGCCGCCATCAATTTTCTGTCTCGTGCCGTTCGAAGACGAGCTCGTATGTTATTATACGTTCATTTTCTCCTACATTGCCGCTATAACCGGTGGCAGTGGCTCAAATACAGCCCTGCATGAATTCTTCTATCTGCTGCCGGCTGCTGTCAGTCCATCAAGCATATCTGAGAGCGCCATACCGAATCATTGGCCGTCGTCGACTTCCATATGCGGCCCGCAGCTTTCATGCTTCCTCTCCTTACCAATCTAACCCACAGGATCCGCCTCCATCCATTGACTCCACCCTCAGTAACACCAATTCCAGTACCCAAAAAGACGCGGAGGGCCATAACGCCTCAAAAGAGGATGCGGAGGTTGTAAAGCCCGATGCAGCACCAAAACCATCCCGGAGACCACAGGGACCCTATGGCTCAGCTGTTCGCCGTGCGGCAAGGAACAGGAAACCTCGAGAACAAACACGCATCGTCGCCGTTGTTCCGGAATGGTTCCGCGAACGGAACGTGGTAGCTCAAGATATATCTGTTCAAGTTGCTGAACCAACAAATCACAATGTGGAGTTGGAGCCGTTATCTCGTGACGTGGAAGAAGTGGTAAACGAACTTGCGCAGGGTGGAGAGGATGGTGATAATGGTGGTTCCGGGCGTCCATCAACGCTGGGCAGTCGTTACCGTCTTGCTCGAGCCATCTGGGACGAACTATGCGCCTCCGCTAAAGCGGGACTGAATCTACCCCCGTCCCGACATATCGATGAACCATCGGCGACCAAGTCACATTTGGTTCTACAGTATCCTGGAGAAGGGGGGATTTTGTTTTTGGATGCAGTGGTTAAGAAGCTGACGGCGAAGCTTAAGACAAATCTAATAACTCTGAACGCACAAGATATTGCTGAGCTCTATGCAGAACAGGATCTCGTTGAGTCTAGCGCACCTAGTTCCATTACAGATATGGGATATGAAGTGTACCAGGCGAGAAAGCCTCACACACCAAGAGAACCTGACGAAGAAATTGAGGAGGGAGAAGACGAGGAAAGTTGCTCAGCAGATGATGATGATCCTGACGTGATACCCAGCCGAAGACAGGATCACAAGTTCGTCCTTAGAAGTAATTCGGATATTTTTCAACATATGCTTAATGCAGGCCGTGTGGCATCGATTGGGACGGCTAGGGTGTTTATTCCACGCCCTCACCGAGATAATCCAGAACCGAATGAAGACATGATATGTTTTCGTGTTGTGGCCCAACTCCTTTCTATTTCGCATAATCATCAGAATAAAATACCCATAGCTGGTGCGGAGAATATCACCGAGTCAACTGCTGAACCAGTCCCTGAACCAACCCAGACCACCTCCCGACCAGACCTTATTATTCAAATTCAAGATTACAAGGATATGGAGAGCACCCGAAGTGGATCGAAATTCCTCTCGATTCTCCAGCGAGAGGTTCAGAACAAGAGGCGGGAGGGTCAGAGAGTTATGGTCATCGGCACGGTATCCGCGAAGAAACCAGAATATCCTCTGGGAAAGGTGTATCCGAAGCTTGTGAAGAGAGACTACAACGACGAATTCGCCAGGACAATAATTGTCACACCCGCCATGAATGCACAGGCAGTCGAAAAGATATTCTCGGAAGATTCGAAGCGAAGAACTCTTGAGATCAACGTGCGCCATTTACAAAATATGCTGAGGGTTCGAATAAACGATCCACAACTAGCAGACACAAGTTTACTACGCGGTCCAACATGGCCCTTGGATACTGCTGTCATCGAAAGCTCCGGTCTGGACGATGGATATTGGTCATTTGACCGTGTTCATCGGGTTGTTTCACTTACGCTTGGTAGCATAGAAGGCGCTGGCAAACTCGATGTTCAGCAGATACAACGCAGCATCGACCTAATGGAAAAGAGCGATCGCGCTAAGAGTGACTGGATGGTCGAGAGGTATCCCAAGGTGAAGCCAACTCAAGCGGAGAGGGACTGGGAAAGCCGTTTGAAGCAGCTGCGGAAGACATGTAACAGCCACGAAAAGAAACTCCTTAACGGCGTAGTCGATGCTGAAAGTATTCGCACAACCTTCGAGGATGTTCATGCGCCTGCAGATACTATTGAGGCTCTCAAAACGCTCACATCTCTGTCGCTCATTAGGCCTGATGCATTTACCTATGGTGTCCTTTCTACCGACAGAATCCCAGGTTTACTACTTTACGGGCCGCCAGGAACAGGAAAAACGATGTTAGCCAAGGCGGTCGCCCGCCAGAGTGGTGCCACCGTTCTTGAAGTGAGCGGCTCTGAAGTCTACGACATGTATGTCGGAGAGGGGGAGAAAAACGTAAAAGCTATTTTCACGCTAGCAAAGAAGCTCAGTCCCTGTGTAGTCTTTATCGATGAGGCAGACGCCATCTTCTGTTCGCGGGTTGCAGCCAGCAACCGAACAACGCACCGAGAGCTAATAAACCAGTTCCTACGCGAGTGGGATGGTATGAACGAGCTCTCCGCCTTCATCATGGTAGCCACTAACCGTCCTTTTGACCTTGACGACGCCGTCCTACGACGACTCCCCCGACGACTCCTAGTAGACCTCCCCACCGAACAAGACCGCCTATCAATCCTAAAAATCCATCTGAGGGAAGAGCAAGTGGATGCATCATTGGATCTGGCCGAATTAGCCAGCCGCACACCTCTCTATTCAGGCTCGGACCTGAAAAACATGTGCATTGCCGCAGCCCTCGCTTGTGTGAATGAGGAAAACGAGCAAGCTGCTCACCATACCGGTGATGAGCCGTTCAAGTATCCGGAGCGAAGAATACTTAGAAAAGCCCATTTCGAACGCGCCATGGAGGAGATCAGTGCGTCGATCAGTGAGGATATGTCTACTCTCTCTGCTATTAAGAAATTCGACGAGAAGTATGGAGACCGCAAGGGGAGGCGAAAGAAGAGCGTTGGATGGGGGTTTAAAGCTCCCCATGAGCTGGAGACAAATACAGGGGCTGGACGGGTGAGGAATTGATGCTTTGGTCCCAAGGAGGAACATAAGGAGGGCCGAGGGATATATTCTACAACTCTACATATATAACCACGGGTCTAGGTTAAAGGATTTCCTCTTTTTTTTGTTTTATTTTTATTTTTATTTCTATTTCTATTTCTCATTCCCTTGTTTTTGGTCGGTTTTCGCTGCATTTGGTTTGTTTTCATTCCTCGAAGGCATGCTTGTAGAATAGACACCCTTTTTGTGAAATTAATGATGTACTTCTAGGTTTCGTCATGTCATTATTTCCGATGCTTTTGAAGAAAGGAAAATTATAGAGATATAGCTTTTAACACAGCATCTTCGAACTTCATTTCTTATTTCTATAATATTTAATTAACGTAATCCATCCCCGAGCGGACAGACAAAAATCCTAGAGTGTAACTAATTAAATTTCAACCTTAAATATCTATGCCCAACAACAACTCATTAAATTACACTAGAGTTAGGATATCATTTTCTTATATGCTCAAGTATATTGCATTTGCTGCACCTTGATGGAGTTCATGAGTGCGATAAAGACTCTTGAGGTCAGAGATATGAGGAATTAAATAAACACATTCGCAGATGAATAGTAAGCTTCTAAGCTTCTTTTGTTAGACCCTCTTCATGTTGAATTCTGCACCATTCTTACTATATTTTTCATTTTTCATTTTTCATTTATGTTTTTATTTACAATAAATATATTTTATTATTATTGACTCATCATTGACAAATTCAACTGAATGAATAGATATCATTCTCATATCAGAACAGTAAGAATTTTATATTGAATCACTGCACTTTTTCATCGACCACAATGAACATCCTGAGTAAAAATGCAGATAAATACGGTTTGACCAGATCTCTGAACAAGGATGAGAAGAAATGAAGTTCACACTCTCCTCTCAGACAATTCAGGCTGAGGTTACAGGCGTGAATCAACGTCAGCAGAATGGCATTGATTAAAGAGCTCACAAGACAATCTATGATTGAGGTACGCTTATATTCGCCCATGCAAAACTTTTATACAAAATTTCTGGCCAGAGATCACACATACTGCAGCCTTTCTCTCCAACTAGTCACTGTCATCAACGCTTAACATGGCACTGTATCAAGCCGAGAAACCCGATCTCTTGTGATCAGATCCAGGGGGAAGTTCTTGATTCCACCCAAGCAAAGGAAGAAGCTCACGGAGCCAAGAGCAAGGTCATGCATCCTGCTAGGCTACGAAGGAAACACCAACTACCACATCTTGCTCGAGGACAGAAGAATCATTGAGGCTTCAAATGCTGAATTCAACGGAAATCCTTACAAACCCCTTCATGCAATGCACCCCGACGTCATACTACCAACTTCCAGTTCTTTTGATATATGCAGAGCAAAATGCTAGTTTTCAAAACCAGTTCACTATCCCTGTCTCAGAATACCTTGCGGCACAGCACTCAAGATAAAAGATAATTTTATCTCCCAGCAATTGAAGAGAGAAACAGATGCTGTTTCCGGGAGATCGGATGTGGTTGCAGATAGATAGCATCAATGATTGGATATGTCCTTCAGCCACCGTCCTAACAGTGCGGTACAACCACGGAATGTCAGGGAGCCGGGAAGATGGAGGTATTGCCACGTCAGAGGAAGGGCGCGGCATGAGAGAGGCAGCATGAGGGGTAATAAAACTAACAGTCAAAGAGCGAGAGGGAGAACGAAAATCAAGAAGAATAAAGACACATCTATGCTCGCTCTGACAGACGCATATGTTCGATCTACCATCAAGACAAAAGTAGAGGAGAAGGCAGGATAAAGTATTTCAAGAAATCAAGGTAACAGCATTGACTGCAGAACGTCTCACACCGACGAAAACATTCCAGTGACTAGCTGTGAAAACAAAAGAATCGCATGCCAACGGCCATGTCTACCTTCAACCAAACCGACCTTACGTCCGGCAACTTGCAGGCGAGCAGCACGCATCACAGTTCGTCTTCAAGTCAAGCAGCAGCTGCCAGCCAGCTCACGTATCAAGAGATCAGTCGCTGGAGCCCTGATACCGACAGTGATGCCTCAGAACATCAATCTAGTTCTCAGCGTTCTGCTGGAGGCATTCCGGCAACACATCGTTCTTCCACGAGTACTGAACCCAACAGTGAAACTATTGAGGAGCATAGGGCACGGACAGCATTTGCCTTGGAAAATGGGGGACCGCCTGCATCGCCAGAAAAGAGGACTGGAGAGACGTATACTGCTCGGATAACTAAAAACCCTACGGCAAATCAGCACGAAAGCAGCAGAATCCATGGGGCCAGGCGTGCTAGAAGGCGACAATGTAGATGCTGAGAGATAACTATCTCAAGGTCTCTTGTCATGTTAGGAATTGTGTTATTGCAATTTGGGTCTTGGGTCTGTTGAAATCTTGCTTCTCTAATCCTTCTGCCAGTTCAATGACTAGAGATGTCATTAAAGATATCGCGGACCTCTTCCAGGTATTGAGCATATTCATCCACCTTTGAATTCACAAATGAAGTCATTCCAGGCTTCCGAAATGGGGACACTCCTTCCAGAATGACTGCCTTAGGCACTTTGTCAAACATTGGCTCGAGATGCATTCTGAAGAGATTGAACAAGACCTTTGGGGCATGCAATGTGCTCAATTACCAGTATCGACAGTCATCTAGCGCTGTCTTCACTAGTGTACTCCAAGAATAGAGATTCCCATGGTGACAGTGGCGTGTGTGTATTCGTCTCCACTTGTTAGAATATATCCACATATTGGTTTTAGCAAGTCTCGAACCGCAAATCCCCTAAGGGCAGGGAGCGTGTTCATTCAAGATCAATAACATGCTTGATATTCCAATTCTCATCAACAAAAACATTGCTGGCATGCATATCTGTGAACTGCATCATGAAAGGACCAGTATGAAGATATCGATAAGTGAATTGTGGTAGAAGTGCTCTCATCAGCACTAAATCTTTGGCCTGGGAACGTGCGTCAATCATCAAAGACAGCATTCTTCTGATATTGCAAGCGATTATCATGGCCAGTGAGTAAGCCAAAATAGAGACTATCAGCACTTGTACAGGTTATATTTCGAGGAAAATCAGTTGGAACAGACCAATTCTCTAACTGATGAAGATGGTAACTAGAATATAGGACGGTTGCGTAAGCCGATTTGACCGTCAGTGTTTATCGTCCAAGAGCCAATTCGACGCTGTGGAATTCTTGCAAGAGAAATCTTGATTTTTAAAAGACTTTGATAAAGATTTTCAGTCTGCACATCTGTATGCGTCCTGGAGAACACGGAGAGCATTTGCACATTAGCATCTTCAATCCAGTCATCAAAATATAGCTATGACCGAGGAGCGCTTTTCTTTTCCAGGGGAACATATTCGCTGTCATAGGATTATTTGCTCCCACACCAATAGCGAGCAAAACAGCACATACAGAACTTGATTCTTTCCCACAGAGAAACAACTCCAGGTTCGCAGCACTGTGCTCTCACCAAACATCAGCAAACGACACCTCGATATTTGTGGTGTAGAATTTGCAGACGCACACTTAGGCCGCCAGTTACTTCAAACCCCCTCAGTTTGGGTATCGGCATATCCGAGCAGTTCATAGCAATCCAGATATATGCTGCAGTCTCTGGTCGCAAATTCTCCTCTATATTGCCAGGAAAAGCTTTCTCGCCAAACTTATATGGCGAAGGGGCCCGGAATCGCTGTTTCGATGGCAGCGAGTTTCCAGCATTGTGGCGACCAGCACGGTCAATGCATATAGGGATACACACATGTTAAAGCTGCCCTGCCGCCACATAAGCTCACCATCCTTCTCAAACATTGCTGGCACTTGTACCAGGCTGGGGTTTGCCAGGCCGCAATGGAAAGCTACCAACTGTTGAAAAGCTTGATGACAGCCTGCAAACTCATTATAAAACTTCGGTCTTTTGGCAGCATATTCTAGCTCCACTGTCATGTCTCCTCCTCTTCAGCCTGTGTGCCTGAAAGAGTAATGAAACAATCAAGAAGGGGCTTTACGTGCTTTGGCGGTGCTGGTTTTGCCGGGTGTGATAGGTTCAGCAATGTCCATTGTGGATCGGACGATGACTTTGAGCAGACAAGCACCAGAACAAGTACGTAGAACTCTGGCACAGCGCGAGCAGAAAGGTCCAGCTGTAGCGGTTACAAAGGGGAATATCCTGACAAATCAGACTTTACTGTTGACCTAGTGATTCAGCCACGGTCTTGGGCATACAAGCCCAATCGCCAGCCAGTAGTTGATACTGGATAAAGAACAGTGCAATCCCATATATGGATCACCTGGGCCCTAGCAGTCTTGCTGTCGATTAACGTCATGACTGAAATGGGAAGAGCGTCCCTCCACAGCTTGCACATGGAGTAAATCAGATATACTCGTGCTGGATCTTCCGGGACGCAAAATGTGGATTATATCGTCCTCTTGTGAAAACCATGGAAGCCCTCCTGCATATTTACGCCTATTCCTCTGGCTTCAAAACAGTTTTGCGAAATGCAGATCTACAATAGACTTCAAGACCTCCAGGGCGAATGCATTCCGGTCTGTCTTGGTGTTGTTCGCCTGGCATCGAACTCTCCCTAGTACTACAATGAAGGAATCTACATTCCACATGTTATTTCTGAGTTCGGACTGAGAACTGGTTGGAAATACTGGGGCGTCCGGCGGCCATATCCCAGCTGCCCATGTCTCTTCCATGGTATCCCATCCATGCCCTGTGAACAGTTAGTTCACTCACACAAGGAGTGCTCCGTGTTGACGCGGAACTGCGAAATATACTATGAAACAAGATATGCCAATGCCGAAAGAGAGTCGCCCGTGTACTCACATCCACGGGTTTCCAGGCAGGTTGCATTCAACGGTTTCACGGAGGAAGAAACATCGCTTATATAGAAAAAAAGTTCCTGCACTCGCCTGATGTGGCCGCCTGTACGCGTCCCATGAAGCGAGATGAGTTGAGGAGCAAGATCCTCCTCACCGGCAGCATATGAACTGATGGCGAACAAACGCAACGCCATCTTTCCCCCATCTTTTTTTACACAACGAATTGACTAAGTAATGCTGGAATGTAACCCAGAAAAGAGCAGGCAGGCAGTGATATTGAAATCAGGATCATCCATTGGTAGACAATGAACCAAGTTGTACCATGCTTGGCTGCAAACGTCCCCTGATCATAAACTGTGCATAATCGAACCTTGTGTGAGAAACATGAACTGACTCACTGATGCATTGATCAGCTACACTTCAATACAAGGAAGAGGGCCTCCCACAGCATCGCAGGAATAAGGCATTTTTGCCATTGACTCAAGCCATGGAATGTTCTTCATCTCAGTATCCTCCTCATCCCCCTGCTGGAGCCAAAAAAAAAAGGTCAAAATGGAAAGATGCATCTCTCAGTTGAACAATTGTTATGAATGAATGTATAAAGTGCAGAGTGAAAATCCGGACCTGAATGACCAGTGAAAGAACACATAAGTGCAGAGAAGAGAGGTACAGCAATGAAGAAGAAGCATGTTCAAGAACCTGATCATTTTTAGAATTGTAAAGTGACAGAGGCTAAAACCAGGTCACACAGCAGCTGCATCAACAGCAATGGCAAACTGGAGAAAAGTGGGTAGACAGTGAGGGGAAAAAGAACAATAAAGTGCAGCATGCCATGGCAGAGGAAAGGAGAAGCATCTTATACAGCCACCATGATGACATCAATGTGGATGCTACGGCAGATGCAAATCGAAATTCTCCTGCCTGCTGTGCCTGTTGAACAACCGGCTCCTCAAGCCCCTGAGCCCTGAGCCCTGAGCCCTGAGCCCTGAGCCGCTGAGCAGCAACCTCCTACGCCCGCACCACACTCACGAGCTCCATGCAGCAACTGCAATACACCCGAAGATAAAAGAATACACTGCCCTAATCCTGTGATAGTTTAATTTAATTTGAGTTAGATGTTGTTGGGTGTAGATAATTGAAATCTAGTTAGTTGAGCCTCTGCTTTTTGGGAATTCGCTCGGTGGTTTGAGTCGCTGAGTCATCCAGGTGTTGGAGTCGCTGCTCTGGTAACTAACTAATTATTTGGTGGGGGAAGATGCGATGAAAACTGAGTAAAGAACTCGAAAGGGGGTACAAACTCTCGAACTCACAAGTATATCACGAATCCACCAGAGCCACCCGAAGCGCTCTTATGAACAGATCGTAATTTACGGAGTAACGGCAAAATAACGAGGCCATTAACTACCCGCGAGCATGTACACGGAAACCTCCGCGATCTGTATTTCATCCCGGCTCTAACTGGCCAACTCAATCTTCCTTCACCCACCAAAAACCCGCATTCATGTCTCAGCAAAAAGCCCACAAGTGGACATCTCAACGCCCGTGATCACAGAGAGGACAAAGCAAAATGGACCTCACGCAGCCTGAAGAACACGCGTCCCCCACGCACCCCACCTCCGTCTTTGCATCACTACACCGCAAACCACACCAGGCTCCGAATCGAGCTTCCGACCTTCACGACTCTCGCGAAACAGCCGTGAAATCTGCAAAGCGTTATCTTCTCCAACGCATTCGCGATGACTGGACATACGAACACCAATCCGACACTCCCAGCTCCCCTGCCTCATTACACATCCACACGGAAGAGCAATCGTCACAAGTGTCGCCAGCTACACGTGTGACCACCGCGAGCAAGGAGCTTCAGGCTGATGCCCGCGAGGTGCGGGAATGGCGGGAACGTGAACAGGATAGTTCTTGTTCAGAGGCTGGGGTAGGGGTTGGACTAGGGGCTGGCCAACGCGGGGATCTACCATCTACATTTACGACGAGTGACCCGTACCGGTTTGAGTCACCTGATGCGGTGGAGCTGAGCATGTTCGAAAGAAAGAGGAAGCGGAGGAGGGTTGTTGAGGAGGAGATGGCGTGGAATGAAGGTTTGAGGGTATGGATGGAGAGACGGGATGCATGGACTGGGGCCAGGATGCCGTCCACAGCTCCTAAAGGGGTAAAAGAGACCGTTATGGGGAATGCGGAAAGCAGTGGTGCGAGCACCGCTCATGAAGAAAGCGATGATGCGGAGATGGTTTCGCCGGCTTTTACGGGAGATGGGAAGACTTCATCATCTGCCAACAGTCTGCAGATACCAGATGCTCCGCGGCCGTCTTCTGAGCGTCCTACGTCCCGTGGTGAACCGCTTGGTGCTGCGATTCAAGAAGCATCCTCACTGGTCACCAGCAATGACAACGCCAGCAAATTACACCTGGACTCAGAGGAGCCTCTTGTCCCCATCGTCGAACCCCTCCTTCCACTCACAAACCCCATTCGCGCGTCCATAAAACCATCCATCTACCCATCCATCTACAGCAAAGTTGTCATCCAGTCCCTCACCCCAGCCATACCCATAAACCTTTCAGATGTGATCAAAGCCCTAGTCCAAGGTTGGAAAGCTGACGGCGAATGGCCACCCAAGCCAACCATCACTCATGACGTTCCTGTGGTGAAGAAGCAATCGGCCAAAATTGCCCCAGCTGAAGGCGCGGGGATCTCGAGACGCTTAAGCGGCTCTAGTGTTACAGGAGCCATGAAGAAGGTCCTGGGGCTGTCGGGTATCCATCCTGGCCGCCGTTTTCATATTCGTGGTGGAAGCCAGGGGGGCTCAACTGCTGGCGAGCCGCCTGCATCAGGTGTTGCGTTTGGTGCGGCTACGGAAGCGCGCCAGCTTCCGCAGGACAAGTGACGGGTGTTGTTTGGGTTTCCACGCTCGTCATAGCGAGGCTGTTATTTCTTTTTCTTTTCTTTTTTGGGTCAGGTTTTGTATATTCATTCATGTCAAATGAAATAAGTGGTGATTGTGGCGATGGTAACGATGACGATGACTACGATGATGAGCTCATAGCGTTTGTGGCATTTTAGACGTTCCATATTGCATAGCGTGTCGGAGGGCTGGATAGGAGGGCATATATTTTCGGATGGTGTCAATTTCTGTCTCTTCAGTATCTCCATCGTCCCAGATTTGGCATGTCTTATTACCCAACTCTCTCCAGGGCGGTTGTTGCAGGCGTTTATAACTATGGTTGGGTGTATTCCGCAATATCTACTTTCCTTCGATTTGAATATGCAAATCCCAGGAATTCACAACCACTCATTTACGTGTCAATCAACATCCATTCCATACAACAGACCGGGTCTGCTAGTTTTGGAAAAATTACCAAGGACGATAAGAAGTGTAAGTATATATACACAACCAGGATGACCGCAGCCAAAGCATTCAAAAAAAAAAAAAAACCCCTTCACAATACGTCTAAGTCAAAAAAGGCATCGTCATTCGTTATCAATGCGGCTAAAGGAGACATGCTCGACAAGGAAAACATCAAACCTATATTATTTACACTCTAAAACGCCGCCCTTTCCCCATAATCTAACATGAAAGTGTCTTTTCAACATACGTAGCCAGCCGTAAAACCATAACGAGCTAGAAGGATGAGGAAGAAAACGTCTGTAGCCCATCCATTGTACCGAAAAATATCTCGACAGTTTTTATAAAGGCCTCTTTAGCAAATGCTGCAGATGTACATGCCGGATCATTAACGATTTCCTTCACTTGCTGGCTATGTTCTGGACGGACAAAATATTTCCCATTACGAAAAGACCAGCCATCTCGGAACCTGGATTGAAGACCACGCGCGGCAAAGCCGCGAGCATCGGCAAAAAATTGTGACGGTGGATGGTAGTTATTTTCTTGGGATATGTGAGTAAGCGCCATGTCGAGAGTTTGTGGAGCAAGGGCATTCTCTGGGTTTAGGAGAGTGGATGCTGCAAAGAGCGCAAACTGCTTGAAAATATCTACATAAGCGACGAGAGTTGCCGCTTGGCTGCAACTTCGGTCTAAGTAGTCTATGGCGGGGAGCGACGTAGTAATGGTTTCTAAGAGGGAGGTGACGGTAAGTAGAATATGTGGCTCATCAAGTAAACCAGGGTGGTCGACCAAAAGGCGTACAGCACTGTCAACTGCTTCAAAGTAACAGGTCAGAGCGCCCACGAGGACTGAAACGCAGTTGCCGTCGCATGCATTAATGAATAGGATTGATCCCATCAATATCCGCGTTAGGGACTGTAATAGAGGCCGCACTAGGATCCACGCCCCGGGAGCAACTAGACAGACTTCTATGTAGGCTGGGAGGATGCAGCGCAGGAAGAAAATCAGGATTGTGAATTGGTGGTTTTCGCCCGGTTCAGCGGATTCCGCCATGGCAGTGTAGAGCTGGTCTACTAGGTACATCTGCTGACCGTCGACTGCAGCTCGTTCAGACACATGATGGAGGAAGGTAGAGAGTTCGTTGGCTACTTTGCTGGATGTGAGACGGACTGCATAGCCTTTCAACTTGCCGACAATATAATTTGGATCATCTGCGGGAAGGGGAAATGTACTTGGATTTGTGAAGAAGGGATCAATCGGGCATATCTTTTGCGAGTGTTGCTGGAGAAATGCAACTATGCGATGCACAAAACCCACGTATGAGGACTGTACCGAGTCGTCGATTTTGCCCAATTCACTATAATTAGATTTCATTGCTCCCATTAGAGCTTCAACGAGCTCGCGATACTGACTCCTGGTGTTTTGCACAATATGAGCACCAAGATCTTCAGCATCGGAGAGATGTTCTCGCATATTGGAAAGAATGCATGAGATAAGTGATAATCTCCTCTGAGAAAACTCTTGCAGGGTGATTTCGTATCGCTGGGAGATCGGATTTCTCGAGAATGGGAGGTTTCTCAGCATCGCATCTGAACCATCCACGTTCATGATGGCATTGGTCAAAACGTGTTGATACTTGAGCGATGAACCCCTTGCAACAATGCATTCAATCCAGTGATGTAGTACTTGTCGTTTGCATTCAGTATAAAATATTTTGTCCTTTTCAATCAAACAGGAGAGAAAATAAGGCAAAAACTTCCGCGTTTGGTCTGTGGCTCTCAATGAAGCCCACGAATCTTCACCATATTGACCGAGATAGCTGCCCCACTCTCTCAATCCGTAGCTCACGAGAGTATAAGCAACCGAGGCCCAGGAATTAACAACTTTAAGAAGCACAACATCGTCTGGAGCTTGGTCTTCCCCAAAGCAAGAGGAAAGATATCGAGCTAAGGCAGGGCGAATGGTGTCATCTAAATGCTCAACAGGTGGGTTTGCTTTTGGTCGTCCCTCTTCTTGCTCGCATAATTCTGCAAATACCGCCCACCCTTCAAACTCCTGACTATCATCGCCGGTGTCAACAAGCCCAGTTGGTGCACGGGATTTCGTGTTAGAATTCGTGTAAGCAAGCACGATATCTAGCGTATTACAAATAAGAGGTTGTAAGCGGGGAATCTTGGTGTTCAAAAGCTCGAGTAATCTGGCGAGAGGAAATCTATCTACTAAAACTTTGGCTTCGACGGGAGCTTTCGCAGAATCAATTGCAATCTTCAAGTTGACAAGTGCAACGCTTAGCAGGGACTCTATTGGTTTCTGATAGTCAATAACAGCCTTCTCGATAGTTTGCCGAGAAAAGAGAGAGTTTGACGCTGCTTGAGCTTCTATATCCGTCCGAGCGTGGGAGTGCTGCTGCAACATGTCAAGAACGAATGATGTATGCCATTCAGCAAAAGGGATTAGTCCCGCACTATTGTCATTAGTCGATAATTTAAACCTAACCAATCTCAACCAGGAATGAATATTAATGCTGCAGACCTCCTTGTGAGATCGGGCGGGATGTACCAGGTTGCGAATAATTTCAACTCGTGGTCGACAGGTGTCAGGGGTAGCCCAGTACAGCGTACACAGAAGATCGTGGTGATTTCTTAGGGCGTCAAGATCTTCAACGCGGAGCGGTTGGTCTTTTGGATAGTCCCGGCCGTGGTTTGGTAACAAGCGCCATGCGAAATTCCGGATTTTTTTCTTGTCGTATAAATCACCCATTTTTCGTAAGCCCAGCCCGATAGTTTTCAACAGAATGTGAAAACAGCTATCCCTAGGCTCCATTTCCAGCATAGGCTGCCGATCGAGTTCGTCAAGAAAACCCGGCGAGCCAAAAGATTGTTCCTGGTTAAGATTATGAAGCATGTTTTTCGCGAAAAAATCAAAGAGGGTATCCAGAATAACGTTGCTATGCCGCCATCCCCAACCATCAATCAAGTAAAAACAGCGGTGGAACAACGTGCGACAGTAATTATTGAATGGCGCAGAGGACATCTTTGAAGGGAACGTATACGTATCGAAAACGGGTGATAGCAAACGCCTGATCGTCTGCCACTGATCGAAATTCTCTTTAAATCGTTTCCCTGGTCGAAAAATTCCCATCTCATCAAACTCATACAGTGGAAGGGTGGTAAACACTCCGTTCCACAGTTTCTCCAATTCGCGAGCATCATTCGGCAAATGTGAAGTGAATGGAGCCAGAATTGCTTGGGATAGAAGATCTTCGTTCATACCGCAGAGCATCGGATCTGTATAGAATATCTTTTGGACAACCACAAAAGCATCCAAGAACGGATGTTCGTCTTTAATTCCCGATTCTCGCTGCTGTCGCCATTTAACCTCCTCGAGAAACTGTCTGATGTCTGTTAAGCCCCTATCACTTAAAACAGCTTGTAAGATTCGATTTTGAGCCGCCTTCATCTTGCCAACAATCTCGGAATATTTGATAGATTGAACCAGTTCATGAGATGCAATTTGACGTATTTGATTAGTAAAAACGTAATTTAGCACTTCCAATTTCATTCGGAAGTGTATAGATGTTGTAGATATAACAGAATCCGAGGAAGGCCCGTCCGTGGCCAAGAGTTGCAGGGTATCAAAGGTTTTTGTTAACAGGACTAAGCACCTATCCACAAACATCAATCTATCGACTGGGTCCATGAAAAATAGCTTGTCGTTCACATAAGTGATAATAGACCGGAAGACTTCCACCGTGTGGCCCATTTTTGTGGAGGGATCACGAGTTATTCCCTTACTCGGGGATTCATATGTGCTGACCGTGTCTAAAATTGTATCTAGCAAAGTACCAAGCTCTGAAGAAACCGATTCACTCCATGCACTCCATTGATATGTATTATTAGCGTATTGTATAACGGTATTCCCGTTATCATGGTCCATATTGCGAGATGAGAGTTGCATAGAGCGCGAAAAATCTCCACTTCCGATGAACGTCGACGAATGGAAAAAGGTACCGATTTGGAGCGGGATAATGTCGAAATTGACTGTATATACTGCTTCCGATGGTTTGAGACCTATAAGAGAAGGAAGTTGAGTGGCTTCTGCCGATTTTACAGAATTGGTCTCAATGATGTCCATATCGACGCTTGGAGGCTGTTGGTGCTCAACAGTTTGCACATTGACTTGCCGGGGAGCCCGTTTTCTTCGTTGACGAGGTTTTCTTGTCTGGCCTTGTTCGGGAAGTAGCGACAAATTACCATGGCTATTGGTCTTTTCATGCGACCCCGATGTATGAGAATCATGACCAGAAGGGGATTCAGCCAAAAACCTTGCCATTGGCAAGCCGGTGTTTCTAACGAGAGATGAAGCCTGAGTCCTGTACAGTGAGTTGAGTGCAGACAATGAACGTTGAAAGTTCGATGCACGATTGAGCGCACGGGAACCTGCCCCTGACAAGTCCAACTGCGCAGGTCTTGGTGCATTTCGCCTGAGTGATGAAATCGCAAAACCTTGCCTCCTTACCGCCCACCGCTGGCCAACCCTCCCGCTGGTGTTGGACGGTCGTGCTGATTTTACACTTCCCTCTTGTACCGAAAGACGAGATTCCGAAGGAGCCTTGGTTTGATCACTTATAGCACTTCTAGCGTCAACATCAATTCGTAGCACAGATTGCCGAGCATCCATGCAAGCCTGGTGTACAGTACTTTGATTAGATTCATCGTGGGTATCCCCCACCGCACTGTTTCCGTATGACTGTCGCCGCCTCTTTCTTGAATTATTGTGTGTAATTTTACTTTGATGAAGCGAACCGGCCCTCCACTCTCTTAACGACTTGTTGGCATCCTCCGTGTCCAGTTTTGTTCCAAGTTTCAAATATGTTCTGGTCGGGCTCTTCCGGCCAAAGCCTCTGCGCAATCGCGCCTGTCGCGCAGCGACACGTAGAAATTGTGGTTGCTTCAGAACTGGTTGGTCTCTTACATCTGATGAATCTAATATCCCCAATCTTGGGATACGGGGTTTCGATGGTGGACTAATGACTCGTGACCGTTTCAGGGTATCTGTAATTTTTGCTTGATGTTTAGGCCGTTGTTTCGGTCGTGAAGCAAAACTTGAGCGCGGTCTCTTCTCCTGGTTTGATTGTAGCCCGCGATGAAGTTGTAGACTGCGTTGTTTCTGTCTCCGAGGCACTGGAGGGAGCATATAGTCAATACGGTTATCTTCGGGAATGTCATCAGCGTCTTCACTTAGGTCATCCGTGTCCATCAGTTGTGGGAGTGGTTCGCGCGAGTTTTGAGCAGAGAGAGTCAGTTCACTATCCGAACTAGATTCATCAGCTATAAGGATAGGAGTCGGGCGTGGTCTTCGGGTATAGCTATTGCTCCTATTTCTGGAAATTCTCTGGGCTACACCTTTTCCGCTCTGACGTCGATTCCGTAGGTAATCTAGCCTTGATTTCTCTGCTACTGCCTTCTCCATTTCTTGTTGCCTTTGGAGATCAAGTCGCGGCCATGAGGCAGGCAGAACCCCCTTAATTTTTCGCATTAGCCGCTTGAGCTCCATGTATTCATGTTCTTCCGATCCCTCTGTGTCTTGCATTTCCTCCCCTCGGCCTATTTCTTCACCCTCATCAGTTGACCCCTCTGTTGCCAGCTGTGATTGCGGGTGCAAATATCCAGCAGGTTTTGGACTAGTCGATAGATCATGGTCAAGTGAGTCATCTACTGAGATCACTTCCAAATTTCGAGATGTTTCATCATTTTCCAGAACCGTGTTGCCAAGAGGAGAAGAGCTGGCTCCACGAGGAAACCGGAATTCAGGTAGTCCTTGAATTATGTCGTTGGATGACATTGGGTCAGGGGTAGGTGAAGACGATGGAACATCGAATATAGCGTTACGCTCTCCAGGGGGGGGTTGTGGCAATCTATTATCAATCACAATCTGTACCTCGTTTCTTCTTTTTTCCTGCAATTCATTTCCAAGTGCTCCATGTGCATGAGATATTTTCCGAAGTTTCCCAGAAGCATTTGCATAATGTGTCGGCTGTGACGCCAGCTTTACAGAGCTTGAAGGTTTAAAATCATTGCTGGTGTTGGCAGTGTGAGGAAAGCCTCCAAATTTGCGTGCACGATGTGTCAATCTTTTACGCTTAGATCCAGCAGCAGGAGACCCCGATTGGAATTGAATCGATGCAGCCGGGCTGCTTGAAGGAGGGGCGTTCTCCTGCACAAATTCCTGTTCTTGCGACTCGTCCTGTCGAATAGAATAACGCTCCGTAGTTGGAACCCGCACAGGGCGTATATTATTGCTAGCACACCATCTTTGATACTCTGCTCGATCTACCAAGTAGGGGTGGAGGTTAATGAATTTCCGGTTCCTAAGAGCTCTCCTTGGGCCTGAAGTCCGAAAAGATGGTGGGGTCGGCGGGTTAGACTGCGCTGGTGATAGAGACGAATCTTCGCTACCACTCTCTTGTTCTCCTTTCTCATCATTCAACTGGCATGCGCTTTTGATTGGGGTTCGTGATGGGAAATGCTGTTCAAATTGCAGGTCATCAGGGGAGGAGCTACGGCCCGTGCTGCTTGACTGTGGGTGTCGAATCGCATTTGACGATGCCGTATCATTCCCCGTAGTGCTAGACCGTCCAGCCCTCAAAATCCAGGTACTCAAGGTGTCATCAAATTGCAGCGGGTCGTCCTCTAGGTCATCGGCCTCCTGAGGCGCATTGTCCAATACCAGGGAAACAACTTGAGATTCAGGACCATCCTGAGCTGGATCTTGATCTCCTCGATGTTCATCGGAATCAACGTGCCTCGTAATATATTCACCTTCATGGGTAGCTTCGCCCGTGGCTCCTCCAGCTTCTTCACTCAAGTTATCGGAGAAGCGGCCCCCAGAATATAAATCAGCCGATGCTTGCAGATCAAGCTGTGATTCGGGCGGATCATCTTTCCAGTCTCCTAGGCTTTCATGAACATTCGAGGCATCCGGTATATCTTCATCATCGTTGGACTCTATGACCTTTCCGGATCCTTCATTCAACTTATCGGAGTGCCGACTCTCAGCAGGTAAACCCACCAAATCCTGAGAAGCAAGCTGTGATTCAGGCCGATCGTATTTCCAGTCTCCCTGGGTTTCATGGGTATTCGAATTCTCAGGAATATGTGCTTCAACTTCACGTATGACAGGCTCTGTGATTCCTCCATTACTTTCACTCGGTTTATTGCTTTGCTGGCTCTCAAAGTCCTCGTCTTCATCGGAGTCTGGAACGAAGCCACGCTCTCGCCATAGTTCCATTTGCAAGCCAACGGTGATAACCCATCGCCTTATACCGTCATATCAATGTCTGGGACCAACAAGTAAAATTAGTAGCAATTATGGGAGCATTCAAAGTGTCTTCTCCCCAGGATTGTTTTATGTGAATGATTGTGAATATTTTTCCCGTCGCGTCGAAAAGGTGGGAGACGCGATCCCGTTCGGGGTAAAATGTTATCACGTGATATCAACGATTAGTCCAACTCACTTAAATAGCTATTAACTAGTAACTAAGGGGATAACAAATTAACTGTTAACATAACTAGTCCGACCGAATTATTCAACACGTAAATTGAATGAAAAACATCATTTACGATGGGCCGACTGCGCGGATTTGTTCCAGTCGCCTTAGCTGTGGGATTTGGCGTGCTTAATGGTATACTATGAACCGCTATCCCATTGCTGTTGAGTTCTCTTCCGACTATTTGGCTAAGCCTCCGGCATTTTGATGGACAGGATATGTAACATTTGCGCCCTCATTCATGAGCCCGGAGGCTGATCAAAAGAATAAAAAGGCAAAGTAGGTTATATTCCTCTGGCCCTGTGTCGATATGGTAAAATGCATACATCCCATTGCTGACATCCATACTGCAAAAATTTCAGCGAGAAAGATTCATCACTCTCACCGTCACTACGACCCACGAGACAGGCTGTGAGCAACTCAACCACTTCACCAGACACGGATAGCAATATTAAAACCACACCGGAATCGTCCAAATTATAGCCCTGAAGCTATCTTTTCCAAAATCTCCGTGGGAAGGCAAAAACGGGACTGTGCCCTGTTCATGTATGTACCGTTGATGGAAACCAGACGCTATGAAGGGACTTCATCGCAGTGGTTCGCAAACAAATTCTGTGGAAGAGAGGCAATCGCTAGGACAGGACGATTGCAATGAAATGCAGATATGAACAACTCTACCATCTAAAGGGCTTCGTGGGGAGTATTTTCTGTTCTTGGAATCAAAAGTTGCACTGCCATGTGTACCAAGACACAGACGTGGCACATGTCCTTTTTATCCCATATTGGTCAAAGTCGGTGAAGCAGCCTCTATTGGGGCCTGTCAATCCCCATTATGTTTCGATTTTGCAAAATTTCGCACATCGGGGGATCTACACATGGTGCCAGTCAGTGTTAGAGATGCCTGTATTCCCCATCAGGGGAGAAGTTACGGGAGAACCGGCGAAGTACGGATGCCGGCTACGCCTGAACTCTTTAAGTGCAAAAATTGGCAATACGGCCCGACATTCTTTTGGAGGAAAGTCACCTGGAAGAAAGGTTTGTTGCTGGCTGGGAAGTGAAAAGCATACAGAAGGCGAGATAGGAAACAGCCAGAGATCTCGAACTGTCATATTGTATTTTTATTTGAGAACAAAGCCTAATAGGGTTTCGTCAGTCGGTGACAAGGTCCATGAGCCGAACAGTTTCGAAGGCATAATGTTTCATAACAGTAGCAATATTCCACTGGAAAAGTAATCTGCGCAACAACACTATCCAGTACTATACATTCCATATTCCCCACCCCCTATTATCCTCCTACAAATCCGCAGAACACCTTTGGGAGAAAAAGCTACTCAACGCCTCACTGAATCAAAACAACACAAGGCACCCTAGTTTTGCAAAAAATAACATTAAAGGAAAGAAATTCCACTTTCACACCTCTTCCACAAGCCGTCGATGGCCCTGCCCTGATCCCATGCTTCGTGTCGTCGACCCATTTTCAAAAATGCGTCCAGCAGGCGTGCCAAACCATTCCTCCGGAACACCAACTCTACACCCTTCCCGGTTCGAGACATAGCGTATCATTGTCGGCTCAGGCTTTTCTGGCTCCTGTAGCTCCTGGGCTCTAGGTGTTGTTTCACCACCAGCTGCCGTCTCGGCTGCAGAGATCTTGCCCCGTCGTTTGGGTGCTTGTTTCTTGAGAAGTTTGTTAATTGTATCCATCTAGTGTTTTTTAAACGCGTTAGTAATGTTACAAAATAGACATTGAGAGGGCGGGTGTTGTATGGAGAAGGGAGGCGGGGTTACCTTTTCTTCTTCGTTTCGCTTTTCGCTGAGGTTTTTCCTTCTTCGTGCCATTTCAGCGCGTCGCATGGCATGTTCCTCTGCAGTTAGGTGCTTCTTTACTTGCGGTTCTAAATGTGTGGTTTAAATGCGTCAGTCATCATTACACTCATACAAGATTTAAAGTGGTCTTATCCAGAGAGAAATCTTACCCATTGGCAACTGCAAAAAGTCGCCTCCAAGCTCCATCCGGCCTCGCTGCCGTTTAGTCATTTTACTTACGTCAGGGGTACTTGATCTGCTGCCGGTGATTGGAGTGCCGCTATCACTCTCCAACTCTACTTCTTCTTCTTCTTCTTCTTCTTCTTCTTCTTCCTCCTCTTCCTCTTCTTCCATATCGTCGTCCTCAACAATCTCCTCTGGCTCCTCTGGCTCCTCTGGCTCCTCTGGCATAACTGTTTCATCTGGCTCTCCATCAGCGTCGGCCTCGGAATCCAGTTCGGAAAGCTCCTCATCATCGTCGTCGTCAAGGTTCATGGTGGAGTCCGCGTGGTTCAATCTACTCTCCCCAGCGGCCGTAACGGAAACTGTTGGTCGAGAAACAGCCTGCTTAACGTTTGGTGGGATTGGCAGTGCATCATCCATGTCAACATCATCATCGCCGTCAGCTTCAGCATCAGCATCCTCGCTATCGTTTCCATTTTCTTCACCATCACTCCCATCGGCATCAGATGTATGCGACTGTTCCCCATCCTCTTCGCCCATCGATTCCTCAACCTCCTCATCTTCATCTGTGTCCACCTCAACCAATGTTTTCTTCGATCGACTATTTCTCGGTCCCGTGACGATCACTGGTTCAGTGAAGATATTATGATGGCGTTTTTCTGCTCCACCAGTTACCTCTCTAAGCTTGCTCGACGGCATCTTAACTTTCAGACGAATAGACCTGTGTGCGTCTTTAGGCGGGCTGAGGGGCAAACGAGACACAGTAACCGATGGAGGGGGCACAGCTTCGTCTGTGGTTCTGCGATATCTTGATATAGAGTTAGAAAGAGGAGATGACACATGGGTTAAGCCGGTATGAGATCGGAGCGAACGCTGAGTAGACATGATCGGGAGTGCATGTATGTTATAATAATTGTAGGCTCAGGAGGGGAAAAATCTCTCATGGTAGTTCTCCATGCAGATGTGGGACGAGAGTCAAACGTTAAGATCAAGGGAAGCAAAAGGGGAGGTGAATGTGCCAGATCATCGTAGAGCAAGGGCGGTTAGAAAAATCCACATGTGTTTCTTCAACATAGCATCTAAAGGTGCGAGACGAATGTGGTTTTATATAGCACAGCAATCAGCAGGGTATATGCAAGCGAGAGAGGTCGGTAGTCAGTGAAAGGCCACATATGCAAATGCACCGCTGCCAGTCCCAGTCTGTATGTGTACAAAAGAGCGGGAGCGCTCTTATGCTGATACTACTTTCCAAACACCATACGCCCAAAGCTGTCGCCGTGCAGCAGCACCATTGCTAACCTTTCTGGTTACTCAAGGACTACCTAGTTATTTAACAAAGCAGCTGCCCGAGAGGTTGGTGTTTATTAAATAAATAGCTGGCGTCATAGTCGTCCCAAGCCTTCAACCGACAAATGGGGAGAAGTAACCTTGGAAGGGAAAACCGCTGGGTGCTTGGGAGGTCGAGGAAGAAACAGGCAGACATCCAATCCAAACACCAAACAGAGATGAACAATACACTCAACTTCAAAGGGTGAAATCTTACCTGGTGGACTTGGATTGAATTGGGGTCTGGGACCGCCAATCGTCGCTGCTTTCGTCTGCACTGCTGGTAGCCTCCGTATTTTGGTAGTACGACGATTCACGGTCAGATTGTTGGCAAACTCGTGTTAGAGGCCTGTCTGCCATGGAATTTCAGTCTGCTAGGCCGTAGGTCGACTGGACGTGAGGAAAACGCCTCGTCGCAGCCGCTATGTGACAAGGTCGAGTAATTAGGTGAGAGTAGTTAAACGCCAGCCCCCCTTGCAGGCTACTGGTGGGAACAACAGCCTAACAGCTGAGGAAACTCAAAGTATGGCGTGCAAAGGGCAAGTCGTACTGGATTCCAATACCTTTCGCATCGCAAGGAAATGGGGAAACCTGGGACGAATTGTGGAAAAAGCTCCTCATGAAGCAGCCAAATATCAAGAGTGATGAGACGTCGAGATGTTGAGCAGGAGAAGACGTCAAGTTTGGGGGTACATTGCAGCAGGGTATGGGGTACTTAGTAAACAGATCATATTTAGCTGGTGAGGGAGGTACCATTTTGCTAGTAGTTCGTATTCTGATTACCATATTTACCATAGTTAACGTCATTTAAAGTTACTGTAACTAAGTTATTTAGTTAGTCCTAACATAATAGATGATTAAGCAAGCCGAGGTCCAACTGCGACTCCATGCCGCATCCCAAAAGTTATTCTCAACATCTTCAGAATCAAGCAGCATTGTTGCCCGGATAAGAGAGAACAACGTTTACATTTTTATTTTTCATAGGAGCCAGTGGTCTTTGCCTCCTGTCTTCTATGTTTTACGTGCGTTTTAATTGACTCAAATTGTTGTCCAACTACCATGAGTGACGATTCAAAGCCGAAAGGCCCTGTTATCCCAAGCTGGCAACTCCCTGCGCCAGACAAGACGGCATCAGGTATCACGACGTCCACCACTGCTCCCACAGCAGATGGAAACAAGACAGAGACATCCTCCAGAAACACTCTCATAGAAGAAGCTTTAAGATTTCTAAAAGATGAGTCAATACGAGACGCACCAACGGATAAAAAGATCTCGTTCCTCGAGACTAAGGGCCTTCGCAACGATGAGATCCAAAAGCTACTCGGCGTATCAAGAAACCCTGAGGCTACGAGCGCTGACACGACATCACCAACAAAGGATTTTACGAAATCAATATCATCCAGTGCTCAGGCTCCTCCTCAGACGGTCACATCTGGCACAGCCCCTCCACCCTCTCCCGAAAACCCAAGCTCTCAAAGTCCAGCCTCTGCCCCCAGTTCCCCTCCTATAATAACATACCCCGAATTCATCCTCCAAGCACGGAAGCCGCCACCTCTAGTCACATTCCAAGGCGTTATGAACACTCTATATGGTGCTGCAGGGCTTGCGTCTACCATATACGGCGCCAGCCACTTCCTACTGAAGCCAATGCTGGAAGAACTCACGCGTGCCCGCCATGAATTGGCCGAAACAGCACAGCGGAACCTTACCACTTTGAACGAAAAGCTGGAGGAAAATGTGTCTTCGATCCCACCTCTCCTCCCGAGCACCTCACAAGACGACCCAAAGTTACATGATGATGATGATGCGGATTCTATAACATCAGATCCCACAGAACTTTTCCACAGAGACATTGCAACACAAACATCACCAATTCTCTCACAAACTTCATCTACCCTGTCCACGCCAATTGAAGGCCTGGACACGGGTGACCTATCCTCCTCTCAAAAGACAGTATATATGCACACCAAGCGGCTCAAATCAATATCATCGCAGTTAACTGATTTTCTATCCGACGAAGATTCCACGGGTATTTTACAAAATACTACTTACGATTCTCTGTGGGAATTGAAAAGCTATCTAGATGGCTTGATCTACAACAATAGCCCTTACCCGTATATGGTATACAATGATTCTTCCAAGCCAGTGGGAGGGAACGGAAGATCTGGGGCCAAAAACAACGAAGATGCTATTGCCGCTTTTAAGACGGAGATTCGAAGCGTAAAGGGGACTTTGCTCAGTGCGAGAAATTTCCCTGCTGGCACTGGTATTAGATCCCCTATTCCAACACCCGGTAATCGGTAGAGAGAGCATCTGTCACTATTTTGTCATACATTCCCCCCCCCCTTCCCCTCTCAATTTCCCGATACGGCTTTCATTATCCTCAATTATTTTTTCTTTTTGATTCAACGCATACGGAAGAAGAAATTCCTTGTTTCAATTCCCATTCCATATATACTACACTTTGGATTTATGATAATGGTAGAAAGCTAAGATTAGCCGACAGCAAACAATTGAGATTGCGACAGCCTCCCAACGAATCGCAATATAATTTCCATTGTTTATTTCTTTGAATCTTTTCTACTTCTCTATATCCTAACATGATGTCATGACTCTTTTACTCCCGTCCTGCGAAGTCTTATTCTGCGTCAAGTTAAGACATATTATCCAGTTCGCGGAAAATGATACCCTTGGCACCTGCTAATCCGCTGGTGCGAGTATGAAATCGGGATACCGAAAAACCTTCCACCCCACTGTTCTGGCCTTCGGGAGTTGTGTTTCCCGGAGTCGTTGGATATGTCCGCATGCTCTGGATTCTGGTCGTACACATGATCTGCTCATGGTTCCCAGGGTCGACTGAGGTGAAACGGTGCGTTACTAGCTTCGCCAGTTCGAATATACGCTACCTCCAGCTAAGTGCGTATTTAGTGTTAAATCTGCTCCAATGATGGCCGTTGCTGCTCATGGACAGCTGCAATTCGTCCCGGTACTTTTTTGGCCAATGACCACTGCGGCCCGCTCTGTGGGGGGAAACGTAAAGCATTCAATTAAATAACTAATCTAAAGACAGGGCCCAAAGACGTCAGTACGATGATGATTATATCTGGAGGGCCAATATCCTCTGTCATTCCCGGCCTCCAACACTCCGAATGACACCATGCCTCTCTGGCCTGGGATCTTCATGCTCGCGTCGCTGTCAGCAGTTTGCCAAATTTTCGAGTTTTAGCTTCAGGACTGCGGAAAATATATAACCCGTGAGAGCGAATCCGTAAGAGCATGACTCTAAGCAAAGCTTCACTTTCCACTCAGCTGAGACCCGGTGGGGTTTCCCAGGAGATCTCCACCCAAAAATCCAACAGCCAATATGTTAGAAGTCACCCTGTTGAATAACATATCGACTTTCCTCCCTCCCCGTTCTCAGTTTCGTCACTCATATCCCAGGGAAAATGCATACTTAATCAATTACACCCACAAGGGGCTCTCCGCTCCGCATCATTAGGATCTTCTTCCTCGCTGTTGCTGGATACCTGCAATACATCACCTGCCTAGACTTGAGCAAAAATGTCACCTACAATGGTAGCTTGGCAACCCTGCCAGTCACACTGCTAGTCCATGACATAAATCTGCTCTTTATTAACCTCATCAGGCCTCATCAGGCCCCTTCGATGAGCATAGACATTAACGTACGCGGCATCGGCATCTCGTGGCTAGCAAAAAAGGTCCCCAAACCTCCATCCTTTTACGGTAACCAGTGTCCCGGGCGATTCGATTTCATCGTGCTCCAGATGGTAATCGTAATCTGGCAGTATCTGGCCCCTGATTTGTTATCAGCAGCCGGCGCGCTACAGCTCCATTCTCTTCTTTCCCTCATTTACCATTGGGTTCACGATTTGAGGATACGGCACAATGGCTCTGGAGAAAAATTACAGGTGTGGAGGATGACGGGAAGGAGATGGGGAAGCCTAGCACCGGCACGGTGAATTTTAAAAGATCTATTAGATGGTTGTGGGTTAATACGTTTATGAGCTTGACTGCGCCGTTTTGTGTATCCCGTCAGTTGTTGTCTCATTAGCGGGGTTTCCTCATGATATGCTTCACTCGCTTTCCTTCTCAGTAATGGGAGGTCTGGCAGATGATGAATACATTAACCTGCTGTGAGAACTTAGGTAAACATAGAAATAAAGAAAATTCGGTGGATATTTCCATAATTATGGGGCAGTTTTCCTTTGTTTTATGGACCATTCTACATGGAATTGTTTCTAATCCTGAAATTTTCATATCTCCAGCGTCACCCGTAACCCCTGAAATACGGAGCGGGAAAATATGGGCGGGAAAAATCAATACTCCATCGCCCTGAATCTAAAAGTAACTATAGGGTGAAATAAGTATAAAAACCTAGTAAGTTTTGAGTTAATATTAAAGATATCTAAAGACAACAGGAATATAATAGCAGTAAGAAAGTTATTCGCAGAAACAATAAAAAAGGAAATTAAAAATGATAGAAAACGAAAATTACAATCGTCACATCCTCAACTCGCTCAATTTCATGATCCTATTTCTTTCGTGTCTTTGGTTTTCTTTACTTTTGTCTCTCTCTTCTCCTGTGTCGATCGCCCGTAGAAAAGTCGACTCACTCATCCTTCGCCCTCCCCTAGCCCTCTCTCCTACTTGCTATTTAGGGGAAGGAAAGTGAGAAGATACATCTAGCTCCCAAGCAATGGAATTTATAAATATTAAAGAAAAATTTGCAACAAACAAAAAAAAAAACATTTATATAACCGCTATATTCAGGGAGTGGCCCTGCTCATGCCAATCAAACGTTTCACACCTACCTATATTTCACAAACAAAATCATTAGCACACTTCATTAATACGAAACGAGATAAAAAGAATCAAAAAACTCCGAACAACTTACCATCCAATTCCCGCACTCCTCATTCCGATTAGTGAAAATATCCAAATGAATCGAGTGTGCCGTATCATAGTCGCGCGCCTGCAATGCCCGCGCAAGCTCAACCATACTCTCCACCGTGCCCGGACTGAGCAGATCCTCGTTGTTCAAATGGTCAAATAGAATATTCAGCCGGCGCTCAGCGTCGTTGACTTGTGCTTTGAAAGAGGATGGGGCACGTGATTTAACACGCTGCATGTCGGCGGAGAGGATTTCGAAGATTGGCTGTGCGTTTGCGGGAATGTGGCTGCGGTTACCGGGTGCTGTATTGCATTAAATTGGTAAGTCGATTTCATAATTTATTTGTATACATGCAGGGGCAGGGCACTTACGGTATTTAGGAGGGACAGCTGTCTTCTTCTGCGACTGCGCTGTACCTGGTTGTGAACCCGGTGCCGGACCTGCGGGTGGTGGCTGGTGCTGGGGCTCGGGTCTTCCACCTGGCACGCTAGGGGGCGCATACGGGCCCTGCAAAGGTGGAGGTTGGTGTTGCGCGTATGGCGACGGGCCTGGTGAAGGCGCGGGGGGATTAGTGGGGTATGGAGCGGCCGCCGGTCGAGGATGTTGGGGCCCAGATGGCTGCGCAGCGGAATTTGGAGCGTAACGGTTGGACAGTGGTGGGCCAGACGGCGGGTTATTGTAAGGGGACGGCCCGCGGGGAATTTGAGGGATATTCATTCCCGGTCCGGCTGGTGGTTGAGTTGTGGTCGGGGCATATGGGTTTGACGTAGTCGATGGAGGTCTCTCGGGTGGCTGGAAGCCATAGGGCGGATGGTGTCCCACGGAGGGAGGGGAGGTCATGCGCTGGGGAGGAGCGGGTCCCTTTGGTGGGGGTGGAGCTGCCATTGATGTTCGCTGCCTAGGCGGGGGTGGCGGGTGGGGAGACATTGCTCGTGGAGATTGGGACGTGTTTGGTGGTTGGTTTGGGAAGGGGGAGCTGATTACACCAGCACCTGCACTGGGGGTTCCGCGTCGTGGAGTTGGAGCCTTGGCGAACCCTTCGGGCAAATCGTTCCAGGCAGGGAGATTCGTAGCCTGAGTATATGAAGTGACTGTGGACGGGGATTGATTTGTGGCCCGTGGCGGTGGGCCGATGTTTGAATGCCCAGCTACCCCAAAGGGTTGTGCTGGAGGAGCAACAGGTCCTGGGCCTGGCCGTTGAGACGGTTGATAACCTGCTGGGGAGTAGGTTGTTGTAGCTCCTGCTGGCGGGTAAGGATTGCTGGCTTGCATAGGAGCTAGTGGGGAATATGGGTTACTTGTCTGCATCATGGGCGCGTTTGGCGCAAACATTCCGTGAGACGCAGGGGATTGCTGTGACAGAGGCTTCGAGGTCAGACGGGACGCGGTAGCATGGTTGGAGGGAGCTGCCTTTGCCGCTGTCTTGCGCGTAGCTAGCTTGATCCTGTTTCTTGTGGCCTCAGCAGCAGAATGAGCCTGGGGCAGCAAATCAAGATATTTTTCAGCGACGCCCAGTTGTCCGTGTGTTGCAACAACGTCAGCATACTCAAGATACTTGTCATAGAGGCTGCTAAGCTTCCAATCGGACTTCTTGTCTTTCTCAGTATCCTGGAACTTGGTGACCTGGCGGAAGACTGTAACTTTTTCGATAAGGCTCTGGAGAGCACGAACGTGGATCGAAAAACTTGTATCGTCAGAGGCTTCCTGAATACTCTTACACTCGTTTTCTTGAAGCTCGTCAATCCAGATAGCCACCACCTTCTCCAACTTTGAACTAGTCAAGAAGCAGAAGGCAGCATTTTTACGACTCTCCTTGTCATCTTTAGCTTTGGCTTGTTCTTCCAGCCTATCCCCGAGAGCTTCACACAGATCAGGGAATTCCTCATTCGTCGCAAATGTACAGATCGTAGCGATGGCTTCCTTCCAGTTCGCAAGGTCTGCATTGTGCACAACATCCCAAAGGTTTTTACCAACAATGGAAGCCAGTAGTCTGAGATAGTTCGGCCCCTGAGCCTGCTTCTGGAAGTAGGCTTCCTGGGCCTTGTCAACACACTTTTGTCCCCCGCACACAGCAATCATAAAAGCATCAGAAAACCGGTCCTCCTGAAGACATATATCAAGTGCCTTTTCAAACTCTCCTAGGAGAAGCGCTCGCGTTATTCCCCTATCTGCCTCAGATTCGGAACCAGTATAGATCTGGAACGGATCATTCGTCCTAGCACCCTTAGAAGCAGATAAATCTGTAAGAAAGGTATCGCTATCCGCATGCGTATCGAAAATCGAAGACAACCGCTTATGTCTTTTTGCACCCCCGGGACTGCGAGAGTCAGATGCACCAGATACCCCGTTAACCTCGCCCTCGTTCTTCCCCAGTCCAAGTTGTGATAGGCTATCAGCAGCCTCATCTACCTCATTTGAAAATCCCAAATAAGTAATAACCTGTTTTCTCGGGTTCTCCGATATCAATGTTTCAATAACCTTCCAATCAGTCTTGTCCGAGTCACTCCTAGCATTTTGAATTCTAGATTCACATATGCTCCGCAGGTCGCCGGCCTTTAGCGCCTCTTCGAATTTCTCAGTAGCACTGCTGATGTTTGAATCCACTTCGAAAGGAGTAACTTTCACTCTCGAAGTGCGACAGCCCGGTTTACTAGGTTCCGTAAGGCCGACAGATATCACTCTACCGCCAAACCCAAACGAAACGCTGACAGGCCTTTCCAACCATCTGGGAGGTTTTGGCAGAGAGAACGAGGAAACTTGCGGTTGTGACTGAGCTTTGGCGAAGAAGTCTTCATCGTCGACAGGCTGGCCATGACTCGCTCCAGCTTGCGCTGCGGCATCAGCTCTAGTGCTCTGGATGGTTTGAATGGAAATTCTGCCATCGAAGGAGGCCGTAGCAAACATGTTCGGGTTATGGGGGTTCCATCGTGTTTGGAAGGTCCAGTTGGTGACGACGGGGAATTCGCCATACTGAACTCCGGTCTGAGGATTCCAGCAGATGGTCCGGTTGTCCTTGCCGCTGGACAGGAGTAGGTCTGGATCCTGGGCACACCATGAAAGTGATAACACTCCGGATTCGTGACCTCTCAGTACCTGTTTCAAATTAGTTAATGTACTGTTTGTAGAAAAGGTTAACTTAGAGCATACTCTTTCAGGTGCATTAGTATTACGCAAATCCCAAACTAGAATCAGGGGATCTGTCTCTAGGGGAATGGACGTGACGAGTTTTGTTGGCTAGTTACATGATTCAAGTCAGTAAACCTCATCCTATAAAAAGAATCATGAAATAATAACAAATACCTTCTCCGGATCCCACGCAACAGCGCTAACAGCCTTCCTCCCCAGATTGTTCAACGTCAAACTCTCCTTCTTAGTCTTAACATCCCACACAGTGACGAAACCCGCGCTGCTTCCCGTGACCAAGATATGTGGCACTTTCTTGTTCCAGTCGAGGCACTCGATATCGTCCAGTCGTGCTGCAACATTTCCCAGTCGGAACGGCTGGTCAAGATTGTTCAAGTCCGAGATGAAAAGCTGTAGCCATTAGAACATGGACATATGCAAATGGAAATCTATTTGCCTTGCACTAGCATGAGATGTACGTACTTCTCCTTTGCTGCCACCGGTTGCCAGAAGGTTCGAGTGTCGCGGATTGAATTGTAGCGTTTTGACGGGGCCAGAATGCTGAGAGGCTCTCAAGACGAGCGAATCACTGCGTGTATAGTTATATATGTTAGTGGAAAATGCTATCCAAAACAAACCTGTGTTTGCGCGGAAGAAAAAAAATGGGACACCAGCCTTGCCCCGCTCAACAGCTTATCTGCACTCCAAAGATCTAACGACCCATTCTCCAAGGCGCCAGCAATGATGCCCCGAGAACTATCATCCGACTCTGTCCATGCAAGGTCATGAAACCTGTTTTATGATCAGAATTCAATTTCAAATTAGCCACCTCATCTTCCATAATTGCTACTACAATTTTCAACCATCCCCGAAGAAAAAAAAGTTCCAAAAATAAAATAACATAACAAAACCATTACAGAAAGAAAGCCATACCCAGACTCCGAACTAATTTTTGCTGCGGGTTGTAACTCGACGGCACCACCTTCGGTGTCCAAAGCAAGATCCCAAAGTTCCAAGTCCGTCTCATTAGAGAAGTTTGCATCGACTGCACCAGCCCGTGTCCCAGTGGCAATGAGGGGGGACGCAGAGCCAGGAGACCAGGCAAAGGCGGCTGTTCGGGGGATTTCCCGTAGACGCACCATTGTGGGATGGCGGTATAGGAAAGGAGGCCTATCCACTACACAGATGGTAAATGGGAATCACGGGGCCAGAGGGTTGCGTTTTCTATGCGTAAATGGAATATGTACAAAGGAGAGTAATGTTTGATTCCCACTTCCAGGGTTTGGGTTGTAGTTGTTCGTGATCCCAGGACTTGATATTGACTGGGGAACTTCCCCCCGGGTCATCTATTTGGTCCAAGGTGTCCTTCTGCTTCTGAGAAGCACTAGCCACAGCGAACAGCAGCCACAGAACACCAACATGTCACGTGATCTGTTGCCCCTCCCAACGGCAAAACTTCAAGCAGTCGTCGTTGATCAGATCAAACAACGTCAGGTCTTGCAAGTTGAGGGAGCTTCAAGTGCGCAATTTGACAGATACCTCCAGTTATACGTTTGTTGAATGACAAAGATACCTCCCTTAAAATAAACGATTCCCTATATGTGTATTTAATGCTACAACCCAATCTCTCCATACAAAAGCAACAACAAACCAGGATCACAACCAAACCAAACATCAAACATGTCTGACGCCTCCCGCCTTAAGAACACAGTCTACGTCGGAGGGCTGGATCAATGCGTCACAATCCGCACCCTAACAGAAGCCTTCCTCCCCTTTGGTGAAATTGTCGACATCACTCTGCCCAAACCCGAAGCGCCCTCCTCAAACGATCTGCACCGCGGCTTCGGCTATGTCGAGTTCGAAGACGCGCAGGATGCCCAAGATGCCATTGACAATATGGACCAGAGCGAGCTGTATGGACGGATAATTAAGGTTGCTGCTGCGAAGCCACAGAAGGATAGTAATGAGGGCCTGGGGAGTAGGACGGCGATTTGGGAACAGGCATGGTTCTTTCTTTCTCTGTTTGGGTTGATGATTAGCTGCTGGTTTTCTAACGGCGGTTACTTGTTCAGGAGGGCTATTTGGCTCAGCATGCCGTTAGCAAAGAGGATAGCATCGCTGAACGGGGCGGGGCGGGATCGAATAGCCATCCTGAAGATCCCATGCAAGGCCTGGAAGGTCTAGATATTGCTGGGCCGAAACCCGAATGAATCTGGTATCATATATGATACGCGCTATGAATTGATCGACTACGAAAACTAACGGGACAAAGGAAACACAGAAGTATTATCGAATGCTGTTATTGATTTATTCTCGACTCTGCCTTTTTGCAAAGCACACAACGCGTAAACGAAATGAAAATATATATATATATATACATGTACAAGCCATCCAATTTGCTCCCACACATACACCCACTAGACGAGAGCACACGGGCCTAACAATACAAATTGGAGATTTGGGGAGATGCGCTACACAGATATACACACAACCCCTCCGTTGCCAACGATCAACAACTTATTCTTGACATTCTATCTCTCGGAGATATTTCTGTGCCGCTATACGGAGTATATCTTAATGGCTGACATCTTCAGGCTTAGGTCGCGACAGACGGAGAGTCTTGTCCGTTCTCAATTTTTTGATGAGTGAATATGTGGCAGCACCGATGGCGACGCTTGAATTGGGAGAATGCTTGTTAGTTATTGGGTTCAGCTCCCCAGGTTGGATGGGCAGTGGGGGTTTAGCCTTTTAAACGAAATGACTTACGAAAGAACAAAACCTGGATGAGAAAAGAATGGATTGCAATTAGCATGTTAGTTTAAAATTATGAAACACAATGACAAATTTTGGATGAGGCTCTTAATCTCGGTTTTGATAACGTACCCAGAGGGAACAATTCTGGGGGGATCTTCTTGAGGGTTCGGAGGCGCTGGGATACTGTGTGAGCTGAACGTGGGAGATGGTTGTTTAGCCAGAGCCAGAGAATCAAACTTTCCCTCTCATGACGTTCGTCGCAATTTGATATTGTAATCTTGGGAGGAGGGGTGATTAAATACCGCTTTGGGTTTCCTTCTAGAAGAGAGAATATCAGTATCATGGCATCTGCGTCTGCAAATTAAGAGTGGCGAAAAGAGCTGCTGCTATTTGGGTCTCCTAGGAATCTACTCACGGGCAAAGGACCTAGACGAGACTGGGTGGCTTGCATTCTCAGTGGGCGAGTAGCGAACATCGTGATGAATATAGAGCAGTCAAGAGAAGATAGCCAATTGCTGCAGCAGGAACTAGGACTGTGTATGGAATATCCAGACAGGCAGTGTAGAAGATGAGTGAGATGTGTTCCAAGGTTGGTTTGTGGATTAGTGAGGAGTGAGCAGTGGATATTATCCAGTTGGGGGTGGTTCGAATGATGGATGTTTTGGTCCGACAAAATCCTTGCCACCCAATCAGGGCTTGCCTTGGTTCGGCAGATCACGGGACTTTAGACCTTTCATCTCAACCAGTTATTATCTTGAATGAACATCCACACATCGAACTCATTTAACATCCCAACTACACAGATACAGGGAGAGACACGCTCTATCAAGACCCTAACTGGAATCAATCTTCACATACACCATGACATATATCCCAGAAGCTGATCCCGATGAACCCGTCGAAACCAAGCCCTTCAAGTTCGTCACTGGTAAGTACTACCCGTCCTCTCCACACAAATACATACATCCATGGAGGGGATCGCAATTACATCTGACTGACTGACTGACTAACCCTGCAACAGCTGGTATGTACAAATGAACCAAAGAGGCAACCCAATGACATCGTTGCATTTCTTCCTGTCCCCATTGCATTGATGCATGACGACCAGAGCCACTCTCCTCCCCCAAAACACCACTCCAAACCCGACCTCAGTATTCCCTCACTCACTAACATATACAACAGGCTTCGATGCTCGTTTCCCCAATCAAAACCAGTAAGAATTCCCTTATCTCACTTCTCATTGTTTCTTCAATTTCCTCCCGCATTCAACGTCATCCCCAACGTCTTCTCGAAGTACTAACGACAACCACCTTGACTCGCAGAACGAAGCACTGCTGGCAAAACTACGTCGACTACCATAAGTGCATTATAGCCAAGGGCGAGGACTTCCGCCCATGCAGACAGGTATTTCCCCTTCCATTGGTCCACTACATTTTGATGGGTGAACGCGCACGTCTATCCCGTGATCAAACAAAATGTGATATATTTCTACGGACACCTCATGATATTGGAACAGTTCTACCTCGCCTACAGATCTCTCTGCCCCAAGGCCTGGACTGATAGATGGGATGGCCAACGCGGTACGTTTCAATATCTATACGAGAAAATTATCCAATCATATTATATCGATGAATATCGAGCTAATATAAGAATCCCGCTATAGAAGCCGGTAACTTCCCCGCCCGACTTGATCGGTAAATGGTTGCCGAGAGTTATGCTGTACAATGTATATGTTGCGCGAAATATTTTGTTCAAGTTGAGAGGGATCTTCTTGCGGCAGGACAAGAAAGGGGAAGGGAGGGATGAACCAACGGGGCAAGTCCCTTATTGAAGTAGTATACGGTATCTACCCCTCTGCACACAGACACTTCAATATTTCATACGTACGAACGTTGTGAATGAGTTATTGATTGGCTCTGTATGGTCCCGTGGTTTTCATCTTTCTTTTCTCTTTGGGAGTGGAAGTGGGAGGTGCTATCACTGTATATATATGTCTGAAGAATCGAAGGAGTATAATTAAAAGAGAAATACTGCATCGAAGTCGTGTAACCACATGTAAACGAAGCTAGTTCTGTTGATTAAGATACCTTGCATGTCCAGCCGTCTCTTCCTTGGCCATTTTTTAGTAGCTTGGAAAAAGTACTCCTATGACGACCTATTTCGTCCCCCTTTGTTCAGCAAAAATCCACATGGATTTGTATTTTCTTTCAAATTACCTTTTTACATCAGCATTCCTAGAGTACGTATTGCACTATATGCCCATAAGCTGATATATGATATGATATGTATCATGCACCGTTTTCTCTATCGTAACCAGGGTATCTATATTCAGGAAACAATAGGGGTAATCCCGACCGTCCATACGTTATATATTCACGATCCCAGGCTATTAAGAAAACAGTCTAGTGCAGGCGTACATCCAAAAAAAAAAAAATATATATTCCGAGGGAATGGCTGTAAACACCCATGCATATATACCTACCTGTACATGAAAATAACATTGAAAAGACAAAAACAAACTGAAATAGGAGGGAAATGGCAAAGAACAACAGGTTTAACTCTAGAGGTACTGGTATGCTTTGTCCAATTAGTTTTCTGTCCAACGCCTAAAGGGGTGGTATATGAATCCAAAGGTCTATAATCTTTAGGTAAGAAAAAGGGATGCCCGCGGGTTTGATTCGTTTGTCGTCTGTGTTGAGGTTAAAGGAAGGAATGATATGTGTGGGAATAGAGATTCACGGATGGTGTCTCTAATGGTAGCAATTGATATCGCTTGCTGGGTATCCGAATCAAGATCACAAAGGAAATCGCACACGGGATGGGTGGTTAGGTGGAGGGATGAAGGAGAGGTATGAATATACAGCGTCATCATGTGAAGTCGACAAGGTGTATCCGAACGGCCCTGAACATCAGAATCCCAGCCAAGGATTTGGGTTACTCCGCATAACAGGGGACACGCGAGGGGGAAAACCCCCTTCCATTACGGGATTATTTATATCGCAACCCCTGGCGCCGCGGCTGGTGGATTCAAAGCCCGATAAATCTTCTTATGCTCTTCTAAAAACAGAAACGTCGCAATCGTCTGCGGCGCAAGGCGCACAAAACTAGGCGTCCACCCTCTAAACATCCACGAGTACCCTTCCTTCCTGACCACCTCTTTCAACAGCCCAATGATACCCTGTCCCTTCGATTCCGCGGGACTCGCAGTCATGATCCGCGTCTTGATCACATCGACCGGACTGCATATGGACGTCGCTATGAACCCTGCCATTAGCGATGCGGTAAAGTGTGCGTTGATGTTATCCGACATGCCAAAGTGTCGCATACATATGCTCTTGAAAAAATCGTATGTGGCTAGCTGTGATGCGTTCATGAGTATTGCCCGCGCGGAGTTCGGCCACAGGCCGCGGAACAGACTTGAAGCGCCCTCCATGCGAACCATCTGAATCAGGCCGTGGAAGGCGTGTTTGTAATTTCGTCTTTGCGCGGGGGGAAGCGCGGCGTCGGATTGCATGCGGACGTTTAGGACATCGGCGGGGTTTCCGACCAGGCCACCTGCAAACCCTGCTATGGAGGCCATTGAGACGAGGGTGGGGAGTGACGGGGATGACCCTACGGTGGTGAATCGGGATTTCAGCTCTTCGTAGACGCCGAAGCGGGTGGTGGAATATGTGATGCCGCGAAGGAGGGAGGCGGAAAGCTGCGATATGCCCGGACGAATTAGTTCCACAGGATTTCATTTCGATATACACCTATCGAGCTACAACAACGAGTTTGAGAATAAATTTGATAAAACATACGCCATTATATAGCCCAAAAACTCCATTATTCTTGATGATATAAATCATAGTTCTGAACATGCCAGCTGGGTCGCCCGGTTTGCGTGTTTGGAGGCGGACCTAATGCGCGGGAATATTAGCCCTTGTTAGAATGGGAAAGAAACGCCGCACAACGCCGCAGAATTACCTTTACTATATGCAAGAATGAGTTAGCTAACCACGTCTAATAGGCACAAATTAGAGAATAAAAATGGAGGATCAAAACATACAAAGATCCAAAGGATGCGTTACCCCAGTGGCCATGCAAGAGGCAGAGCCACCGAACCAGAAGGGATAATGGAATTTGGGTGGTGACTGCTGAGCAGAACGGGGCTTGAAGCCTTTCATCTTGTCACTATCTGCCATCTCGACAATTCAGACGTATATACATCATGCCAGAGCAAAGCGTTGAAGGAGGGGGGAGAAGAGGAAGAGTGCTTTGTCTGTGGATATTTTAAACCAAATGGTGAGGGTTTTAACTACATATTTAAATCCGATATCGCTGATGAAAAAGATTCCCCGAACCGTATTGTAACGGTGGAGGTAAAAATTTAATGAGGATAAGAGGCTTTCTATTGGCTGGATAGTGCCAAGTCTCATAAGTACGGTTCCGGGATACAACAGAACTGCATAATTACAGCTAGCTCGGCAAAGAAATTGACGATGACCAGCGACACAGCAATTCAAATATATATGTATATATGAGAGTAGTGGAACAAGTTGCTCACTAACAGGACGGCACGGGGACAGATACCCACACAGGAAGAAGCTCTTAGTAGGTGAACCAGAGAGACATGCAGCTGCTCCCGATTGGCAGGGCACTACGGTTGGCCTCCAATTCGCGGGCGATCGCAGCCAGGTTCACGAGGAGTCCTAAGTGGAGGAGTCAATTAAGTCCGCTCGTGAGTTCAAGAAATAACAACTCAACAGCTGCAGGAAGAGCAGCAGCAGATCCAGTGTTAGAGGATGCTTTGAGAATATCACAGGGCCAGTCCGACCACCAAACTCCTTCGGCTCAGATAACGCGGGAGGGAATTAGGGACGGCGACAAAACCCACCCAGTCGACGAGTGGACGAATACCCCCAACAATATCCTTTCGCATATCGGGCGTCGATTATATCTGGATAAAAATCACCCCCTTGCAATCACACGCGAGCTGATAGAAAGCCAATTTACAGGCCCAGAGTATGGCCATTATGCAGAACAGAACCCCATCGTCCCGACGACGCAGAACTTCGACGTCCTCGGGTTCCCCGCGGATCACCCTGGACGAAGTCGGACGGATACATACTACGTGAACAAAAGAACTGTTTTGAGAACGCACACGAGCGCGCACCAGCACTCTTATTTTCAACGGATGAATATGAATGAGAAAACTCGCCCGGAGGAGAAGGGATATACAGTCATTGCAGACGTCTATCGGCGCGATGCCATTGACCGGAGTCACTATCCGGTCTTCCACCAGATGGAAGGTGCGAGGCTATGGAAGCGCCCACGAGAAGATCCCCTGAAATATTCACAGCAAACTGCAGAGGCAATCATGAAAGACACCAAAAGCATCCCCTCTCATAATGTTACAGTCGAGGACCCAAACCCAACAATACACCCGCAAAGAAACCCTCTGCAAGCAGACCACCTCAGCGTCGAGGAAACAGAAGCCATTGCAACCCACCTCAAACGCTCTCTGGAACGTCTCGTCATTAAAATCTTCACAGCTGCTCAAGAAGGAATCCCCGAACCAGCCCGCATGAACCAGAAACCCCTCAAGGTCCGCTGGGTCGAGGCCTATTTCCCCTTCACCAGTCCCTCGTGGGAACTCGAAGTATTCTGGAAAGGCGACTGGCTCGAAGTCCTCGGTTGCGGCGTCGTCAAACAAGAACTGCTTATAGCCTCTGACGTCCCACACCGCATCGGCTGGGCTTTCGGCCTGGGCATAGAGCGTATCGCCATGCTCCTCTTCAACATCCCAGATATACGTCTCTTCTGGTCGCAGGATCCGCGTTTCCTCTCCCAATTTCAGGCTGGCAAGATCACCCGCTTCGTCCCCTTTTCGAAACACCCGTCATGCTTCAAGGATGTTGCATTCTGGTTGCCCCCCGGCGCCACCAGCGGCGCGGGCGTGGCTGCTGCAGGGGGTCGTATGCCGTTCCATGAAAATGATATGATGGAGATTGTGCGTGATGTTGCGGGGGATTTGGTGGAGGATGTGCGGCTTATAGATGAGTTTACGCATCCGAAGACGAAGAGGAAGAGTTGTTGTTACAGGATTAATTACAGGAGTTTGGAGCGGACGCTGACCAATGACGAAACGAATAAGTTGCACAATATGGTTAGGAAGGAGTTGGCTGAGAAGACTGAGGTGGAGATAAGGTGATGGTGATACGATGTGGGCGGCTTTTGAACATTTTTGATGGGTGAAGCTTTATCTTCGACAGATCTTTTGTCATGTAATTTTAGACATGCGTTTCTGGCCTCATTGCTTGATATCTGAAGTGTTGCAGTCTCCCTGTGACAAAGCTGCTGTATTTATATGAATGAATCCAATATACTTGGGACCTGCTGCATTTCGGTATAGTTACCACTTCTTGATCCCACCTACAATGGCTTCTGTAACTTTTAAGTGGCCCGAAAACATTACGAACCTTGTAATTAACCCAAAAGAAGGTAGGAGGAGTATCATGCATGTGCTTTTCCATTCGATTGAAACAGATATCTCTTTTTCAGCATAAATCTTTGTGCAAGGGACATAATTTTTTCCCAAGAGCCATCCATTATAATCTATAATAGAAATTAAGTGCAACAGTGAAGTCAGAAAGACGACTGCAGACACAAATAGAAAATCCGCCATATCATGACATGTTAAAACAGCCCCAAACCAACCAGAGAGCACAAACATATCAAGAGAGGAGATAACAATGATCAATCGGCAGTGTATGAAAAAAAGAAGTCAATAAACAAACTTAGAAAAGGCAGTGCCATGAACAAGGAGGAGAGAACTTATATATATCAACAAATAGTACAGTGTGTTTTTAGAAAAAGGAAGATCAATGATCAAGATAGGAAAAAACGCCGTTCCCATGTTTTTCTGCCCGTTCTCATACATTGATTTTTCCTTGGCTGTGTAGAATTCATGCTGGTGAATATCATACAGATAAATAAGTTAAAGTAACGGACAAATCAGATGGAACTCGATCGTCCGCAACTATACAGGGGAGGTGTGGAGAGGAAAAGAGATTGGCGCTCGAGACGTCTATGTTGTTATTGTGATTGCAGGGGATGGAGAGTTGAGGAATATAGCGCAGATGGGAATACCTTGTGCGTGGCATTTTTTGATTCTCATATGGAATACGGATGCCTATGAGTTTTTCACAACTCCAACTTTTGCAGCCTGTATTTTAACGGAGAAGTACCGTGTCAGTTTAACTCCATATCTGGGTAAAATGCAGGAGAAACTCGTAGACATGCGAAATAAAGAGGCATAAAGAACTTACCCTTAGTGTACGGCCATTAAGGGTGAATCCTTTGGATTGAGCGTGAAGCACGTCACCGTCCTCCTTTCCCTCCGCCGCAACCATGAACGTCGCTTCGTGCAGTTTCGGATCAAACTTTTGGGGTTTGCCCTCTACCAGCTCTGAAGGATCGAATCTCTCCAATCCATGCTTATTCAAGGTGCTGAATAATACACGCTCTGTCATTCTAAGACCAGATACTAAATCGGCCAAGTCCTTGTTCTCCTTCAATGCCTCGCCAGTGATTTTCTCAGTGGGGACGGCAGAAAGGGCACGGTCAAGATTGTCAATGGAATCGAGGAGGTCCGTTGCGAATCGCTGAATGGCAAAATTCCGGGCAGCCTCTACTTCTCTCCGTGTGCGTTCTTGGAGATTGCGGAAATCGGCCACGGATCGGAGATATTTATCCTGTAGGTGTAGATTTGAACGGGTTAGGCTTGTAGATTGCATGAAAACAACTTCTACGAGAGAAGTTTCGAGAATACATGGACAATATCAAAAATGAAAATACAGAATATGTACAAGGAAACCCAGGGCCATACCTTGAGATCGACAATTTCTTTTTTCATAACTTCAAGCTCTTTCTGAACAGGGTCTTCCGATTCCACGGGCTTTTCTTCTTTCCCATTCTCCTCAGGCGTAGCAGCTTCTTCTTCCTTGGAGCTGTCCTCTTCGGTATGGGTAGATGAATGTCTCTGGCATAATCGGGGAGGAAATGGCTTTATTGATTGAGAAAAGGGTTGTAAGTGTGAAGATCTTCTTGCAGGCAGAGTAGCACTTGACATAGAGCGAATTGAAAGGGCAGACCTCGCCACCAGGTGTTGTCGTAGCACAGCTCTTGAAATCATATTGGAGAGATATGGAATATGCTCTTTAGAAGAATGGGGAATAATAATGTCAAACTATATGGAGAGATTTAGGTCAAATATTTGATATCTGGAGAAATCTGAAGTTTGTGATGGAATTCTAAATTTCATGGCCGGCGGGTTAACGTTTTTCCGAAGAGAGCTAATTCCAACCCACATCAAACCAACATAAGAGATTTTACAATCTCCAGTCCAGTATCCAAACTCTTCATCACTGGTTTCATACGTTACAATTAGAGGGATCAGAATTTTATGTTCAAGGAGACGTGTTATGGGGAAAAGTCAATTCATTCAATTTCGTTGACGTCGCATCATCCTCCCATTATTCATCACATCATAAATCTGCTTCGACTTATGTACGGAATCGACAGATATATACAACAATAACCAACAAAACGTATGAAACAGTGAAAAAAATGAAAGCATGAGCAAACGCCAAAAAGTTCGAAGCTTATTGCCGCCAAGTATTCTTGCCTCCTGTTCTAGCACCTGCGCTACGGCCAAAACCGTATTAGGTGCGTGTTATGAGCGAAGGAAAAGTCCCTTCGTGTTCACCAAGCTACTTTAAAAGAATGGGAAAAGAGAAGATGTAAAAAGGAATGTCCAAAATTGGGGAGGACCATCAAAAGTCGGATGACTGTTAGAAAAGCGTTGAAGACCACAAAGTTGATAAATGTTTTATCGGAAGGGCGAGCTACTTAAGCACCCACTTCGGTCGTGAGTGAAGTCGACGTATCGGAGTTTGCCATCCTCTCCATCTCCTTTTCAATGTTGGCAAACAAGGTACGCAGCTCGGCATCTGCGTATACCTTGATCGACTCTACGTCCCTGCATCTACTGCTTGGCGGAGAATCCATCTTGCTGGGACTTCGAGGTGGTGTCTGATCGTCGCCCAAAATATCGTCTTCAGAATATGAGTTTCGGAGTAACAGCGCACCAGCTATATGTTCAAGTAACTTCTGGCGAACACGGTTCCTTCTATTTTCAGCTTGATCCAACTTAAAGACCCATTCGTCGATGGATTGATCAAGTTCGGAGAGAGCCTCTTCTTGCTTTAAGATTCCCTCCCTTGTAAATTTGGATACTCGGGGTGACTTTAGGTATGAGATCATGCGTTTGTGTAGGCTGTGTCGCCCTGACCGCAAAGATATATGAGTTTCCCGGAGATAATTGCATCTTTTATCGAGCGCTCGCAATTCCTTTGGCAATTTTAGTCGCTTGACAACTAGACAGGGACAGCACGCAGAAATTTATGAACGTACCCTGGAAAGCGATCTGACTTCTGAGTACTTCAGCACCTCAAATCGTGTCGCTTGTTCCCGTGCTTGGATTCTCAATCTTTCAATTTCGTATTGGGAAAGCAATTTCGGCGCTGTGTGTGCGGGGATACCTGCTGGAAGGATGAGACATCCATCTTCTATTGGTTCCTTTTTGACGTGTTGAGCCTGGGGACTGTCGATTGGGGACTCATTCCTTGGGGGTTGGCCCCAACTCATTGAGTCTGGAGAGAAGTTTTGTTGCTGTCTCAATGGCATCGAATATTTCCTGTGTAGTATCGGTGCAGGCATGTTCGTGTTCTGATATGTTTGGCATACCCCAGCACTCCTGTTCCTCGTATGAAGCGATGACTGTCTGCCCGTTCCTGGTAAAATCTGTGTGGTGGAAGGGTGTGCCGATTCAAGTGAAGCCAGGTTCGTTCCGGATTTCTTCGTTTTTAATGGAGATATGAAGCCACTTGCATAAGAATTATCTGCTGGAGCACAATTTGTTGCCATTGCCAATGTGGTATCAAAGGAGCTTGGGCTGGAATTGGAATAATTGGTCATTGGCTCCGTTGGTGGGATCCGAAGACCAAGTCGAGGAGATTTCGGGGGCACTGCAGGTGGCTCTTCCTCTTTAGATGTGTTTTGTTCTAAACTTTTTATAGGCGAGCTGGCCTTTGATGTTTCTATCACATCTACTGCCAAAGGATATGCATCTAGTGCATTGGGGAGCAAGAGCGAGGAAGTCCTTTTACCTGACTTATGTCCGCAATCATCTAAAGCAGATCGGCCAATTACTTTTCCAAACGATTCTTTAGAGGCACTTGGTGGCTCTCCGACAGGATCTAGAGCAGAATTTCCAAAGGTGCCCCGACCCCAAGATGTTCCTGGAGCACTATTTGACCGCTCATGGCTAGGAAATTTACCAGGTATCGTGGCTATTCGATACTTAGTGACAGAAAACAGGATTGAAGTACTATCCCAGACTTACGTGAATCCACGAACGTTTCCTGAACGGTTGTCATGAGCCCAAGCTCTGGGACACTGATCTTACGGCGCCGGTGGAGTGTTCCACCCTCCTTGAATGGGTTCTTTTTCAAGTCACTCAGATCGGGTGTGCGTCGTCCCTCCGCTGCTGCTGTCTTTTTCAGACTAGGCCACAGCTGATATCTGAAGCGCTCGGTAGATGATTGCATTCCTGATACGCCGATGTTCAAGCTACATTGAGCTTTTACGTTTGGCAGCTGCTTGAGTCAGTACCTCCTCAGCAGAGATTTCGGAATTGTATGCTTTGGCAACTCACTGTAGGGGAAGCGTTTCTCGGAATATTCAAGCCAACATGTGCAGCAAATTCGTGGACTTTCTGTTCAACTGCATGCATCATTCTTTACTTTGCTCAGCTAGAGCAATAGCAGGTCGCTTGCTTGGATTTGTGAATGTCAAGGTTCGATCAAGAATAAATGTTGCTCTTCTACTTTTGGAAGCCTCGGTGTCCAGTCCTACAGAGGGTAAATGTCAACTCCAAGGTCAGCCATTCCTTTTCAACGAGGGACAGTGCTGGTCTTATCGAAACCTCAAACCTTAATCCCTAGTCTCGTCACTGGGAGGAGTCTCTGGAAGTAGCCTTTTGTGATCATCTCAGTCTCCCATCATCATTATTGGCAACCTTGGAGATATCGACGCTGGGGAAGTCGAGACAACGTACTAGTAGGGATCTGAGGCTTTGACGTGAATACCGCAGCCCTTGAAACGACGTCCATGTCCACCACAAATTAGGGTGTACTTCAAATTGTGGGGTCGAAGTCTAGCTTTCAGCCACAAATAATTGAAGCCAGTCAGCAACCCCTTGTTCTTTTTATAATTTTTGGCTTCCGAAAAACGACCGAAAAATCGCGAATAATTGCAAGGCGGAAGGCAGAGTGCTATAATCCAAGTGCATATCCAAAACACCAATCCTATGTTGAACTTGGTCTCCCCGCAACTAAAACCAGCCAAGGCGAGTTATCTTGGAACGCATGGCAGAGCATCAACTGATAAGTTTGAAACCATCAATTAACAATAATAGCTATCAAACTAAACACAGGATGCAGTTTGCTCGGGTTCAAACTTCGCTTCTGACTTCAATGATTACTCAAAATCTTTCTCCCCAAATGGGTCCTTTCCCTCTATTGGGATTTTAAACAAGTCTCCATCTCCATTGGATTTGGCATTGATGTCCTGAGTCGAAGGAGGTCGACTTTTTGTATGCCACTAAGGAAACTGGTTTTTACAGTCCTTCCTCCTTGACCTCAGTTGTTTTTGGGCAGCCAAGATGTTGTATCTTTTTCAGTTCAATACATACCTACAGCACTTCTTAGCATTGCTGAGTAATGAAAATTATAGCGATTCTCAGTGGGCCGTGTCCACTGAGCAGTTTGAGAACGTACACTGGCGCTCTCCACGTTTGATCGACTGGAAAGCTTGTTCAGTTAACTCATAGCAGCATATCCGCTCCGTGAGGTTTGGAAATACTGTCTTTCCGGTCGGAGGCGCTAGTTGGTCTGTAACTTACGTTAGTCGCCCGAATCCAATGCTCTCAAGGTCCTCAACCCCTAGACAGGTAGCGCGGCAAAGATCGCGGAGCAGGTATATTCCTGACGGCGGAGAATTACTAGGATGACCAAAGCCTGACGACAAAACTACAATTGAAAGTGCCCTCGACTGTTTAAGGAGGAGTTCATTCACTAGAGATCTTCGAGAATTCAGCCATGGGTTCTTGTTACCCAGGCCGAAGCTGAGTCTGACCGCTGGCACAACTCTAGCTCTTCTGACGGGTTCTCAACAAAATTCATGAAAAATATCTTCTTCAAAAGACGCCAAGCAGAACTTGCTTTGAGCGTTCTTCAGCTGGTATCTTTAAGGTAATTCGAATCATTTGAAGTAAATACTTGTACACATATGATCACCTCGTACCGTCAATGTTGCGAGAAGTGTCGCAGAGTCAGGTCAGGGTGTTATCGAAACTTCCTGTGTACACGGCATTGCAGCAGTGGATCTTTTTATGGCATTTTAGGGCCGAACTTTCCTTCGGCATTATTCAGAGATGACGCTAAACCCTTCGAACCGGTGTCGGACACACTGATGATCAAGTCCATGTTTGCGATAGGAATCCATTTCTATGGCTGACTTCATCTCACGGCCTCTCGTTTACTCTCCAGCCATCAGCCTTCTCACAAGTTAACAGACCAAGAGAGCTGCACGAGATGAGCTCTACCCTCTCAATTCCCAACTATTGAAGGTTTGGACTAATTTTTGGAAGCTCTGCTGTTTTCAATAGGTCTAGTGGCGTCGAGATTGCACTGCAGTGTGGGGATAACTGCTCTGCCTGTGATTTCCATCATCCGTAGCCGCTGCTTTTTGCTCGGTGGATTATTCCACCAGGCAGGAAATTAACGTCCTATCGGCTTGCAAATTCTCTTTCGAGTCTGATACGCCTCGACATTCCAAGGACTCCAGTTGCGGGCAACGTTATTTGACGGAAATGGGTCACAATTAATATTCATCAAATCTCCATGATGTGCCATATCTCTATTATCTAGAGGCAACTCAACTAGATGTCGACGATCTGCCAATCGGCGGGTGCTTTTTAGCCTACCAATTCGACTTCAGCCTAATACCCAGATCAACTCCCCATTCCGATGATTCAGATGAACACCAGGAATGGAGTGAAATGGGATTGGTCCTATCATAATGCTGTGCGATGGGGTAACGAGGCCTGCTTTCAGGGAGACCGATAATCGGAACCACATCTTTTCCCTTCATCGCAAATAACGACCAACATACTCCGTACGAGTACTTCCAAATCATCCCATTCTTCCTGTTATGTTCCCCCCCAAGCTGAGACGAGAAAGACCGCATCCCACAAAGCCAAAAACTACCTAGCTGGAGAGTCGCCGAATCCGTGTCTAGCTGCTGCCTGGTCTATGGAGGGTTCGGCGTAGGGGCTTTTCTTACCCTTTCGGACTCTTATCTCAGGTTCTCCCCCGTTTCGCACAGCCCATTTCGGAGATTTTGCCACAAGGGAGGGTGGCATTTGCAGCAAAACTTGCTGTCAATAAGGTAGTCCAAACGACGAAAAGCGGGGAAGAAAGGAGAAAATGGGGTTGCGAAACGCTTATCTTTCGGAGCAGCTCTCTTCTAAAATGGTTCCGTGGAGCTAAGCCGCTAGTTAACAGGTTGCCCCTGGACTAGAACCTTTCAATCCTTGATCAGTGCAGCTCGCCTCATTGGACAAAGGAGAGAGTAAACCCAAAACCTGACAAGAAAATGTTGCGATGAATACGTGATTGTAACATTTGATCCGGCAATATTTTATTCTTATCATTTACATTTTTTCCCTTCTTATTCCGTGCTGTCGACGGTTGTCGCTGTGGACGTCTACGTACCGGCATCAAAGTCTTCTCTGCCCTGTATTAGCTTCTCCTACACAGATATAGGAGACGCCGAATTGACAGCCTGTTGAAGAATTCGGCTGGTGGTAATTTGCTATTTCAACCTCTCTTTCTGCCCATGGGAGATGGCATGGTGATGATCATGACGGAAATACGTTAGCAACTGGCAACCTATACTGAAAACGGTCTTACAACATCAAGAATTCACTATTCACTCGTTTGCATCTTAGGTGAGCACATTCAGATTACTGCTCAATATTTTCCCCGTGAACTTCAGACATCGAAACTTTGCTATGACGGCCATTTTCCCTTATTGTCACACTTTCGGTGTCCCTCATGCGCGACATGTTTCCTTACCTACAGCGCTGGGCCTGGCACACACACACACACACACTCACACACACAGCTTTCGAGGTGTTGAGTATAACATGCCGGGAGATTGCTGCAGTCTTCTTAATAGATAACACCTTTGGTTCCTTCTTAATATTTGGCTAAATACAATTTCCTCCTGGATGAACTGAGTTCTCTATTTTGTGATCTTTATCGGACCAGGGAACATGAATTCGAACAATGAAAACATCTTGCCAAATGTTAAGAAAAATTCCTTCTGCCGCTATTATGATTTCAAATAGCTTGTATAGTTCTGCTGTTTGAGATACGCAACTATTTGCTACTGAATATGATCATCTTGTTACAGGGCTAACTCGGCGGTTGAGGCATCCATGATAACTCCAATTTCTAACACAACGATGAGTGGTCTTCCAAAGCCCGACCAAGTACATACACCAGAGGTTTATATTTGCTCATCCAAACTCAACCTAGCCTGACTAGGCTGGATCTCTCTCTAGGTTAGACTCAGACAGCACAGCTCCAAAAGCCAAATAAACAATGCAGGTCTCATCCGTTTGGCATTGGCTGTGGTTCTTTGCTGTTGGCAATGCCTGCTTCTGTAGCAAAGAAATGGATCATGCCAGTTATCCTGAAATTAATTCTACTTTGAAGCTTCCTAATGGCCACCAGAGAGTCGGAAAGATCGTTTTGATATGCTGAGGAATTGCGTGTGGTATCACTCTTCAATGTTCAAGACAAAATATATTCAATAATTACATCAGACTCTTTGACTTAACGAATCCTTCCAATTTCATAACATCTGTGCTGGCCTTCTAGTAAGGAGATGGATCGCGGATGCATTTGGCAGGGATAAGCTAACAGTGATAACCTTGAACACAGGCTCTCGAGATGCTTCGCTATTGCATCTCATTCATGAAACGTCAATTGACAGCATTTAGTTCTTGTACGGAGATCTTGCAGCAGCAATTGCACGCGGATACGATGTGGATATGGGACAGGTGGCCACTAAGCTCGGAGTCTTTCCAGCAAGAACTTCCTAGCTAAATTTTGCCTTTATCTTTCGGCTCTTGTCCCCTCTCTATTACTATTTTAATACTAGTTGTTGTATTTTCTTTGGTGTTGGTAAGGGGCCTTTCTCAACACCGTCTTGATCTGTCTCCCATACCTGGATGGATGAACCCAGTCCCCACGTGGTCCTACAGCAGAGTTACTAGCCGTGGACACATCCAGGCGACCAAGCAAACGACAGCTGTATTCGGGATGGAAGGAGATAGATACCCCCTCCGTATGTCGGTAGGGATATATGGACCTAATACACCAATAATCAGGTTTTATTCTCCACCGTATTCGCAGAAGCCAAAGCAAAATTTAAAAAACTGGAAGGATCTTGGTCTCCGAATCCGTGATTCCATCCAACTGAAAATGAGGAATTATCCGAGAACCCTTGCGAGGGCACCTAAACTTGTTGCAACAGAACCCCTGAACACCCCCGGGACTCGGCGGCGCAATACCTCTGGTTCTTCCTTGTTTTCCGATGACGTCATCGCGTTATCCATTGAACTCCTCAATTTTACTGGAACGAGCCAGCGTTTGTTATCCTTTTTCAACTCTGGATTGTGCTGTGGTGGGACTTTTATTGAATGATCCCACGTCTGAACGAGTCTCTTGTGGTAGTAGGGGCATCCCCATGGTACTGTGATGCTCGATTACCAGTACATTAATACATGTCATTTCTGAACGAAAGGCTGACTGTGTGACACATGCATGTATGTGATCATGCCAGCATAAGTGAGTCCCGGCTACTGCAGATTTAAAAGGCGCCGGGGAATTTCATTAAGCTTTCGAGCGAGATTCCCGAGTCTCGTACAGCGCCACTCAGGTCAGGCGCGGCCATCAAGAAGTGCTGATTGGCTATTTTAAGAACCCCCCTCTAACTAATAATCGAGACCGAAAACCCCAACCCCGGCAGCTGTAGGATGATCGGCCCTGCGTGGGACATTGGCGACGCTCAGATGCATATGTATTTGCAGTTTGGTGCCACGCCAGTTATGTTAGTTGGCTGGTTCTTTGGAGGATTGATATGTCACTTACATTTTGACAACCTTTTATCCGGCTAATAACGCTTCAAAATAATTCAGCTAGTCAAAGTAAGGTATGGCGTTTCCACTGTCTTACATCCGAAGGCAGTAGCAGTATCCAGTAAGCAGCTGGCCACCGTTTGTATCTAAGACCGAGTAGACTCTGTGCAACCACCTGGATAATTGGATTTTTGGTCCAAGTCATTAGCCGGCTAAAGAGTGTTATTATCTTCGGCAGCTGACTGGCGAGTTGGATTCTTTCTTAACCTTGATAACCCAACATGTCCAACGATTGCTATTGCCATTATCATTTGTTGATGGCTAGCAGAAAATGAGTAATGAATGCTCTCGATCAGCACGCTTTAAATTCTCATCCACCGTCGCGGAGCACAGAGTGAAACACACATATCTCTAAACGGCATGCATGTGTATGAAGGTACGGCACTTTCTCTCCCTTTTCCTGCTAACCCGACTAGCTGCAGCTCAGCAGCAGAGGGCGCGCCGAAGCCTGAAAGTGGGATTTCTTACGGCTTGCCTCTTCCCATTTGCGCTGCCGCTCCGGGTGATATTCTCTTTCCCGTAATAATACGTTTCCTGCTTCCTAGACCGGATGTTTCCGCCGCCGCCTACGCCGCCTTTCCTCCCTGTTTAGCAACTTTCTCCTTTAAACCTGCGACTTGATGGCTTGGGCTGGAGCTGGAGCTCCTCTCATTAGGTGCTGCAGGCTCGTCACAATTGTCTGATTGTTGATATTTCTGTGGCTTGTTCCAGTCGGCCTGACTTCTGCTAAATTTAAACGAAGGGGGGTCAGCTTCCCGGAAAATAAAATGTTACAAGACGACTTTTCCACCTCGTTATTGGCTAACTTGATAAGCATGGATATCACCATGTAATCCGCGGAAGGTGAAGGACCGACATTGCGGTTTGCAAACAGATAAGAACTCTGCCCGACAGCAAGATTTCGCAAAAATTTGTTTATATCCGTAGAAAGCTGGGACATAGATCATATGCATTGAAAAATGCTCCGTAATGTGGACATGCACACCACAGATGATCTCGCAAGGAGCGCGCCGTGTTGAACTCCGCGGTTTGAAGAAAGAAACTAGAAAGCCGACTTGGCCCCTAGCCTTCGCTTAAGTAAGACTCACCTGGTGGAAATAGTTATATAGTTATCGCTTTCTGGAACACCAGCTCGTCATGAAAGAAGATCCGTTGACAACAAACCCATACATTTTCCAGCCAAAGGGCCAAATTGACTAACTACTTGGAAGCGTCTTGCTGTCCAACTCTGACGTAGACCACTCTATATAAACCCAGAGTTTTCAAAAAGACAGCTACAAATAAGTTCTCTCAAGTGATGCGGACTTGCAATGATCACGAGAACAGTTCTGTTCGGGCTCAGCGACAAGTTATCAGACTTTCTGTTTCTCGAAGGAGGAATAGAAGTCGAGTATAGAGCAGCAATCAGCAGTAACTAATCTGCTGCATCATGGAATTTCAGGGCCTGACGGTCAACCGGAACAACAGCCCCTACGGCCATAAAGGATCCATTGATGCATCTTTGAATTTCAGACGTTTTTGATACTTTGATCCCCAAGAACAAAAATCCGCCAAGGGGAGCTTCTGGAAGGGTGTTTACTGTAGTTTCGTAGTTGCAGAGACTGCGACGGTGCACTCTGTGCATTTGATTTTGTTGGACTAGTTCGGGATTTCAAGCCTGCAGCACCCCACTTTTCGGCATTTGTTAGGGGCCGCGTATGGGAGCTCTGATTCTGCTTGGGGTATTTGCAGATAGGAGGGGATGATTGAAATTGAGACTTTGGTGCATCTGGGAAAGTTGTAGCACAGATGCAAGCTGTTGTCCACAACCTTGATTCCGCCATCGAAGCTCATTATTTAAAGCATTGAAGGGTGCTTATACAGCCATTTTCCAGTCGCTCGATTAGCAGCACGCACCCTTCTCCGGGATATCCCATGGATGCTGTTGATGCTGAAACACTCCTGGAACAAAACCCGGGTAAGTCTGATATCGTCTCGGGTCTTATTACATGCAAGCCCAAGCAAACAGCCTGCTAGGTGATTCGAAAAGCCATGACGTAGCCAAGAGTTACTCTCTCGTTATCGACTCTTCTCGGTCCCTTTTTCTGACTTCGATGTCAAGGGGGTTGTGCAAGCAGTTAGTTAAGCGCACTGGCTGCCAGGGATATGGGCTGCTTGGCAGTGCATTGTCTGCCAATGAACATCTTCAAGTGTCCAAGTCCATCCCATGCAAACCAGGATGACACGCGTACCTTTGACCCTGCTGCTGCTGCATCATGGATAAGCTGACGGCTAATTCAGGGGTAGCATCTGTGAGGATACATCCAATTTTGCTGGGATCGTAAAGCTGTGAACAATGCCCGGTCCCGGCTGCGTTCAAACGCTCGCACGAAGAAAGAAAATAAAAGGCGACAGGATCATGAGAAAAGGCCACGTCCAACCTGTCATTGTTCCTGTGCATCTGTTCCATGTGGCTGCCATCATCATCCTTGGAGGCTGGCCGGTTTGAGAGTCAAGTTGATTAGGGCGAGTTAGGCTGAGAAGCCTCTGGGGTGCAAGCGGCCCTAAGACAACAACACTTCGGAGCTGCCAGCAGCGTTCAACTGCCTGGGCACTTCTGGTTAAAGAACTTAGTTGAAGTTAGTGAAAGCCAAAGTGCTTGAAGCTTACATGTTTCAAAAACAGACTTCAGTTGCCTAGTAAAAGTGTCTACCACCACAATCCACCAACCAACTGCTGGTGAAGACGAGGGGGCCATTGCCACCGATGTAAATATAGAGTCCCAGGAATTTGAACATATTTGATAAACTTAGCTCTTTATCTGGCCTAAAGCGGGATCACAGTTCGCCCTGAGTTCCCCCGCATTCCTTTTCCCCTCACGTTGTTAGTTAGTTACCGGCGAACTGTATAATTGACTGACTTGGTAAATAATGAATCACGATAGGGTCCAGATCCTTCGGAGTCATTACGTGGAACGTACTGAGTCCTCATTGTGTTTCATAATATTAACGAAAGTTCTAGACAAAACTCATCTCAAAGCTAAGCAGGGGAAATATTCAACGTCGATTGCCGCGCATGATATGTGTGTGTACTATTGGCAGCCGTCACATATTAACTAACTACCCCTCAGCTTCTCAAAAGCAAAGGAAGAAGAATAAAATGGGCAAAATGCACTGAACTACCTATTTTTCCATTCCCCTTCTCTCAAGGAAAGCTTTTCTCTTCAGTTTGCTGCGAGATAATGGATGGAGCCTTTTCATCATGGCATGGCTTTTTCCTAACCTTTCCTCTCTGAAATGCAACCTTTCACTACATACATACATACATACATACATACATACATACATACACACACATATGTATACACATGCCACAAATATAAATCCAGAGCCTGACCAGTACAGGTACAATAATCCCAATCGAGAGTATCCAAATGTATAAATTCTCTCCAATGCATCGCCATGGTTCTGCCGGTAGTTGCTGCAGATATCTCTAGCTCTTGTGCCCGAAACTAAGATTGAAACGCGGGGAGAAGAGCATGGGAACTTCTTGGGATTGTGACCTTTCCTATCTCCAATGCTTCTTTTGAATCGTTGACTGCCTGGCGTCACAGAAGGGGTAACCGGGAGTAATATTTCGGTGATTTGTTTTACGGGTGGTATGGAGATGCAGTGCCGTCTAGCTGAACGTCCGTTGATATGAAATATGGCCCTTGATCAATAGTTATTGCTGACCTCATAGGTTGATAGGCAAAGGGACAATGTGCGATTGATGAAGTGCAATACCATTTCTCAGAGAAGCTTGTCCCAGAAACAGATCATTCCCAGCCTTTAAACCTCTAGGGCTCCCTAATAAAATCCATAATCAGGATTTTCTTTATATACTCTTCATTCAAGCTCCCAGCCTCCTCTACTGTTAGATACCATGCTAAATGAATAGTTACTGACTGTTTGATCTCTACTAAGGTGTTCGTTCCCCCCTTGCCACGGGGAATTGCTATTGTTTTACCTGCATCTAAACTCTTCCCTGTGTCGCAGAACTTCGTATTGCAGTTCACCGTCACATAGATAGATAACTAGTTGGTTAGAGAAGTTTCACATCAGTGTGCCCTTCTTTTTTTTTAGAGCATCACACGGCCCGTCAAGGTATGGCTTTAGCTCCTTATTGAAACCAATGAGAGATGAGAGATTTTGATAGAGGGATGAAAATCAGAGCCCTTAAACAGCTCATTGCTAGATGATCGAAGTATCGGTCTTATTTAGCATCATCATAGGAAAGCGTTGCTATTATTTCAGGGGCTTTTCATACTTACACCATCTTTATTTTCTCTCTCAACTGATCGCGGCAGATAAGTTTCTGTCTCAAGAGATGGAGTCATGTAGCGGCATTCTCGCACAAATCAAATGGGTTATTTTGACCTTTATTGATAGATGGTGGGAATAATAGAAGCACCAAAATAGAGACATAATTGGGAAAAAAGGGATATATATGTTTCTAGCTTTTAAAGATGAAACGTAGACAGTGAGCAGAACACAGTCATCACTGAAAATTTGCTGATGTTTGAATGAAGATTTGATATTGAAGATGAATGCAGATAGATAGCAGCACTACAGAAATACATCCTCCATAGGTGAAAGTTTCATATGTGAAGTTTGATCTGAAATTTATTTCAGAATCTGAGCAGAAACGCTAATTGAATTTGGTATATTTCTTCTGGATGGGACAAATAACGAGCGTAAATAACTAGGAGTGTAACTGGCCTTAATATATATTATTCTCGAATAACGGGGGGAAAGCACAGACGTCACAGAAGAAAAAAGCAATTTAAAACAATGCCAAAGAATACATGATATGGGGTGGGACTTTTCTTATATATGTGATTCTTCTACCGAAGGGGGGAGTATCCGCGAGCCACACCGAGGGCAGCACATGTTCTCGACTTAGACGTGGATAATCTCAAAAAGAAAGCTAAAGAGATAAAAGAGGAGAGGAGAGGAGAGGAGAGGAGAGGAGAGAGAGAATGGAACGGGGAAATCACAGACAAACCGGGCCAAAAGCAGAAACGCTCATTCATTATCGGCAATGAAGTCAATCAATCGCTAGGCCACGCACTTCTTTCGTCCAAACGAGAGAAGAGTCAAGACACCCGCCCCTTTACCCAAAGGCAAGAAAACACAGAAGCGAAAACATAAGAAACAACCCCTATGTCCTCACGATCACCGTTGTGTCACAGGACGTCACACTACAGTCGAAAATACCCCAATCCTTGCCCTTTCATCCTCTCCTCCTCCATCAATAGCCACCAGTAAACAATTTCCCAGACACTTCCCCAGCACAATCCAGGATCAATCCTGCAACTTGACTCTCGACGACACGATCCTCAACATCGACGGCATCAACCGGTCTTATTGGCAGCCGCAGAAGAAGGTGCTGCAGCACAAGGAGTGGAAGACGAAGCATTGCGGCGGCGAGGCCGACAGAAGCGGCAGGGGTTGTCGACTTCAATGGGGTAGTAGATGGTGTTTTCAGGGGGGCAGACGTATCTGTTTCCACAGCGCTGGAGGGGCCCCCAGCTTCTGTGACCGCAGTTGTGCACGAAGTAGGCTTTGTTGCACATGGTTGCTTTCCCCTTTTCTCCTTTCTCCTTCTCTTTTTTCCTTCCTGAGGGAGTTCGGGGTTGGGGGGGTGTGGAGTTAAGTAAGATACTGATCGATTCGGATTTTCTTTGGTCCTGACTTGGTAGGTTATGCAGGGAGACAAGGATATTATACTTGTTGGGTGTATCTATGGCCCGGGATTCTTCTTTTATTTTCTTGGAGAGTTCATTTATATAGCTTCATTTGGTTCACTGTTCCAAACGGAGGGCTGAGATATAACTAGATGATATCCGTGAGTGACTGATAGATGGGAGAAGTAGGTAATGATGAATGTGTTTATCTTCATGTCCGGGGATGTCTCGAACAGGAATTTATGGACCGATATATTATATTTAAGACGTTATACGGGCCCTGGAGATAGCAAACCAAAAGCAGGAGGATGACCGCGGCGGTGATGGTCCGTTTTGTACGGACAGGCAACTTTTTATTCCTCGCGCTCGGAAAGTATATATCTAGGGGATATTATTTGCCATAAGAAAGAGGATGGAGTGGACAGATTGCACCATTGATAGGGAGCCGAAGCCTCATTTTGAAGATATATCCCATTGGTATAACAGGGTTGGGAGATCAAAGGGAAAACAAATAAAAGCTGGAAAAAGTTTCAAGTAGCGGTGGTAGGACTCGAAAGGAAATAGAAGTAGAGTAGCGAACTGGGAGAACTATAGCTCTTCTCACCTATGGGAAACCACGGAGGTTGGCGTCGAAACGGCAATTTATGTGGGAAGAGAAAGGTGATTCTCTGTGTAGCCAAATCAAGCTTTAATGACAAGGGCTGCATCTTGCATCGTCGAACTACATTGGCCTTCCACCCTCTTGCATTTTGCGGGAATTCGCATTTCGCAGGCCATTAGTGACAATATATCTGGCCGTGCTATACATTTAGACATGCTGGTGTTGCACACATTCTTAAATCTTGCCATACACGAAGAGCGAAAATATCCATGGATGTGACAGTTTATCTCCCACGGGGATAAGGGAGAGTTGAAACAGGGCCACTTTCTGTAGGTATCCTCTAAGCGGGAACATCTTGGGGAATCTAAACCCTCCCCCTTGATCATTGTAGAGATGAAATGGTGAAGAAACCGATATTGAGGTTTCGGGAAAGAGAAAATTTCCGGATAAGAAAACGAGCGTCAGAACACTTTTCAATCTGTCCGGAAGCTTCAATGGAGAACGAGTAAGGTGCATGAGAGAAACAGCTTGACCAAGGCGGATTCTGTTGGTCTTTTTGTAGCGAAGCCTTTGTGCGACTCTCTTTGGAACCGTGTAACCATTTCCGCAAAGGAGCTTTGGGAAACACAAATACAAGCCAGGGTTCTCAGGAGATTCTCAATAGAGAGTGTGCGATGCCGTACAACGACAGGGAAACCGTTGTCAAAACCGGGAGAAACGGAGTTGGCCGGCCGACATAAATAGGGACGTAGATATACTGAGGGAGATATGCCTCTTGCTCCTCAAAAAAGTAAATGGAAGACAAGTAACGCGGAAATACCATTCGATCATTGCGTGAGACGTCGTGAAAATGCAATCCGCAATGGCGTTCAAGCTCCTCTATTTGCTTCGACTTTGGAATAATTTGATGGGGTTAGGGCAGTCGAGTCCTCATCCTTTTCAAGAGACAAAAAGCACGGACATGTCCCATGAATTGTTCTACCAACCGTGACGCAGCAAAGCAGCCAACCCATGGAGAGCTTAGAATTCTCCATCACAGAAAAAAAAAAAAAAAATTGAAAATAAAAACCTTTTGCCAAAGTGTGGGTGGAGCTTGGGTGGGGCGGATCAACATGAAACAACCCTCTTTCTGCCATATACTTTGCTGGTCCCCCTCAAGAAGAATAATAAAACGTCCTTAAATCGTAACGGTAAGTTAGCTATAACCGATGAAAAAAGCAAGGAGGGCGTTTAAGACGTTATAGGCTTTTCGGAAGGCCTAATTCAAATCATGCTTCACCTGGAGAACTGCAGTCTAATTGGATCCAGCCTTGGACAGAAGCAAAGTGGAGATGAAAGGATAATGTTAGCACTTACTGTGTGGGTGGCGAATAAATTAATTTTGCTACCAGTTAAACTACTCCATCTCTGGGGCGGAGTTTTCACCGAGGACCCAGACACGCTCATGGTCAACAGATATTCGACCTGAAGTTAGTTGCTGAGACGAGAGTAACTGATAATACCCATTAGGCCGAAAGAGGTCTCAGACCAGTGCTGCGCCAAACCAACAATGATTACGCAGTCGTGAGAAGGACAAGATTAGACGTGGAGTGAATACAAGGCTGCGTTTCAGGGCGACGTACTGCGGCGGTAGTTAGCTCCCAATAGCACTGCGTCAAAGGTCAGCGGCAGTGGGGCCGGGAAGCGGTCAAAACATCCGCGTAAAGGTGAACCATTATCTTGTTAATAAGCCCTCGCCTCTTTGGGGCTCAGCAACGGGGTTTCCTGGAGCCGTTTCCACCGGTGTTGTTGGTGGTAGGTTTTGGCGATGGGTTTTTGGCGGTTCCATGAGTCGTTTGTAAAGTCCACTGCTGCGCCCTGAGGCTGGTTTTGGGAGTCGCTGATTGGGTAAGCGGAGGCTTTCTGTCGAACAGATATATTTATCAGTTTAAACAACTTAGAGCTACTTCTCAACCACCAACTACGTCCACACTTCGCAACATTCACTGCAGCCCCCGAAGTTGTCCTCTGGACTGGAGTAGGTAGTCGTCGAGGACTGTCTCTTTGCGATTCCAAGTCTCTTACGTGGTCCCGTCTCTGGACCGTATTGTCAAACCAACTTGCGGCGCTTCTCAGCCTTATCCTACCCTCTGTTATCAGGATTAAAATACCCGCAGCGGGAGGGACTCTTGATATTTACTTTATTGAACAATACCTTCTCTCCTGCGAAAGCTGCTCTATCCTTCTAACCCGGAACTTGCGCATTGTGTCAAAAAAAGTAACGATGTTGCCGCTGTCCTCAACGACAACCGCTTCCTCTCCCCCCTCCTCGGCCGCAAACAACCCCTCCCGCCACGGACGAAAACCCCTCTATCTTGACCTCTCGAACCTCCCTCCCCCCCCTCAACCATCCCCCCCCTCAAATACCCTCCTAATAACCGACCTTCATGACCTCTCCCTCTTTCAACCCTCCTCCCTCGACGCCATAAAGGCCCAAATATCCCGGATAACCCCACTAAACTCTTTCTCCCCACTCCCTTCCCTCCGTCGAATAGTCTGCTCCTTCACCTCCATCGATGCGGCCGTAAGAATCCGCCAGGTACTAGATGGCGAAGCCATCCTTGGCAAAAGTGTACGTGCCAGAGTCTACTTTGGCGAAAACACCCCAGTGGAAGACGCAGAGTCAGGCCGGAAACGAAACCTCCTCGAAGCGCCCAAGTTCCAAAAGCAATTCTTCATCAGCCCGCCACCAAGCCCGCCTCATGGCTGGATGATGCGAAACGAAGAACCCCCCAATAAAGAAGTGCACGCTGCTGATCTGGCAGAGGCGCTGGGCAGGTTGGGTTCGATCCGGGCGGACCGGTCTAGCAGCAGTGTGGCTGAGGCGGCCGGTGCGTGTCAGGATCCCGATACACCCATGTCGCCATCGTCGGATGGGCATATTTTCGGAACTGAACAAGAAACGCCGCGTTCGGGTACGTGGCAAATGTCTGCGGGTAGTAGAGAGGGGAGGCAGCGCAGCGGTAGTACTGTTATATACGATCCGGAGTACCATGGTGGAAGCCCGCATCTGCCTGCGGTTATGGTGGAGGATACGTCGGTCGGGACCGAGGTCTCTGATTTCGAAATGGATGCCAGTCCTACTATCGAGGCGGGGAGCGCGAATCGCGTTATAGTGCACACTGCTCGTCCGCCCGTTGAGCTTATGGAGTGATGTCACCTTTTTACGTCTTCCGCTTTTTTTTTTTTTTGGTTTTGTACAAGGGCATATTTTGTCCTCATATTTTCTCTCAGGGAGCAGAAGATTGTTTAGGAGATATCATAATTCCCCCACTTCTTTTGGCCGCCGGTGTTAGTGGTTTTGGCATATGATCAGCGTTCGAGTTTCTATCCTTATTATTTCATCATACTCACCCTCTGCCTTTGGTTCTGATATTTTCCTTTCCTCTTTATAAATATTTCTTTTAAAAAGCGATTATCGAGTTATGTCTCTGTATATGTAGTGGCATTCATTGGGATACCGACGTTATAACGAGCGGTGGCTGCTGCAGAGTTGGATCCATCCCTCCCTCCCGCTACAGGCGATAATCTCTCAAGCCCTTGTCTATTTCCATTCATTATATACAGTTTTTTGGGAAGGGAACTCTTTTAGCTTGTTTTTCTCAACAGGATCTTGTTGATGAAATACACAACTGTATAGCTTACTCTTCACCTGTTGCTCATTCTCCACCCATTCTTAAATCGTATCCCAAGTTCAATTAGCTAGATGAGGCTCAAGATAGATGCTACAATAATATTACCATTATCTGTCCCTTATTTCCACTTAAAACTTAATTTGATAAGTAATATTCTCGTTTATATTGAATATCTGAGATCTCCAGTTCCGTTTCTTTAGCTTCATCCTCGTCCCTACCACGCTCTTTCTTTTGCGCCTACGATTCCTCTACTCGTTTTGGAGGGCTGAGTTTTCAAAAATTAGTATCAAGAATAATCTGTTGATAGTCATATATTAATTTTTATGATACACATCAAACCCAATCTCATCAAATCTATACCCTGCCGCCCACTACATATATCCCAGTCTTCAACCCGCCCCGTCTCACGGCCCTACTTGGCCCCCCCCCCCCCCCCCCCCCCCAAAAAAAAAAAGGCGAAGAGAGCTGCAACGTTTGAAAAGCATAAAAGGCCAAAAGGAAAAGGACAGGAGTCGAGAAAACAGAGATCACCATTCATGGAAAAGAGGGTGCAAGTTAAAATTTTAGAAAACAAACCAACAGAACACCGATGCCCAGTACCAATCCATCCCGTTTTAGTTCAACGCAGTCCAAGTACACATAAAAAAAAAGATGAATTAATGAATGAATGAAGTGAAACACTTCCCTTTAGGAAATGCCAACACGATAAAAGGAACACCAGCCAAGAAGAAGAAAGGGAAACAGGGAAGAAAAAATCATAGTCGGAAACGAAAACTTCAGTCTGCGGGCTCGTGGAATGAAGATGACGTCAGAGGGGGCTTTTCGGTTTGGAGTGTTTGTTGGCCGAATTCGCTGCACTGATAGTCGGCAGGGTATTGTATGATCATGCGAGAAGCAGAGGAAGGCGGAGAGGGTAGATCGGTTCAGAGCTATGAATGGGGCTGTTCGTCGAAAGTATCTCGGGTCAAGCAAGTGATTCCCCTAAGGTATGCCTGCGATAGATGTGTCTGTAAAAGGAATGCCATTTGGGGTTCCTGAAGGGGCCTTTCTGAATCTTAAATCCTTCTCCAGCTTTCGTTTTCGCTGTCGTCAATCTTTTCACGTAAACTTGCTCACGTGTGTGAGAGGGTGGGACTGTAATAGACAAACGTTGGTGGACGCAGAGGTTTCGTATCTTCCCTTTTCCCTTTCAGCCTCCGTTTATGGTTCTCATACCTTCGTTCATAAATCATTCCTCTTACTCCTAGAGAGTGCCAACGCCATGGCACTGGTGCCCAGGATAGCGAGACCAGGGATACCCATACCACGTTGGTAGGAAGATAAGTCGAAAATAGTCCAGAATCTGACACAATTGAGGAATACCACCCCAACTATGCAATAGGTCGTGTACACGTACATACATGTACATGTACATACCTTGCATTATGCTCTTCTCCCATCCACCCCAACATCCACCAACCACAGGCCTATAAATCCCGCGACACCCAGCAGGAAGCCTTTTCCTGGAAAGAACAAACCGCCATCTTCTAAAACCCTCCAAACCCTTGCCCATAAGGCGTAGCCCCATAAGGTGTCGTACCCCCAGCACCACCCCATACACTACCTCCTCCAGCTGCTGCACCAGCGCCACCAACACCATTAGCCGCATAGGCCGTGTAGCCACCATCCATCCCTTCAGGTGGCTCATATGCATCAGGACTGCGCGCGCCATCCTCATCGACGCCGTTCATGTTCATATTTGTGCCATTGCGATCCGTATCGCCCGCTCCTGTCAGGGCGGAGATGATCTCTGCCAGCTTGCGTTGAAGGACCATGATACCCTGCTGGACGATGGCGTCGGGTTCGAGATTGCCGATGCTTTCAACGTCGATGTAGAAAGTTGAGGGTTGCACGTCGTAGTCGAAGGGCATGTCAGGTTGGGCTGCCGTTTCCCATTCTGCGTTTGGGGATATGGGCCTGTATATGTAGACGTTAAACTAGGGATTCTGGAAAATAGGAAACTGAATGAAACAAAAATTGGGAATAAACCATACCACTCCTTAGCGGGATCCTCCTCATACCAATAATCAACATGCTTCAAATTATTATGCGGATCATACTCAAATCCCACCGCCGCCGTCGGCGCCCACTTCGAATGCTCCTTCGCAATGCCCTTCTTCGCAATGCACGTCATCTTAAGTTCCTGGCCCCTGCTCAACTTACAAATAACCGGCCCCTTCCCCTCCGCATCCGTAATAACCGGACTTCCCACCCACTCGTTCGCCCTATCACCCACAATAATCAAGTCACGTGCATACACTTTCATAACGTCCTCCCCAGTGCAGCGCACGTTCAGCGATAACATGACGACGCACCGCGCACACCCTCCCTCGCAATCACAGTCGCGCGAGTAATCCATGTCCGCGTCGCAGTTTTTGGAATTCAGGGGTATTAGGCCTAGACGGTGGGCGACGAATTCGTCTGGGAGGACAGAGGTGTTGGATTCGATTTCGACCACGTCGATGGCGACGGTGGGGATTTCGGCGAGCATGGTGCGGCGGAGGGAGTTGGCGAAGGCGAGGTCAACGGAGCTGAGGCGGAAATCGACGCGGTTGGGTTCTGCCTGTTTGTGTTTTTTTTTAGAGAGTTAGCACTGGGATTCTGTTATTTAGTTATATTTTTCTCAAGAGCGGGATATATACCTCTCTAACTGTGACTTGAGGCCCTTGGGGCTCAATGTCCATTTCATCATGGTAGTCCATGGTGTTGGGGGGCCGCACGAAGGCTGGCTTTTCTTCCTAGTTTTGCAGCCCTTGAGATCTTCCTATTGCCTTGTCATAGAATAGGCTTCACTGGTAGAAGTACCTGGACAGTTGAGAATCAACTGGTGGTGAGAAGCCGTAGAGTGGTAGTGGAGAACTCTGATGCTGTTTGCAACAAATATATAGATACAGACATTTACTTCAGTTGAATCGCCCATCATCGAGAATTCCCGATTGGGACTAGTGCATTGTGACTTCGGTGAATTGATTCTCCGGATGCCGAGGCATTCATTTCCAAACTCCAGAAATGCCACAACTCACTATCAACAAAGGAGTATCAATGAGTTTATCATTAACTAGTTATTCTGTTCCGTTCCTCTAATAACTAATATTCCAGCTATTTGGGCCCCAAATCCCAAAATAACAAGGAAATTATGAAAATGCAGGCTGGCCCTCCGGAGAATGCAACCAACAATCATAGAAAAATTGAATAATCAATAATTGTCGCATATGCCACCAGTTGAGTTTCTGTTTTTACTTGATTAAAATGGCAAGGGGAATAAAAAGGCAGTTTCCATCTTCTAGATCCAGCTGTTCTCGAATGAATACGTATCCCTAGATATAAAAAGCGCATGCAAGCTCCAAGCACAATAAAAGCACAAGCATCTCCTTTGCTCGTTGTACCGCTGTTCATAAAACACTTCTCCGCCCACGGTCTATCATAAGCCAAAATGCAGCCAGAAAGTAAGGAGCAGTAGAGAAGATAATATGAAAGGAAGGGAATGGGGTTAAGTAAACTGGGAGATTGACACAAGAGAGGCACCCAAGTCCGTCATATCATCTCAAAAAAAAAAAAAAAGGGGGGGGGGGGGGGGTTAATATAAAGAAAATGTCTAAAAGGATGTTAAATAGGAGATTAAAAGAAGGAAGAGGCACCAATCCAATTCTAGCACCAAACAGGTAAGACCAAATCGAAGTTTCCGAGACCTCCGGGGATCAATAAGAGGCATGGGATGATTAGCTAGCCAAAAAGTGAATGTGAAAGGAGGAGGGCGGGGAATAGAAAGGATAGACACGTAAGGAGACAATGTGAGGGCCATTTGATCTGAAACAAGAATGATTGCAAGGCGAAGCATATCACAAATTTTCCTGTAACGTCTTCCGTGTCATCAGGCCATGAGCCTCAGGGAACTTTCCACGATTAACGAATGTGTTTCTAGCGTTATATCCCCCGAAATATCTATATGAGCCACCCCACCGACCGAAGAAAATAATATTCCTGGACGCTCGCAAGAGGAGAAGTAAATAGAAGAGAGAGGGGAGAAACGATGGACTGTAGATAGTGGTAAAGGAAAACAAAGGGAAGTAGGTGACTTTTTGTAGGATGGAAGACGATAGATTCAAAATATGTCTTGTGCGTTCCAAAATGTTATCCCTGGTAAGGGTTGGATTGCTGGAGGTTAAGAATATTCCCTCATGTTCCAGGAACACATTTGCGGCAAGCTGTCTTCCTTGAAAATGTGGAGGGGTCAGAGGAGTACGAAAGGGAAAGAATTAGGGATTAGATTCATCGAGGTATCATCATCAGTACTGCCCACGGCCATGGGTTCCTTCAATTAAATAGAGTCCTTCCATTAAGTGAGTCTCTTCGTGCGTGCCGTTCGCCAAGAATGTGTGATTGTGAGAGCGATGAGCGGGGGGCCGTTAAAAATTATCGACCTAGTTTCCTCAAGACCGAACCCAGAGATGCAGAGCGTGCTGGAAAGGATAATCGGGAAAATAGCCAAGACCTAAAAAAAAAAAAAAAAAAAAAAAAAAAAAAAAAAAGAGAGAGAGAGAGATTATATATAGATATATATAGATAGATACGATTCCCAAGGTCAATGCCGAGGAAGCCTTGAAAAAGCGGCTGTTAAGTAAGGGGCTGGACTCGAACTACCGCTTGACAGAGCTGCGATTCAACGCGTCGAGCAACTCAGGTCGAGATGCCAACGCCGCCGCAGCCTGCGCGTATGTAACCCACTGGCGTTTCCGCTTGTGCATTTCAGGCCACTGCGCCTCCTCGCGATCGACGCGGACCTCAAAGAACTGATACAGGATCCTGGGAGCCTTCTGCGAGACTTGAGCCGGGGTGCGCATATCTGCAATCTTGCCCAGGTCACGGAGAACGGCGCAGACGACGCCTGCTTCCTCCCAGGCTTCACGGCAGGCGGCTTGCTGGGCGGACACTTCGTCCAGTTCCCAGCCGCCCTTGGGCAGGACCCAGCCACCGTGCCGGGCGGATTGGATTAGTAACACTCTGGATTTGTCCGGGGACATGGGCACAACGCCGGCGACGAGTCGTTCGCCGTTTGGGCTGTAACCTGGAGGTGGGAAGGAGGATGTCAGTGGGATATACGTGGTAGCCAATGGACGGGGATATTGACAGAGGGGGGGAAGGGGGAAGGATTCGGGTCACTGAGGGGTTGGCCAGCAGGAAGGGAGGAGAAGGGGGGTAGTGGGAGGGGGGGGGGATGTGGGATGTATGTATGGCTGTGAGTGGAGGGCAAGTGGGAGTTCCAGCTGAGTTGTAGGGTGAGGTGAGCAGGAGAGGTGAGGGTGTAGTGGCTGATGGAGCTTGCGCTGCTGCTGTGGGTGAAGATTGTTGTGGGTGAGGTTTTGGGGACGGGCAGGGAGGGGGGATGTCATAGTCAGCAGCGACCAGCGAGGGGACGGCCAGCATCAGAACACGTGCATCAACCAGGGGCCAGCATCAAACATTCAACTTACGCTGGTTCGTCCTTCCCGTGCGGGACTCCATCGTATGGGACTGCGCCATCACTCGACTCGGGCCTTTGGGGAACCTCCTGTCTTTCTCTCTCTCTCTCTCTGGGATGCAGTCGAGGGCTTGTGTGAAGGCGGAATGCCCGGATAGTAAATAATTTCCTCCCTTGCCACTCCAAGACCCCTAATCTCCGGTCTGCCTGCCTGCCTGCCTGCCTGCCTGCCTGCCTGTCTGCCTGCCTGTCTGTCTGCCTGCCTGTCTGTCTGCTGGGTTTTCTGTGTCTGTTCGCAGACCACACACCGCACACAACTACCGACGCAACAATAACCAAACGTAGCAAATTGCCGCCCTTCGATTTTCCGCAGGACACGACTCTCTCGCTGCTCCAAACCCAGATCGGTGGGCAGCAGCCAAAGAGTTTGGTAGGTAAGGATATAGAGAGAGATACGAGAGAAGAGAGTGTATTCGCAAACTACTTCTGGAGAAGCCCGTTCGTGAGACGTTCTTCAGATATTCATCCAAAAACTTCGACCCGTAGCAAAAAAAAAAAAAAAAAAAAAAAAAAAAAAAAACGCTATGTGTGTATATTCCGATCTCGATCTCGAACAGAACAACTCGAAACCCAATTTGTGGGGCGTCACGCTGTTTTAACGAAACTTTGATTTCGGTTGGATATTTTTGGCTTTCTCGCAAACGGGAATTGGGTGGCTGAGAGCTTCAAGCCTCTCACCGCTATCTAGAATGAGGAGATGGTCCTTGAACGGTTGGGGTTGTATAGGATAAGAATGGGCGAACAAGGAGAGATTTGCGACGGGAGGGGTGCGGAAAAGGAACAGGACAGCGGGAGACAGAGGTGAAAGTCAAATAATAAATAATAGAGAATCTTTTGGAGAGGTGAACGAGTCTTAAAAAGGCGGAACGACAAGATAGGCTCCCTTGTTCAGTCCCGCGGAGGCTGGGGCTGAGGATGAAGAGTTCGATTCCTGATAGGAGCTGAGGGGATATAACTAGACATTGTAGATGGGGGAGCAGAATAAAATAAGGGTTAAATAAAAAAAAAAAAAAGGACGGGAAGAAGGACAAGGTGAAGGGAGGATTGGAGGAGTGGATGGATCGGTCGGAGGGGAGTATAGCAAAAAATTAAATCAAAGCTAAGACCGGAGCATTATTTTTTATCTTTTTCTTATCCCCTCAGTTTGGTTCCGGGAACAGCTTCGAGCAACATCATCAACCCCCTACCAATTACCAGGAGCATAGACATGATGCGCTGTCCAGGTACATCCAGAATCTAAATGGTATTGTGGGAAGACGATAACCCGGACGACTTGAATCTACTTGTCATTCTGAGCAAGGTACAGGCCCGTGCACAGAAAAATTGATGGGTGACATGTACCATTTGCCAAGCCAGATGTAACTCACTCCCAAATACCATGCAATCTCCATGGTTTGGTTTGGCCTTCCCTCATCCCATGCAACGGCTCAATATTATCGCTATTGTAAGTTTTGTCGAAGATTATTCAAAATCCAAAAAAATGCCATCATTCGACTTCCCCATGCCCTCATCTCTAACTGCGAAGTTTAACAGACATAGATGTCCATCCTTTCGGTAGCATTGAAATCAAAGATAGTAAAAGTAGAGCAAATAATAAAATTAATCACCCAATGAATAGAAACCAACATTTCAAACAGGCCTAGCAGAAAAATGAAATATTTCATTCCCGTCCGTCTATCTGTAAGCTCAAGCGCTGTGACAGCTAACACTCGCTTCCTCCCTTCTCGCACCTCATCCGCATTCTCCCTGGCAAAAGAGCCAGCAAGCCAAATTGGCTGGCTGAGAAAAGACTCGCCTTTTTGGATGATGAATTTTTAAACAACGTAGTAGTAATTCTCGGGGTTAAATTCCGCTATTTCCCAAACGTCTCGTGAGTTCATTTAAGCCTCGATGCCCGATACCTGTCGAAGCTATATCTTGATCTAATCCCGCATGCCGCCTTTTATAGACACGGCAAGGGGGAATGTGCATCAATCACGGATTCCATTCCACAGAGGAAGAATTGAAATGTGACAAAATATAAAATCAGATAGTTAAAAGAATAAGGGAAAATAAATAAAGCAGCATCTGCCTCTCCAACCAATCGGAGGGTTTATATTCATTCTTCTTTTGTTTGACAAAAACCGGCCAGCCAAGCTAATGCATTGATTGCAGCATACATCCGTAAATGTCAAGCTTACCCTCTGGGCAAACATTTAATAATTACAACATCTCATTAATCCTCACGTCCCTCATGAGATATTCATAATTATACATCATGGCCCATCAGCAAAATGGACGATGATCATAAATAAGCAACCCTCCCCCCTCCTTTCATTATTATCAAGCAAGGGTCAGTTATAAAACCCACGTCATGCATTGAAGCACTTGGAAAGCTCCATAGTATGCATCCAACATATGACCTACGAGGAGCGGACCCACTGCATCCCAAGCTCGTGCTCAGCATTGCCCCTGCGACTCGTCGAGATCATCGTCAGTATTTAGGTACCCTGGATAGCTATTTCTTGGACTGCATCAAGGTCCGCTCGTTCAACAACCCGTCAAAAGCAACGGGCGTCAAATGAAACGCCTGTCCACACTCTGCGTCAGCCGGCTAGAAATATCCAAATGAAAATGGCGGATCGAGGCTGAAAAAAAAAAAAAAAAAAGTAAATCTATATAACTGCGGAGGAATTACCCATGTTAACTAATCATATGGAGTTTGAGGACTGGTACCCGGGGACACCAAAAGAAATTTGATTTGACAGATGACAGCTTTTGCTGTCATGCTTGCAGGGACCGCATATGCAGCTTGGAGCAGTTGAGGTAACTCATTATTGGATTGCAAGGGTAAGTTAACTGATGGGATTTCGGGCAATCCATTCAAAAACAAAAAAACAAAACAAAAAAAAGAAAATGTGTCATTTTAATTTATTTGCACCCGCAAAAAGGAGGAAAGAAAAGGCAACCATCCACTGGCGGGCGGCGCATGCCCAGAGGGCTTGACGGGGATGGAGGAAGCTTTCTAGAAAAAAATGCATGGAATTCGGGAGTTTCTTTTTCCTTTTTACCTCTTCCATTTTCTTGTTGGAGGAACGTCCATGTCTTTGCAAATCAAATCGCTTCGTTTTTCCTTTTCCTTTTCTTTTTCTTTTATGTATTCCCACCCCCTTATCCTCCGCCTTCGACAGTAGTAGCTTGTTGGCAGCTTGGGCAAAGAGCCCCCACCTTTTTACCTTTTTCCGTTGCATCGTTGTCATTTGCATTTTCAAAGACCCCTTTTATTTTCACACTGTACTTCCGCTGCCCTCTCTTCTCTCTTTCTGCTTCCACCCCCAAACGAAACAGCCTCACAGTGTGGTTTGCTCCCAATGTTGAATCCTTTTCACCCTCTCTACCACATTCTGTGGAGATAACACATCCAGGGGAAGCGGACGGAGAAGCTTAAACGGACTGGTTGAACAGTTTCACCAGAGAGAGACGTTCTCCACTTGCATGGCCATTCAGCATTGCGCCTCTTGTCATTATCCCATCTGGCTCATGAGGATGGACAAAATGAACCGGCGCGTTCCATGTTGTCAGCCGTAGTAGGAAAGGAAAGACGGCGCCGAGCCACAGCGGAGCTTCGTTGTCGAGTTTCATATTGTCAGCTTCCTTTCAACTTACTCCATAGCTACCTGAGTTTCAATTCCGCGTGAAACCCGCGGGAGGGTCGAGTACGGAAAACTTCTCGGAATGAAGTCAAAACAGAAAAGAATTCAGGTATTGACTCTAATGACTCTTAAGTTACCACCGGTAGTGGGATGGGATGGAATGGGATAATCATTTCCGTTCTCTCCGACTTATTTTCTGACATTCTCTGTCTTTTGGCATGAGAAGTAAGAGGTTGATAAAGTGATGTCATAGCCATCACCAATTTTGGCTGCTATTATCCTCCTCCCTTCTTTCATATTTGCCGGACCATAATACCATCCTTCTCTACTTGTCATCTACCCTTGGTATCTGATGACAACCTAGAGAATGAATATTTCATTCTGCTATAGAGAATGCGCCTCTAGATACCCAACTTCCTTCACTAAAGGAACAGATTCCCGCTCATTTATGGAGGGGCAATGTCCAACGTTGTCCCCTCCATGTCTTTCTCTGACCATGTCATATCCACTACGATCTCCTTTATACTGGCCCTATCATGCATCAGAAAATGCCACTACATCTCCAACTCACTCAATACCCACCCAACAACGGCAGATGAAAAACAGAACCCCTTCCCTGGTATTATTTCCAGAAGAAACAAGCCCACAAACCCCTGCTTCCGCTATCATGTGCGGTCATGGAAGGGTGGCTCGAGCCATGGACATCACCTATAGCTTTTGGGGATCCTTTAGAATCATTGCATGGGCCCCTGAATCCCTGGTATCTGATTTCCACATACTTTAATGGAACGTCTCTCATACCCTGATATTAGCCCATTCTCGGCTGCAGAAATGGCGTAATTAGCTTTCCGCAGCCATCTCAACACCTATGACGTCTGGAAACGCGGTCGCCTTTCGGCGCGCGCAGCTGGAACATAAGATATCAACGCGGTGAGTCAGACGCCTTTAAGTTGACTTCAGGCTGCTCTCTATGTGTCTCTATGAGATTGGTAATTGCAACGGATACTTGAAAATGGGACATTGGACGACTAGGGGCATGGGAATGGCAGGACTTTTCATGTTAAAATCCCATACTAAATCCTAGGTTTGGACGCAACTTTTGCCGCTTTCAGGATTCCAAGGTTGTTATTTCGCTGGTGGACATGGAAAATGCCAAAGAAAATTCATGATTATGTATATCCAAACCACTCCTAGAGTCGTGTAGATTTATGTTGTTATCATAGATTTGAGTCCGGTTCGTTTATGCCCCACCAATTGAGGTCACGGGATCTCTGCCACTCTAGATCCAAGGTTTATCTTGGCGTCACCAAAACCCGGCTTTCAACCTCATTCCAACACGCAGCAGTGGTTTGTTTGGTCGTTGTCCAATATAATAGTTGTAGCAAATACGATGCTACGGCTCTCTGTTATGTGAGCCTCGAGAGTCTAACTCATAGGTTACAACTCTGTTGTTTAGTGCGGCGTGAGATTCGTCCTAGTCCGGCAATTATGTCATCATCGGATGAAGAAGAGAAGAGGCCTCAACCGCAGCCTTTATCCTTCATTACACCAAATGGTAAGTGGGCAGTATCCCTAATAAGAGGAAGCTTTGTGGGATTGTTTTGTGGAAGACGAAAGAAGACACAGTCTTGCACATTAGTTTCCATTAGCTTGTTGCTAAAGTGCTCCTGATTTCTCGAAATAACTTGCCTGTTTCCCACCCCCTCTGGTTTCACCTACTGACATCACGGCCATGCTTCTGCCGATATTGATAATTAGGATACCAACGGAACTCATGTGGTTATTGCAAGTCAGACAATGGAAGTTAGTCTCACGTTCCGCCTCTCCAGGTCTCCAGCTCACGACACATGCTGGATATATGTTTCTTTGAGCGTCGAAAAATTATGCAAACGACATCTGACATGCTAGATGTTTGAGTAGGTGCATCATACTATGCCAGCTCTAAGGCCATGCGCGTGGACGACTACCAAGAGCTTCTCGATCGGGGATGGAGACGGTAAGATTTCTGATTTGCGAAAACATCACCCTTTTTCGCTTTACGTCAAGTGCTTAAGCTAACTATGGTTTCTCTAGCTCTGGGTCACTTTACTATAAACAAAACTTGAAAAGGTCATGCTGTCCGCACTATACGATAAGGTGTGCTAGCATCTCTTTTCTTGAAAACGTGTGCTGGCGCGCATATTTTCTGACCAACATGACCATACAGGCTGGACCCTACCGGCTTTAAGCCACGAAAGGACCAGAGACTGGCCATAAATCGCTGGAATAGATTTGTGCTGGGCCCGTCCTACATTCGAAGTGCGGCAAAGCTTTGTCCAACGACTCGAGAGTATGTCTACGTCACCTAATCAAATCGACGGTCTGGAATGATGATTTCCTTATCTCTCATTCAGATTGCTTGTATGATTCGTGATTTAAAGTAAATCTGACGACCGGTACGATTGCATAGGGAGAAAAAATCCCGAAAATCGAAGTTTAATTTGCTCCAACGAGTCCGTGAAACGGAATACGCCAACGTCAAGAGGCCTAGGGATCCGAAAACGAAGAGGCCCGTTGAACCAGCTCATCGGTTTGAGGTCAATTTCGAGTCTGATTCTTTCTCACAGGCAAAGTCAGTTCATATGCACCCATTCATTCCCAAATCTCCCCTGTATGGAAATTGGGTCACTTCTAGGAGACAAAACACTAATGATTTTGCTTGCAGGTATGATCTCTTCCTAAGGTACCAGATGGCTGTACATAATGAGCCTGCTTCAAGATGGAGTGTTCCCTCCTTCAAGCGGTTTCTATGTTCTGGCATCAATAGGAAGACCGTCAGGGAAGCTTCGAAGGAGCAAAAGCTCGGATCCTACCATCAGTGCTATAGGCTAGATGGGAAGCTTATTGCCGTGGCAGTTCTAGATTTATTGCCTCAAGCTGTTAGCTCGGTCTATATCTTGTATGGTTTTTCGTCTATATATATATGTTAACCCCGGGTGCGTGAACTGAGGATAACTAATTTCTGGCAGCTATGACCCAGAATACAGCGACTTTGAATTCGGGAAGACTAGTGCTCTAAGGGAGATTGCCTTGACTATCGAAGGGGGTTATAAGAACTACTATATGGGTACGGAGGGATCCTTGATTCTATGATTCTATATCTTCTTCCAGTTCCTAACCATATCCAGGTTTCTACATACATTCCTGTCAAAAAATGCGGTACAAGGCAAATTTCCAGCCTCAGTATGTTCTCGGTAAGTAGCTATTTCGCCCTTCGACTCCATCATAATTTTTATATTTCCCTAACGTGTATAGCAGATCCAGAGAGTTTGACTTGGGATCCTTTTGATGACTACAAAGAGAAATTTGATCGGCATCCATATGTTTCTCTCTCCCATGACCGCGCAATACAAGCAGCTAAAAAGGGAGAAGGCGGTGTCGAAACTGAACCTGCTGCCGAAGAAAATGACCAGTGGAAAGTTGAGTCCGAACCCAACGAGGAAGAAATGTCATTGTTTGACATCCATATGCCAGGCGTCTTGACGCTGAAAGAGGTAGAGGAGCAGATCGATCTAGATCATTGGCAGCTTTTTGTGCATGGGGTTTTGGTGGAAATGATCGTGAGTCATCCCTAGTCTGGTGCCTTTTCTTTCTTCGGCCTCGTCTTTTGTTTTGCCCGCCATGTTTTAAATGTTTTACAGAGCTCAAAAGAAAAGAGATAACTAATTCGATAATCTACCACGGTATCTTGGTGGTGTAGGACCTGGTTCCATGGGACAAGTCAGATATTATGAATCCACAGTCGATCAAAGGAATAGTTGCCGAACTTGCGGCAGCGTTGGGCCCGGAGGTTGTTAAGGATTCGGCGGTTGTGCTCTTCTAAGATGAATTTGGGTTGCGCTGTGAGGAGTAATTTCCACAACGCTGCAATTGTGAAATATTAGAAATAGCTAGAGGAATGATACAGCTTGTCTCTCAGGGCCATTGGGAAACTTCCACTTGGCACGATTCTTGGGTTGTTGTCCTGTAACGCAGCGTCTCCCGCTCAGCCAAAGGCCTTACGGTAGCCGTGGAAATATATCGCAGATGTTCGATAGAAATTAAGTCTCTGAACTAAGAGAACAAGGGGAGAGAGTTTAATGACTCTGAGATGTCGCATTCATGCGCATAGACAGAATTATGGAAATAACTCAATACGATCATGAATTAATTAAAATATAAGCAAAGTAAATTAAAATTCCCGGCTCTGGATTAACGGGGCTAAGGAGGGGGAGAGGAGCCACTCGCTGAGTGCAACGGTCTGAGTCAGACCGGATAATGACTAGCTATGATGATGGGTTGGTTTATATTTTCATTCTTATTCGTCCTTCGTTAAACCTATTAACTAACTTATAATGTAGTTATTAGTTAACTACCTCGAATTTTGATTGACCATTCAATTCGCCCCAGGGTAGCACCGCGACAGAGAGCAAAGAGAAAAGTTAAGGGAAGAGGAAAACAATTTTAACCCCATCATAACCAATGCTACACTCTAAGATGGAACCGAAACCGCCGCCAACAAGTCCGCCGCCGCCATCCATTACCACAATTGCCAACGATGGTGGTAGTGATGATGATGATGATGATGATGACAATGGCGAACCAAATCCCACCGGGGACGTGGAAAAGGCCATTCCAACCTCCGCCGTCACCGAGAATGGGCGGAGATCCCAGACCACTTCCCGTGGCCAACAGCCGCGGGGCTCAAGCGCCGCACAGGCGGGATTAGACATCGATAACATGGATCTTCCGCTGTTTAGCTCCTGGTCCGGCTGGTGGCACCGGCTGGCCTCCTGGGGGGTGGAACTGCGCGGTATCACGCCCGTCGCCGTCGCCGAGCAGACAGACATGAGCGCGATTAATTTGTTCTTCCTGTGGTTTACGGTTAGCTGCAATGTCTTGCCGTATGTTATATTTATATGACCTGTTTTGGTTGGATTGAATTAATATCGAACTGAGTTCCGCCTTCTGTCGCTAGTTTTGATGTCCGTGTCTCTGATGTGGAATTGGGTGTCAGCTACGTAGGGTTATCACAGGCATGGTTGGCACGCTCGGTTTAGGCCTGAGTCTGCGCGATGCCAGTCTGGTTGTGATCTGTTTCAATGTGCTATGTACGGTGCCGCCAGCATATCTTTCGATATTCGGACCCAAAACGGGCCTGCGCCAGATGATTCAAGCGCGGTATAGCTTTGGGTGAGTATTTCTTCGCCATCCAAGTTGTCTCCATCATATAGTTAGACTCTAAATGGAAATCCATGCTGAAATTTTACTTATAGATTCTACTGTGTCTACATTGTTGTTCTATTGAACCTTGCTACCGTCTCTGGATTTGTTGTGATCGATGCGGTAATCGGAGGCCAGACTCTTGCAGCCGTAAACCCCGGCTCCATCAGCGCGAATGCTGGTATCATCATTGTGGTCTTGGTCGCTCTGCTCATCTCCTTCTTCGGCTACAAGGTGCTGCACCAGTATGAACGGTATGCCTGGATCCCCACGCTCGTGAGCATTATAATCCTCACCGGCTGCGGGGGTAAGAATCTTGTGGACCAGGTTAAGCAGCCAGAACCTACAGCAAAGCCTATCCTGTCCTTTGGCGGGTTAGTTGCCGGTTTCTTGATTCCCTGGGCAGCGCTGAGTTCGGATTTCAGCACGTATATGTCACCAGATGTGCCTTCGTGGGTCTCCCCCCCATGCCTTTAACTCTGAGACACAACTGCCTTAAAACACACAATAAAAAAAGGAAAGCTATCTAATACAACAAATCCTATGCTTAGCACACACATCTTCACGTATACCTACCTGGGCCTCTTCCTCCCTAACACACCCCTAATGATTCTTGGTGCCGCCATCGGCGGAGCCGTCCCCAACACCCCAAGCTGGGCCTCCGCTTACGAAAGCGGATCCGTCGGCTACATGTTCGCCGCCATCCTCAGCCCAGCTGGTGGTTTTGGAAAATTCATTACAGTGCTCCTCGCCTTCTCCGCTCTCGGAAACATTGCCGCAACCATCTACAGCATAACACTGAACATTTCAAATATTACTCCCCATCCTCGTCCGTATTCCACGCGCAATCTTCGCCGCCGTCTTCGTTGCCATCATCATCCCAGTCTCCCATTCGCGCTGCGGCAAGTTTCTTTTCCTCTCTCGAGAATTTCATAGGTGTAATTGCCTATTGGTCTGCGGCTTTCTTCGCCATCGTGACGGTTGAACATCTCGTGATTCGTCATGGTAATTATGCGTCGTATGAGCATGTGATTTGGGATGTGGGTTCGCAGCTACCGAGTGGGATTGCCGCGCTGGGGGCGGGGTTGTTATCGTTTGCGTTGGTGATCCCGTGTATGTCACAGAAGTGGTTTACGGGGCCAATTGCGGAAATTACGGGGGATATTGGGTTTGAGATGGCGTTGGTGGTTAGTTCGTTGTTATATTTGCCATTCAGGGCTTGTGAGGTCAGGTTACAGAAACGAGGGAGGGGGGTTGGGTGGGGGGAGCGGGGAGGTTATATTTAATATCGACTATGGTTGGTATTCGCTTTCGCTTTCGCTTTCGCTTTCGCTTTGTGGTAACCGAAATCCTATAAGGCCATGGGCTATCCGCCATATCCAGAATTACTCCTCAACCACCATTGATCTCTCTCCAATGGAGCATTCTTCCTCACCAAATGAATGTTTCAAAGGTGAATGCACATCCTGCAAGTCTCAGATTATTTTCCTTTTTCCTTCCTCCATTTGATGAAACATCTTTATTCAAAACCCGTCTCATAAACCCCAGCCTTATATAACCTCTTGTTCCTACCCTTTCTCTCACTCTGTTCCCCTCAGGGTTCGACCCGAAGTTCACCAACGTACTCACCCACCCATGCTTCCCCTGTTACCAACCTACACATACTCCCCGCTCCTATGTCTTGCAACAACTCTTAATCTTGCCCCCCTTTCTCAGCGTCGTCCATTTCCCCGCGGAAGTATTGTAAGAATATGCCCCCATATGAACCTGTCACGAGAAGTGTATTTTTATTTGTATAGTCTGGTTGTAAATCATGTCTGAGTCTACGTTTTCCCGTGAACGGAATTGCAGCTCCGTCTTTCACCAGTGTATGTATGTCGTTCCCCCTGGCCGGTGACCTTATATTTCTGTATCGACTTATTGAGAGACACCCACAGGTATCCACTGGGGTCCCACAGTACCCCCCATGCGCCCCAGGCGCATTATAAACGCCATCTGACTTCTTCAAACTCTTGAAATCGTCTACTCTGTCAGGCTTGCCCTGAGAATAGAGGTTGAGTTCTCCTGGAGCCGCACTTGCCACCACAGTGCTCAAGTCGGTTTTGAGCTTTTCCCAGTTAATGTTGGATGTCTGGTCAACTCCGGCGACGAAGTAGTGCGGGGCGGCAGACAGGGGCGTGGTAAAGAGGGAGAATCAGGGCCCTCGAGAGAAAAAGATGCTTTGGATGCGTCCTGGGGCATTGTACTAGAGCCCAATGGAATGTATATGCGAAGCTGGGGGAGATATATGTGAGGCGAGTTGCTTTGGAGGGGGCATTTCCAAGCAGAGATGGAGAAACAAAACGAGTCAGCATTGCTATTGATTGGTTTATCAGACATGGTATGAATTTCTGCAAGCTAGCTGGGGAATATGATGATGATGGTGATGATGATGATGATGATGACGATGATGCAATGTGACCATATATGTATGCTCAGCAGGCCAAGCATAAATTGCATGGCGTGTATACCTACGAGGCGGTCCCTTGAATCAGTAGACGAAAAGCAGAACTATGATCCTTGAATCACCACAGAACGCAAGTCACTGTACCGCCTTCATACACTAGATAACGAGGATCTCTTTGTAGACGGAATGAATGATCCAAGAGGAAAAGATGGATGGGTATCCCAGAGTCTCATGTTAGGCGAATTCCACAGTATTGGCAATCAGAGTGATCTGAACCAACAATACAAGAGCGCGCTGCAACCATAACTGCCTCTTAACTCCGATCCAAGTTTGACAACAATTAGAATGCTTTTTTTTTTTTTTTTTTTTTTTTTCATATCACCGAATCGAAACGAAATACGAGGTTGTTCGGTGCTTGCAGGGTGCACAATACTTGGATTGTCGTTGAATATCTCCTGAAATAGATAAACTAGATAGTTAGTTATCCCAAGCCTGAGTTAACTCGGTTGCCAGCTTTGGCTTGCTTTGGACGGTGAAACCCTCCCAGATCGGCTCTAATTCCATTGAAATGATATCTTAACAAAATGCCTATAGATGTGCAAGAATATTACACTCTCTCGAGTAGTTACCTAGTTTATATTGCATAGGAGAGATACTCTCCGAAGAAGGCCTGAGTTATGGCATCGCTTCTGCTCAAGAACATCACAAGAGGCTCGAAAGTTTTGAAGAAGCTATCATCAGCCCAGTATTTGCGGTATTCATACATTTGGTCGTTGAGATGGCATCTGCTCATCTCGTCATGCGTCAGGGGTTCCGGCAGAATTTTCACCACGGCTGATAGTTATCAAAAGGTTTTGCACGGTGATTTTGCCTTTTTTTCTTTACAGCTGGGCTTCATCCTGCAACCTGGTTGTGCATTCGTTATTGCAGCTCTTTTGATTTTCTTGAGTGGTGGATGAGTATGAAGAAGAACTGACGGAAAGGTGATGAGGAAAGGATCCAGATCCTAGAGGGCGACATAGATACAAAATACGCTGGAGGTAGAGAAGAGCATCTCAGTGAGGTACTTTCTGTAAGGTGGTTGGGTGGTTGTTGGCGATTTTTGATATTTTAAAGCTTTGATTCTGCTTTTTTTTTTTTTAAGTTTTTGCATGGTAGAGAGTGATCCGAGGAAGAACTTAAGACCCACTCACGGGTGAGCAAGGTATGTAGCATTTACTATTATCCATGGTTGTGATTACTGCTGCAAATCTGTTTTCCCTTGATGTTTTATGTTTTATTTGCTTTATTCCAATAGCTATGTTTCTAAGATATGTATGTATGTATGATGTATGTAGATGCATACATGGGCTGTACAAGTATTCCCAAGCATATCACATATATTGGGGAGAGATATGCTGCTAGCGAGTGATACGGGACCCCTTCTTCGTCCTTGATCTAGGCGCAATGTGGAGAATACGACCAAACCACAGGGACAGACATACGAGGAGAATACAGAACCGACGAAGAGAAGAAGTAAACGCAGCAAAGCAGTGCAACTCCAATCCGGAAGGGCAAAGGGAAATGAAAAGTGGAGAAATGAAAAAAAACAGCCATTCTGACAGACTCCTCCCCCCCCCTCAACCCACTCCCAATCAAGCAGCCAAAAGAAGAAGAAGAAAAGAATCCTAATCCTAGAAACACCCGTTCGGGGCAGCAGAAGATGAAAAAAAAAGCAAATCCAAAAGGAAAAGGAGAGATTTGAGAAGAAATAAATAAATAGGTGAACAAAATGAAATAAGAATGACTAAAATTTACGCTAAAAAACAACTTCAGCCATCTCCGCTCCCAGCTGCTCCACCCCCAGTTGCTCCACCACCAGCTCCCCCCCCCACTCCCACAATCCCATCTAGCAGCCCACTCGCACTCCCCACCTTCCGGCTCCCAGCCCCGTAGACCATCTCCATCAACTTCGCCTTCTGCCTCTCTCTCACCCCCTTCAAATAATCATAAGCCCCCTCTAGGCCCCTGATCTGTCTCTCTACCACCAACTCCACAGACCCCTGCGCCGCACTCCCGGCAAGACCCCTTCCCGTCAGCTCCCCCTCACCACTGCTGCTCCCTCCAAAGAGCCCAAAGGTCACCGAATCATTCCTCCTCACCAGCGGACTAACCAACTTCCTCCGTAGAGTTTCCAGGTTCACCTTTAGGGTCAACAGCTTGCCACGATAGTCCATGAGAAGGTGCTTGTTGGCAACCGTCCTCTGCCGCACGGATGACAGCAGCTGGCGGTTTTTCTCATACTTACGCAGGGCGACGGCGTTGGGTCCCAGAACACGCGTCCACAGCGACGAGAGCATTTCGCCCTCGGCGCGCTCCTGGGCGTCCGATTCGCGCACGACGGTTCGCTGGAGGTTTAGGAACTGTCGGTCTATAGCCTCAAAGAGCGCAAAGAGGGCGGTCGAGTGTGTCAGTTCGTTGTTGATGGACTCTTCCTGGACGGCGAGAAATTCGGAGAAGGTATGTGTGAGGGTGCGGTGTGTGCGTTGCGAGCGGGTTGTGCCGAAGACTTTGGTGATGAAGGAGCCCAGGCGGGTTGGGGAGGGGAGCGGCGCTTCATTGCCATCCGGTGAGGTTGCCGTGGTGGTTTCTAGTGCGCCGAGGCGGGAGAGGAATGAGTGGAGGTTGTCGAAGAAGATGGAGGGGAGGGAGTGCGCAGGTTGGGAAGAGAGGGTTTCCAGTTCGCGCTTTGCCCAGTCCATGACGATGAGGATGGAGTCGATGTCTGCGTCCACGTTGGCGAAGAAGCGGGTTAGTTCTAATGATAATGTCTTCAGGGATTCGGAGAGTTCGTCCAGTTGACGGACGATGATGGGAGCGCTGGTCATGTTTGTGCCGCGGACGGATTCTCCCAGGTCCCAGACGGCGACGCCGGTTTCTTGCAGCGCGCCGATCTGCTGGACGCCATTCTCGGAGTAGTAGATTAATGGCTCAAAGGAGCGGGCTAAGCCGGAGAGTTTGACGAGATCGGGGACTGGGAGAGGGATAGGTGGCAGAAAGAGGGCGCGGATGATGGTGAAGGATAAGAGGCCTATTATTAAGGATAAAGCAGTGTTCGTGCGATTCTTAACCATTGAATCTAACTTTTGGGTGATGAAATTGAAGAATGCAACGAAGGGTTCTCGATGCTGAACCTCTGCGCGCACCGCAAAGCGGATGTCTACAATTTGGGAACTGGTGTTAGTTTCAAGATGCGGAAAAGCAAATCATGTATTGTTGAGTACATGAACAAGAGATGCAACAGATATGAACAGGGGTATTTTGCTTCAAGGAAATAGGAAAATATATATATTACAATTTGTGAACAAATCTGGAGAAAGGTCCTGCGGCACCAGATCAAGCTCGTCGCTAGTAACATTACTCTCTTTGTTTCTCCAGGGACTCTCCTCCTCGCGCTTTGTCGGTGGCGCGGGACTAGGAGACCTGCCCTTCAACGGGGAATCTGAGCCCACAGGTAATGGTATATTGGCAGGCATTGTTAAGTCAGCAACATCATCATCATCCCCCCCGCCCACCGGCGGTTTCTCCAGTGCATCCTCATATTGCGGGCTAACCTCCCTTGACCGCAACGGACTGCAATCACAGGGAGGATTCAGATCGGGCTTGTCCCGTAGATACGGCTGATGCCGATACCATGCGCTACCAGCGGTTGGTGGAAAGTTTTGCTGTTTTAAAATATATCTCCGCTGCCTGTAACCCGGTGGAGTCCATGGGTCGCCGGCACTGGAATCTAAGTCTGTATCTGGCTCGGGTTCATCGTTGTCTTCAGAACGGAAACCAGAGTGCTGCGATGGCAAGCCA